CTTTGATTGTCAATCTTTGGGTCTCCCTTCGCTTCTGAAACTGGTTTCTATTTACATAGGTGAAGTTAGGGGAACCTGGATGGAGAGAAAGATATTATGAAGAGAAGTTCTCAGTAGCTACCCCTGAAGAAATGGAAAGACTACGAAAGGATGTTGTGAGTTTGAGAACGAGATATATTTCAAGTTTTTGTGCTTCCATTCCTGGAGGGGTTTTTCTAATTTGTGAAACTTTCTTTTGTGCAGGTTTTGAAATACACAGAAGGCCTTTGTTGGGTCATGCATTACTACATGGAAGGTGTTTGCTCCTGGCAGTGGTGAGTTACTACACTTCAATATTTCTTCTGTCCTGAACGAATTCACCTATTGATCCGTTTTGATTGCTTCCTTTAGTGTGGTTTACTTTTGCTCATGTCTTAGTTTTTGAATTTGAAGCGCCATGAATTTTTGCTTGTTTAATTGTCTTTGGTTTTCTATCATTAAAACCATGAGTTATTTTAAGGAAAGTTGTTTTCCGTCTTGATAATTATTTTCTATCTAGGATTTTATATTTAGTCTTTGTTTGATAGACTATGTTATATCTGATTCTTTGGATTAGACTCTATATTTACATGTTTAGATTATCGACTTTGATGCCATCTCTACTGATACATCTGTACTCTGATGCTACAGGTTTTATCCTTACCATTATGCACCATTTGCTTCTGATCTGAAGGATCTCGGGGAGCTGGATATTCAGTTTGAATTAGGAACTCCTTTTAAGCCTTTCAATCAACTTCTTGGGGTGTTCCCAGCTGCAAGGTAGTTTACCTTGGGCAACAATACTTGTTCTTACTTTCTTCTACATTCTTAACTTCTTTGTTTGGTATGTAACCTGTAATTATAACTTCATTTGGTCAGTGCGCATGCACTTCCAGAGCGCTATAGGACCTTGATGACGGATCCCAACTCTCCTATAATTGATTTTTACCCAACTGGTAGTGCTTCTTTTCCTCAAAAAGATTTTATCTTTTCACTTAGTGTTACCTGTTGGAACAATTTATATATTTCTTTCGATTCTTTTTTTTTTCTTCCAGATTTTGATGTTGACATGAATGGAAAGCGTTATTCCTGGCAGGTAACCTTTCCGTCTTTTCTGATCGCTTTCTAATGTATTGGAAACAGAACCACTATATTTTGATCTATTTCACTTTTTTCCTTAAAAAGGGTATTGCTAAGCTGCCTTTCATTGATGAAAGACGCCTTCTAGAAGCTGTTACCGAAGTGGAATTCACGTTAACGGTATGTTTTCAATACGGCATTCCTTCGTATTTTATGATTTCCTTCTGAACAAGAAGATGTGTGCTTTTGAAAAGATGGACTTTGAAGTGTTTTTTTTTCTCTCTTTCCCAAATCTGTAGGATGAAGAGAAGCGTAGAAACAGCATGATGTGTGACATGCTTTTCATAGCAACATCTCATCGCCTTGCTGAACTAATCTTTTCGCTTGACAACCATTGTCGGCAATTGAGTGCCAGGGAGAGAATAGATCTTAAGGTTAAGATCAGGCCTGAGCTTAGGTTTGTAAAACAAATGAAACATAACTCTCTTATCTTTTTATTTTTATGACTTCGTGGTGGATGAGCTGGTTAATTGGATATTACACTTGCAGCTTTGAGATTTTCCGGATCTGTTTCCTGATGTTGTTATAACTACTTGCAGTGATGGTATGAACGGCTACTTGACTCCGTGTGCAGGGGAGACTCACCCGCCTATATTTAGGTCCCCAGTGGAGGGTATGGAGGACATCTTGACCAACCAAGTCATGTGAGATCACAGACCTTGTTTTCCAAAATGTTCGAATCTTTAACTGATTAAAAACATTCAAAACTGATTTATTTTATTTGCTTCCTCAGATGCTGCATTTACAGACTTCCGGATGCACATGAACACATAACCAGGCCTCCTCCCGGTGTCATCTTCCCTAAGAAGGTATATCTGTTTATGCCATCACTTTTGTGTGGCCTCTATCGATAAAATCTTCTAGGTAGCTTAAGTTGGTTGTTTTCTCTCTTGTCGTTCAGATTGTGAACATAGGAGACTTGAAACCCCCACCTGCTCTGTGGCATGAGGATAACGGAAGGAGACCGATGCATAATAATCAAGGAAGGTAATACGATCATCGAAAACCAAGTTAAAAAGAAAACCGTGTCTACTTTGATATCGTTGCGATTTTAAATTAACTTTTCTCCTCGATTCTTTAGGCAAAACCCACATGGAAGTGTATCCGGAAGGCATCTGGGAGACGCAGCACATCGTCTCGTCTCAAACAGCTTACACACGAGAACGGACCGGCATGGGTATCAGACAGCAGATGTTCACAATCAGCACGCTCCTGGTTACGGCTACAATCCTCAGCAGTATGTTCCACCAACTCCTTACCAATATGGTGGCTATATAGCTCCACCTGGCGTGCAAGGCTATGCTCAGCCACAACCTTACCAAAGCCGAGGTGGGTACCAACCTCGTGGAACCAGTGGGAGATTCCCATCAGATCCTTACCCGATCCCACCATCACGGGGAGGTCACCGTGACAGTAGAGGAGGGTACTCTGGTAATTACAATCAGCAACAACAACAACAACAATGGCATGGTCAAGGTGGGTCGGATCACAATAACCCACGAGGGTATGGCGGTCAGCATCATCGTCATGAAGGTGGCGACCGCGACCGCAGAGGAGGAGGGAGAGGAAATCATCATCATCGATATTAAAGCACAAACGGTACACTACTCCTGCTGACCTTTGTCTCCCAACCGTAGGAATCATCAGGTGTAGTTGAATTTAGTTTCATACGGTTTGTCTGTATCATTAGAATTGGGCCTGCTCTTGCATCTCTGTCTTGAAAGGAGGAATAAGAGCAGCTGGAAAAACTGTAGGTTACATTAATTCCTTGTTACCGCTTGCAACGATTTTTATTCTTATTTGGTGCATCATTTATTTGCCCCTGGTCTGTATTGTATCTTGTATCTTGTATCTTTTTTAAATAAAAACGATTGTTTTGTTCGCTTTATATTTCAATAAACGGGTTATTGGATCAATGGTCTATGTTATTTTTTCGATTCACCTTGTTTTTTGTGTTTTTAAAAATAATAATTTACTAATGAAAATCCAAGAAGCAAAAAGGAAAAGTCTTTGAAATCTCAAGTCGATTGATTTAGTAACCTGCTAGTGTATATTTGCCTTTTTCTAAGCTTCTCTCTTTGCATTTTTTTTTATGGGAGATTTGTGATCAAATCAGTTACATCACAATATGCATATTATATATGGATTTGTATATAAGCTTATATTGGAAATATTGTTACATACAGAAACTAGAATTCTGGAAATAAATTACATATTTACAGATGTAAAGAAAATTTTGAAATCAAATGGATTTATATGTTAAGTAATATGAAATATTAACTTCACCATACACACACACACGAAAAACAGATAATTAGTTAATTTTAGATTTAATATGAGCTAGTCACTAAATTTTTTATTCAAAACAAATTAATAATAATTAAACCAAAAGTTAAAAAAAAGATAGAAAAATATTCCTCTTATATTAAATTAAAATTTTTTTAAGAATAAAATCTGTAATATGAAATGTAAAAATCAACAAATAAGTTAATTTACGTACCATTTATTTGGGGAAATCAACAAACAAGTTATTTTAACAAGTTTGTGAATTTATAATTTTTTGGGGTGAATGACTAAAACATTTTGTTCCTACTAAATAATATGTACAAGTAAAATAAAATCATTTATAGAAAACTATTAACAATATAAATGATTCAATATTTATTAACATGAGGACTACTCTTATTTTCTACGTCTCTCATGTAACATATTTTTTTCCAGGAGAAATAATCATCATTAACCCTTTTCTTATCAAAAATAACTTTTTTTTTATTAACATGGGTTAACTACTTTATAATCAATCGTAAAGCTTAAACTGTATTGTTGAGTGTGTGAGTGTATGGACAAACAGAGTAAAATTTTAATCTATATTGACTAGAATAGCTGCACAAGAAAGCATGACTTCTTCATCATGTATGGACAAAGAGAACAATGTTCACCTTCTCTAGTTAAGCTACTTTAGCTTTATGAATTATGAGAGCTTAACTGGAAAGAGGTAGATTTCGTAATCACCTTGCGCAGAAGTAGTTGGCGAAATTGTGTGTGTGTTCCAAATTTTGGCTAGTACAAATGTGCTATGACGCAACAAATACTTTTTTAAGGCTTCCATACATATAGAGAATGATCAATAGCGCTCATAAACACTATTACAGCATTTTCATTTCTATTTTTCTCTACTTTTTCTTCTTTTTTCCTTTACTTTTCCCTTTTTTTTCCTCTACAATTTTTTGTTTTTTTGGGAGTGAATGGTTCGACAGCGTGAACCTTTCGCCGCAATGGCGCCATAGACGACAAAGAAGATGGTACCTCTTAGACAATATATATCTATAAATAAAACAATTGTCGTCATATAGACTCGCGAGGATTTCATCATTTTATATATTTCAAGTCATCTATATATACATTAAACCTATATGTGTTCATCATTTTATATATCTCAAATCATATATATATAAATAAACCTAAATGTGTTCTTGCTATTGGATTGACATTTAGAGAAGATAAACCTTAAGAGCTTGGGATTGTTCCACTCGATATTTGTGCGACTCAGCTACAACCTACTTAATTGAATAACACCTTCAGCTTTTGGATTCCATTATTAGTTATAACCCAAAGTTAGTATGCAAATTCTCCCAAGCCAAATTGCAGAGCATTAGAATTGGTTGGAATCATCAATCCATGTTCCCAAACACACATACATCTTTGAATCCAAATACATTTAAGATAAAAAAAAAATAGAAATGATAAAAGCCAAAAATATCAGAGGATTTGATACAACAAATATTCAAAATCGTTTGCTTCTACTGATTTTTTTATATCTTTCTTCAACTTTCTATATTTCCTCAGGCGATTTTCCTCCGCTTATGATCATCCCTGAAGAAAAGTAAGAAAACTAATCCTTCAATGATATGGTCACAGAGAGTTATGTACAGTACAAATTAACAAACCTATCCATATGCAAAGCTTCTCTAGACTGCTTTTCCAGCCACTTGACGCAGCCTGTGTTAGCCGGAACAAGAGATCCAGCTATATGCATCACCTCTTGATCAAAACTACACAATGATAAACCCACAATTCAAAATCACAACTCTAAAACATTCAAGCAACAGTTATATATGACCAACTCTAAACATTCAAGCAACAAAATACTATACGAGAGTCAGTAGTCACCTTTCGACCTGAAGGCGTAACATTGTTCCAATCTTGAGAACATGACGTTTATGCGATCTGCTCACAAAGCAGCCTTCACCATCTCTCTGAACAGAACCAAGATTATTATAACAAAAAAAATTGGATTAAAGAAAACAACTAGATATTCCAGACTCACACATACCATTTTGTACTTGAACTCTTCACGGATATCAATATCCGTTATGACTGCAGCAGAGACCCCAAGAACAACAACATGGATTGACTCTGCTGAAAGCTTCACAATCTTCCCTTCTGCAAACAAAAAAGAGTTAACCACATTCCATCAACTAGCAAGAAACTATTGCAGCAAGAAGAAGGCAATGTGTTTAATGAGCATTTGTTGTTCTTACCAACAAAATTATTGGGCTTTGGATCAAAAAGCAGAAGTTTTGCGTTTACCCTAACGCCAAAGTAAGGAGTAAGCCCCGCAAGGATTTTAGCTTGTTTGCTTTCCACAGTAAAATCATAACCCAATAGAACCCCATCGAATGTTTCATCATACCTTCAAAACAAAAGATGCATACACTATTAAGGATAACGAATAGTTTTGCATTAAGAAGAATCGAAATTTGAGCTCGAAAGTGGAAAAAAAAAAGGAGAAGAAACGAACGAACTGGAATAGAAGAGAACTGAGCTCGCGATAAATCGCCTGAACCTCGTTTCCGCACTTGGAAGGATGAATGTAAACAATCAATTCCGCGTCTGAGACCTTTAATCCCTCCATTGAAGAATCCAATTCCTGTTTATTCAGTTACCCAAAAATGATTCAGTTCTGATCAATTTTCGATTGAACAAGATTATCTATCTAGCGGCTGGTTTGCTTCTGAAAAACATAACTCGAGGTTCTCAAACTAAAACAAAAACAGAACTTGAAGTCTCACCTGTAAGAGACGAAACTTTGATACCGGAGAATTAAACCGACGATTTGTGGTAGAGACAAGAGAAGAAACGATGAAGATGCTGCCCAAGGAGAGAGAGATTAGGGTTTTCTTCTTTTAATTCCAAAGCCTCCCACATGACCAAGGGTTTAAGGAAACCGGTTCGTTGATTTTACCAAAATTTCCCGGACTTAAACCGGTCACAGCTGTTTGGTTATTTTATTAACTTACCGGAACGTTTCGTTACCGTTTACAACGACTTGGTTATATGGATTAGAGACTTTCTGTTTTGTTTTTTTCTGATCGTTTGGATTTATACAAAACTAATTGTTTTTATTTAACACTCATCATCGACAATCAAATACACAAATATGAATTAAACACACAACAAGTACACACGGGGAAGAAAAAAAATGAAGCAATGTGATTTTTAACAAAAGGCTTTTTTTTTATTAAAAAAAGCTCAGTTCAATGATTGTAGAGCAGAAGAGGTAGTGACGAGACTAGACAAGAGGGCAACGAGGAGTGCATTGTTATAAGTGGTTGGCTCGTTCTGCTGCGGGTTGTCTCGTATGTCGCGGAACGTCTCGTTGAAGAAAGGCCCACCAACGAGCGCACCGTAGGCTACGTTCGGGTTTGGTTCCGTCGAGTTGAAATACTTGAATCCCTCTAAGCACCCCGTCGTCGCATCCGCCGGAATCGAAGCGCCTCTGTGATGCACAAACTCCGGGTACTTGTCTCCGTAACCTACCACGAAGCTCATCCCCATCGGGTTCTTCCCCAGCACGTAATCAGCCTGGAGGAAGAAGAAGAAACTATATATAGTAAGTAAGTCTTCTTCGAGTTGTTTGCTTTTGTTATGTATAGTTTCTTTGTTACCTGTGATTTGGCGAAATCTCTGAGCTCTGTTGCTTTGAAGATCTTCCCATCGCAAGATATTTTATGGATACGGGAAGTGAGCATGTAGTCGCTGAAGAGCGAGGCTAAGAATGCTGCGGAAACCGATTGTTGCAGAGAGTTCCATTCACTGACCGCTACAAGTCCACCTGTTGAAAGAAGAAGACGATTCATAAAAGATCGAAGCTTTACAAGAAATCGAGTCTTTTATGTTTCTATGCAATAATAATACCTCTTGTTCTGCTCTTTGTAGCTGTAGGAGAGTTTGGTAGAAGCCCACACATGACAGCTTTAGCTGTATCCCTGTAACTGAAAAGCCCCTTGCTTCCTGATAAGTCTTTCTTAAAGAAGAGCAACCTTGATAACAGTACCTGCAAACGAATGATTAGGAAGCTTCAATATTTACCGAAGCAATGGTTCCAAGTTTTATTTCATCCAAATCTTAAAACCTGTGTTCCTGCAAGCTTGTTGTCCCAACTGAACCATGTCGGATTTCCAAAGCTAGCGTATTCCTTTCCATGTTTAGTCACATAGTCGAGGTAAGCCTTGTCCTCTGTTGCATGGTACAACCAGCTTGCCGCCCAAAGCAGCTCGTCCCCAAACCCCGTCGAGTTGTAATACGTCTGAACCTCTGGGATGTTGACACTGTAAGAGCCTCTCTTACTGTCTGCGAAATCGAACAGCTGTTTCGCGTGTTTCAGAAGCGTCGCTGAGTACTGAGGGTCGCTTTGCTTGAACACTAGAGACGCAGAGGCCATAGCTGCTGCTGTCTCCGCAGCAACCTCTGTCCCTGGAGTTTCTGCATCGATTTTGATCAGCGGTCTCTTCTCTGTCATGGTCTCTGGTCTCTCCCAGCATTTATGATCTATTTTTGGATCTCCCACCTATATCAAACATAATCATCACAATTTGCAAACTAGAATCATTATAAAGCTACAGGGAATGAAGAGTAAAGCTTCAAAAAACCTGGATATAGAGGACATTATCAGAAGGATGAGCTTTGATGAAGAAGTCGGTGGTCCATCGGAGAGTTTCTTTTGCAGGATCTAATTGGTTCACTGCATCCATTTGATCACCGTACTCGAGAATCGACCATGACAGAACAGTGGCAGTGAAAGCCATCGGGAAACCAAACTTTATGTGATCCCCAGCGTCGTAAAGCCCTTGGGAAAGATCCAGTTTCGCGTCACTTCCATCATCGAGTCCCGAATCTCCTCTCCAAGGTATCTTGTTGTTCTCCAGTTTCCCAGCTGCAACCATCCCAAAAAGGAAACAAAATCACAACAAAAAGAAAAAATCAGTCAACGACTTGTCAGATATAGAAACTTTAACATTCAGGGGAGAACTAGTAAATCTCGAATTTCGAAATTTCGTAGAAGAACGTGGAAACACGATGAGGTAATAAAATAATTACATTTCTGGATATCGAAGAATTGCAAGGCGAGCTTGAGAGCGTCGGCGTATTTCTTATCAATGGCGCCGGGAGGACCAGGAACAGGACCATCGTCAGGTTTATCTTCATCGGGTTTCTTCAGTCTCGATCTGACCGTGTAAACGACGGCGAGCACAACAGCAGCCAATACGATAATCGCTATAAACCAACCGCACCATCCTCTCGACTTCGATTTCTCCCCCATTTTTTTTTTTTTTTTGAAGTCTTGAAGCAGAGAGAAGAAGAAGAAGAAAGAAGGAAAAATACAAGAGCACTGGTTTAGATCCGAGTCAATGCAGCTGCATTCGCCGATCGGAGGAGAGGAATTTAGCTCCCTGGATCTTAGGATTGCGAAATGGATTAGTGGATAGTGATGAAGGAGATGGAGAGAGATGATGAGGAAGGAAGAGCGATAGGCTAATTCAAAGGAAGGTGGAGAGAGGAGTCACTGACACTACTTCAAACCCAGTGGTGGTTTTGTCGGTGGAGTAACAAGCGGGATTTGAGATCTGTTTTTCCTTCTCCTTTTAGACCTTCCTTTCTTTTATTTTTCTCTTTTTTCGTTTTTTTTGTTTTTTTGTATTGTTATTATATATACGAGAGCTGAATTACTGTAATACCCTTTTACCGTCAAAGGAAGGAGTTGAGCCGAGCTGAGCCGAGCCGAGCCCCCACCCGACTCCAAGTCCCCATCATGACCGGTATAATTCATTACGAGTTTCAGTCACATTAATTTTAATGATATTACCGAAAAAACAATTGTTTAAACATTAAAATAAATGCGTCTAAAGAAATTCAGATGAAGTACATTATTTTATTACAATAAAGTGAGATGAGTCACGAGAGGGTTTAGGTGTGATTGAGATGAAGTACATTACTAGGTATATTAAAAAAAAAAAAAAAAAAAACCCAGATCAAGTCACAAGCATGATTAGATAGACTATAAAAAGTTGCTCATTACTTGAATGGTTCCATAACAGCGACTCCACCAACATATTATTAATCTGAATATTCGTTTTTTGGAATCAGTGGGCCTAGGCTTTATCAAGCATATGATTCCGGCCCGTTTAGACGTTAGATACAGCCCATATCCAAAAACGATAACAACATTTGGGTGAAGAAACGCGCCAACTCCGGAGAAACCCCCAAATCCGAATTTTGTTTCCAATCCCTAGAGATTCTGGATTCTCCGTTTCTCCCAGCCTTGTCGGGATCCATGGAGGCCTGATCATCCCCAGAATTTTATTTAGGTTAGTCTTTGACAAGCTATACTAATGTTCCGCACTTTCGTTTTTTTTTTTTTAAAATCTTTTTCTGAATCTCCGTGGGTTGAATGTTCGGATCATGCGGAATCGTTACGGTCAGCGATTTTGAGTGAGATAATTATGCGTTTTTTTAATTCGAATATTTCCGATTATATTTCCTTTTCGATTTCTAGCTGAAAGCGATGGATGATGAGTTAATTTCTAGTGTCGATGGATGATCACACAAGGTGTTACGTCATCTTTTAATCAGTGTCCGGTGTAAAGTCTCTGTCTTTTGTAATTTTGATTGTAAAGTCTCTGTCTTTTGTAATTTTGAATTTTTCAGAATGCTGATGGAAATTGAAGATACTCAACAACAAAAGCAAGAGCGATCATCGAGAAAGAGATGGACTCCGTTACTTGACAAGACGTTAGCTGATTTGGTGGTTAAACAGATCCAACTAGGAAACAGGCAGAACAATGTTTTCGACAGGAAAACGTGGAGTAACATACGCGACGAGTTCAACGAGAAGACCGGACTCAGCTACAACAACAATCAGTTAAGGAAACATCTCGATGTTCTGAGACAACGCTACGATTCTGTGAAATCTTCTCATGCTCAGAACGAGTTTGTTATGGAAGACTCTGGATGTATCTTGGGTTTTGACTTGTGGGAAGATCTCGGTGTAAGCCTTTATTCTTTCTTTTCTCTCTCTATAGGTTCAAACATAACTTCGTTTCACTGACAACAATGCTGGTTCTTACTTATGGTCACAGGTACATCCTAGGAGTGAACCGGTTAAAGTTAAGGAAAGTCCAATATATGAGCAGCTTTGCACTATCTTTGGTGATGACTCCGCTGTGGGTAAATATGCTCAGTCGAGTCACTTCGAGGGACTTGAAGAATCCTCCATGGCGAATCAAACCTCAGGTTTGTTCACATCTCCGGCGGAGAATTTATCATCGACACCAAGTGTCGCGAACAAAGACTTGTCGGAGAGAAAAAGGAAGAGAGAACCGGATTCAAAGACTTCTTCGTCCCCAGGCCAGATTGATCCAGCAGCACTTGAAACCATGGCAGGTGCTTTGTCAGACATGTTGACTGGTTTGAGGTCAAGGATGGCTGATTTGAAAACGACAGATGATAGATTTAGTATCGCTAACTGCGTCAATGCGCTTGACGAGATAGAGAACGTGGATGAAGGTGTCTATTTTGCAGCTCTAGACCTTTTTGAGAACCCTGGTCTTAGAGAGACCTTTATCTCTCTTAAAGCTAACAAGTTACGGTTGACATGGTTGCGAGTTAAGTGCAGGAAACTTTCTCCTTCAGTTGCACAGCTAGGTTGACTTCATTGTTGTTGCTACCAATAGATTTGGTTTTTCATAGAATTTTTTTGGTTGCTGATGATAAATATAGTTGAGGAGGAAAATATAGTATCAGCTTTAAGATGGAGATATAAGTGTTGTGTCATGTTTTGTTTCATTACAACAGAAGATTGAACTCTTGTTTGGTTTTTTCTTTCAACTGTTACAATATCTCCAGGTCATGATTGGTGAACAAAACAGTATTGTACAAATGTAGACACACGCGAATGAAGAAATGCGAGAAGGGAGATGAAAAAGAGAGTGTCTTTTGATCTGGTTCTCTCTCTAGTGCAAGAAATTTAGTCATCGTCCTTGAACTCCCTGGCAGAAGAGCTGTGTCAGTATCTCTGAAATGTGCAAAAAAACAGAGTTGGCTCATTCAAGTAATCGGATTCACAAGTATGGTGTACCTTCGATCAAGGTAACGAGGTTGAACACCAGAGCCTTGACAAGTGGTGCAGGTTAAGGAACCAGCACCGTCACAGTTGATACAGTTTGATACTTCTTTCTCTCCTCCACCAAGCTCTACGGTCACGTTACCACTTCCCACACACAATCTGCACTTCTCTGCTCCACCAAAATGTTCATAAAATAGCTTCTAAACATCAGAAAGTTCCCACCAAAATGCTTAAGACAACTTGAGAATGAGAGAGAGAGGGAGAGAATGGATTCACATACGAGCTCCGGTTCCATTGCAGGGAAAACAAGGTTGTGTGTTCTCTCTCTTAGCCTATGAAGGTGTAAAAACGAAACAGTGTTAAACTTCACTGAGACTCGATTAACATAAATCAAAGCATGGATTCAAGTTCCAGAATTTGAAGACTCACGGCATTGTCGATTTGAGTCTCGTAGAAGACAGGGATTCCGATTCCCAGTGCGACGCTCGCCAATCCAACAGAAATTGCGACTACCTAATTACAGCAAACCAGAATCTCGATAATCACTTCAAAACCAGTGTGAGAACAAAGTTGATTTTAAGACATATATCAGGGATCGAACCGTGTTCGTGTCGACTTCTGCTTTGATTCGAGGATAAGATGTTGCCGGCGACCGGAGATTTCTCGCAGAGAGGAAACGGGAAGAAGGAGTGAGATTGATGGGACGGTGAATAAACGGAGACTGGAGACGAGGCGGAGATGGAGCTGATACTGGCATTTTCGCCTTTGTTCGTTGCGAAGCTATGCAGAAAATACGCGTAAGCGCGCGAAGATGATGACGGAAGAGAAGAACCAGTGGTTTTGGAGATGTTTCTGGGTTTTGGGTTGATCTCAGCCACTAGATTAGTCACTGGGCTAAGATTTGTTCACGTGGCGTAATTCGATTTAAGAAAGGGTTTTCTTTTTTTCCATTTTTTATTTTATTTATATTTTATCGCCTTATCCGGTTTTCATAAATCATAATGATGAAGTGAACCGTGATTGGGATAGAGGCGAAGAGTTACGGTACACCCGCTCAAGAGTGGAAGATCGTAACCGTCCAATACTGATCCAACGGCTAGTAACCTCTCAAAGTCGTGATTATTGACTTTATATATATAAAAAAAAAGAAAAAAAAACAGGCACTGTTTCAACAAGTTACAACCCTCAAGTAGAGAACAAAATATTTTGAAAAAAGGATTCGCAAGTCACAATCGATACGAGATACCGTTTGCTTTGCCTTTCTCCATCTCTTGTTTGGTCCTTTTCCCCGCCGATAACGTAACCGTCGCTGTCTATTTCGTTCGTTCTCCAACAATTCATTCGACCTTGACTGGTTTCTCTGAAGAACCGTAAGGTATGTTACTGTTAAATTCTTCTCCGTATCCGTCTCATGGAAAGATCTTTTTTGTCAGTGTTATGGGTTTGAGTTCTTCATTAAGTTCCATGTTTTAAAAACATGGTCCTGTTTGTCTGATGTTTCTGTTTTTTTTTAGTCTTTATCTCGTTTTCTTCTGATTGTAGATAAGATTTTTATTTTATTTTGGAGACCGTAATGACTTCTAATAACTTTTAGCCAAAAAATTTGCTCAATAGTGTAATCATTTTTATTATTCTGATTACCAAATTCGTTTTTCTGTGTTAATCAGGTGATCACAATGATTGGATCGCTTCTGACAAGAGTGCTTCTGTAACCCACTTAATAACCCTGATCTCTTCTTTTTAACTTTCTTAAACATAGTTTTTTTAAAAAAAAATAACTAATGGAATGAAACCTATGTTTCAAAAATGTTGACAGAATGGTATTTGGATATGCATATCCTGCTTATGAGTGCTACAAAACGGTCGAACAGAACAAGCCTGAGATTCAACAGCTCCAATTCTGGTGCCAATATTGGTAACATGATGAGCTTCTCATTTTTTTCTCTTCTTGATCTCTCTATACCTTGAGAGGTTTATAAATCTCTCTTGCTTCCTCTCAAAAATTCTTCTTGCAGGATTCTTGTTGCTGCTTTGACAGTTTTCGAAAGAGTTGGTGATACTCTTATTTCGTGGTATGTTTGTTACCGATCTTTGGTGCTTACTTAATACTATTTATGTTGTATTCTTATTTCTTTTTTTTTCTGCCACGTTATCTTCTTTAAGGTTACCAATGTATAGCGAGGCAAAGTTGGCATTCTTCATTTATCTCTGGCTACCAAATACCAAAGTAAGTCATATATATTTATCTCCTTTAATCTTCTGATTTCACTTGCCTTGAATCTAATTCTGTTTTCCACTGTGTGTTACCATTTTTCAGGGAACTACATATGTTTACGACTCTTTCTTCAAGCCATATGTCTCAAAGCATGAAAATGAAATTGACCGTAACTTGGTTGAGCTTAAGACTAAAGCTGGAGGTATGGCAATGATATATCTCCAAAAAGTAATCAACCATGGACACACGAGATTCTTTGAGATCTTACAGTATATTTCAGAACAATCAACACCTAAACCTCAGCCTAAGGTAAATACATTACTTCACCTATATATCACACATCTCAGTTTCTGTATGCATAATAGTTGATCTTTAGTGTCTATGCATGAATCTTCTACGTTTCTCTGACAATAGGAAAAGAAACAGACAACAACAGCTGAAGTTGATGATTCGAATCTTAAGGGCGACGCAAAGCAAAGCTAACTCTGATACATGAAGAAACGCTAAAAGGCTAACTCGTTGCATAATCTTCTTTCTCTTATTAGTCGCTTGGAATAAATTTATTATATGGTTGGTCACAGTTTCATATTTCAGATGTATTTAATGGCTTCGAAAATAAATAAATGAAGTAGCTTTTGGTGTTTTTGACTAGAGAGAAACAGAATAAAATTGATTTATTATATAGGCCGAAACCCAAATGTTTTTCCACATATTTAACATTGGCCCAATTTCCTTCGGTCCATGACTCCCAAGGTGAATCTTCTTATTTTAGATTTCTAAGAAATTTAATTTTGGTCAATCATAGATACTCTTTGGGCCAACAATCTGATGTCAAAAAAGAATGAAAAGATATAAATCACTCTACAAAGCAATTTAGAAAACAATGAAAGTGCTTAAAAGTAAAAAAAAAAAAAAATAACAATAGGACCACACGGTTACAAGTTGTGACATATCATCATTGTGTAGGTAAAACACATCAATATTTCCAAAATGATAATAGAGTACTGTATTGTTCGTACAAGCAACCAAATTAACGGGTGATACATCATCATACATGTAAAAGGAAGACCAAAAACAAAATTAAAAAAAAAAATCATAAATTAATGAGTTGTCGAAATACCAATAATTGAAGAAGGATGTAAACGAATGATAGATGAATCCACTATAAAAGTTAGGGACCATTTTTGGGTTGAATGATAGTTGTTGTATATCTATCTATCTACTCAATCAATTGCATTAATTGATAAGAAGGTTATATAGTATAGACCAGTGTGAAACTAAAAGAGTGTCAGCAAGAAACCTCTTCTCTTTTCACCACTTTGTTTTATTCTCTCCAAGCTAAAATGATGCGATTTCCCCAATTTGGACTTTCCTTCTAACTAAAAAATAAAATAGCATCCCAACAAAAATAATTGAAGTTTGCAGGTGGTAAATTCCAAAACCGAGCTTCTTTTCTCACATCTAATTTTCTATTTTTACTTGATTATAGAATGAGTGTGCAAAAAAAGATACATTGCAGTTGTTACAAGTCTTTTAGTATCAAAATAGATTGCACGCTTTCATGTCACACGGTATTACAGTGGATAACACACTTTTATACCTTGTACAGTATAAATTGATTTTATAATATGGAACATATGAAACAGTAAAAATACTTTTGAAGGCGATGCAAAACAGTACAAATAACAATACTAGCTTTCAAAAACAAAATATGGAAATTTTGGGGTTTGTAAACAAATTACACGAACAAAACATGCTTGGAATTTATACCATCGAGACTTAACGGACGTTAAACAAATTATAAATGCTTTCAGCTTTGTTAACAACTAAAACAACAAACCTAAACGATATGCTGCATCATTGCATTGAACTTCATTTCAAGTTGGTGACAAATTAATCAATATACAACATCGTTTAGAGCTTCTTCTTTTTTTTTTGGTAATGCAAGTTTAACAACGCTGCAAATTCAGTTTGGAGATGTAACACAAGTATAATGATGAGTTTAAATATTAAATTTATACAAAACCCTAAGAGACCGTACATCCTTTCAGCGATATTAAATTTTAAGTTTCTAACGGTGTTTTTTCTTTATTTTATAAAAGACGAGGGAAATTGATTTTTATTCATTTGAGATGATTGATATGATTATGTACGTTTAGGTCTTTAATTTGTTTTTGGGTGGGAGATGTAATACAATTTTTTTGCTAAATTGTAAATATCATTAAGAAATGAAGTTTTAGGAATTACAAGAGATGTAATACAATTACAAACGGTACGCAACGCAAGGGATCAGATTCGGGGATTGATTTGGTTCCTTATTACTTTATGATTAAATGAAATGGGGACACAATTGTCTCTATCTTTTTCTCTTTTATTTGAACCGATTTGCCAAACCTTTAAAATTCAAAATCACACGTGCACTTTGTAACATTGTAAACTGATAAGCATTATTTGTCACAGATATAAAATTCTACTACAAATTAAGAACAACAAAAGTAAGAAAATTCATTGAAGAAGATCCATAATTTGGTATATTCAAAATATCGTGTTATATAATCAGTACTCTCTCTCTCTCTCTGTCGGTGTTTTAAAAATCCTCTATATTTTCATTCCTGGCTCTATATTTAATGCATTTTAAAAGCACTTGAAATTATACAAATTGGGAATTGGAAGGGTTCTCTTTACTGCAATACAAGATGGGTAATACTAATATAAAATTTGTATCAACTTTGAAGTTGAAAATGGGAAAATTTATCTACTAAAGACCAAACCTAATCAGCCACGTGCTTATGAGAGATTCTTTAACATGCAGGAGGCTTAAATTTTCTGTCAGTCGAATAAATTCCATTGTCACCGGAGTAACAAATATTTAAGTGTTATGTGTACGTAACAATTACTTTACTTTTTGGGTTTGAAAATTCAAATTGGTTAATAAACAAACCACATTCTCAAGATCTCGCGCTCGTTTTCTTCGTTGTATAAGATGAAAGCTAAAATATAGTACAAATTATTAACAAAACTTAAATTGAAATGGCTTTTAAGAGTGAAAACAAAAGAGAGGGACAAATGTGGAACACGACAAGTGAGAAGGCCAAAGCGACTGCGTGATAAATCCAAGTATCGCGGCGAATGCGAAGGTCTTAGTTTTTTTTACTTCCGGTCCACGGTCAACCCTAAACCGTAATTTATTTTTATTGCTACAATTGTCACCCTTAACTCATGATTAATTCACTTTATGGGTTTATTAATGAATGATTAATACATATACTTGGGTTTATTAATGAATGATTAATACATAATACATATACAATTCGCACCGTTTATTGTGCTACTTATTTATTTGGCGCTTTCAACTTTTCTTTTTCTATAATAATCAGTATATTAATTAATAAATGAATTATCCCATACTACTTACACTAACTTCAAGTGTAACTCCACCACTATTTACTGTTCTGAGCTTCATTTCTGACACTCTTTTAACTTATTTTGAGTTTAACCCATAATCAGTTTCTTACTAATACGAAGGAGCACATTCTTATAGTATAAATACTGAGTTTTTACCAAAACTACTTAGAACACAAACTATTAGTAGAGTTTAATTAAGAATTAAAAGACATTGAAAAATTCAATACGAGACAAATAGAACATTTGGAATCCGTAATCACAGTTCCAAATACGAAGTTTCCAAAGAACTTGTCTGGTGTTTAACGTGTAGTCTTGGTCTGTTTTAACAATTGTTTTGACCATACATCCAAAACATTATTTTAGCATGATTATTGTTATTATATTCTTTTTATGTACTGTTTTAAGTTAAACATACATTAACCTTCCTTCAAAACTTTCACAACATTTTTATTAATCTCATCATGTTCTCATCAGCGAAAAATGCATTTTTAGTATTAAGTAACGTCTATTGACAAATATACTCAATTCGGATATTATAATCCAATTACCAAGCAAATCAATAATACACAGTCGAGATGCTTGAGTTGCATTATTTATTTGCATTTTAACAATGAAAGCTTTAGTGACGTTGACCAAGTCAGCCGTTAAATAAGGTCAAACCATAATGGAAGATTGAAGTAGTTAAAGCACATACATAAGCCAACCAAGCTCGTCCAAGAAAAGTTAATTTCATTTTTTCTAACTAATTTCTATCATTAAAAAGCAACTTACTTCAAAGTGCATATTAAATACTGTTTTATCTACGAGGAAAATATTATAATTAAGTGCACCACAACTAACAAAGTAGCAACCAGATACCAAAATTAATTAGAAAGTTTTTGTTTTCCTCTGACAAATCAAGATATCTGAATATCGTTCGTACACTATGTTTTCAATTAATAAGTTTTTTTTTTAAAAAGCTTACGATTTTAAAAAACCGAATGACAAGAATATTAATGACAAGGGTAAGAAAGTAAAACGGTAAAATAAAGAATTAAAGAAGGATAGAGCCCACCACTTTAATCTCCCTGAGTTTCCCTCCTTATTACCCCATCTTGGATCCATCTTCGATTTCAACACCTACAAAAAAAAAGCTTATAATTAAAGAACCAAAAAGAAACAAACAAAAAAGCTTACAAGAAACTCTCACACATTCTCAAGAGCTTCTCATTCAATATCAATGGCTTTACTCACTTTCTTGCCGGAAAACGCAGAGTCTTCAAAACACACCCCACCGCCGAGCAAACGCAAGAAACGAAGCAACCCCACCGACCAAACGCAGCCGCAGAAACCGCAGAAACCGCTAAAACCACAGAAACCGAATAAAGTAGTACCTCCGAAGCAACCGTCTTCATGGGACCAAATCAAGAACTTATTGACTTGCAAGCAAATCGAAGGGTCAAGAGTCCACGATCCTTCCAAGAACTCTCAGTCTGGTCCGTCCACGACGACTCACTTATCTCCTTCCAAGCTCGGCTCGTCGTGTAGCTCCATCTGCAGCTTCAGAGACGTGGCTCATAGCAACACTCGTGTGGTTCACAGAGCCGACAACTCTCCAGACGTGGCTAACTCGGCTACTGCTGACTCGGAGACTCGTCTTCTGACTCGGAAACCTGGTCAACACGGTGCTTCTTCATCGTCTAGGTCTCTTACATCTGGCTCGACGAGATCTAACGCCAGCGGAAGTTACACGTCATCGTCAACGACATCATTTAGAGCCATGCAGTTCCGTAAACTCTCGGGATGTTACGAATGTCACATGATCGTTGACCCTAGCAGGTAACTACAAAAATTAATGGTCAGAAAATACAATTAGTTGTAATTATATTCGTGTAAGATTAAGATTTTTACATTTTTGTGAATTTTAGGTATCCTATTTCTCCGAGGGTTTGTGCTTGTTCCCAATGTGGGGAAGTTTTTCCGAAGCTTGAAAGCTTAGAGCTTCATCAAGCGGTTCGTCACGCAGGTAAAGTTTTTTTTTTATTTTCCTTTAATTTATTTGACTTTATCACTTAGCTCAGATTACTTAACTACAATCTATCTACGTACAACATTAATTCTGGTGTGTGTGGTCACGTTTTTTATGTTAACCCTAGCTCAGACTTTATCACTTAGCTGTAGAAGATATTTTTATTTATCTAGTGTCATTTTGCAAATGCAAATTGCTTGGTAAAGTAAAGATATATATATTATGTACGACTGGAAGGAAAATTGTTCAAGATCTGAGTCCATAATTTGATTTGTGAGTGATGATCTAATATTTATACAGTATATGATTAAATCATTAGCGTTAACACATGAATACAGACTATTTATCAATAAATCGATTTACCATAATGTTATGCAATAATTAACGAACATGATTTCATTTTGTAGCTTAGACTTTGTTTTTATTTTTAAGGGAAAGAAGATCTCAATGTTATTGTCGGTGATATTATCAATCTAATAAATTAGGATAATTTGGCGTTATGTTGCAGACTGTTTTTGGAATAGAACTTCATATTCACTGATGATAAACTCATTTTTGAGAGAAAAATACAAAAGAGAAGGGGAATATAAACTGAGAACAGTATATTAGTGTCTATATCTGTCACTTTGCTCGGAAACACTTCGGTGCGATGGGACCATTTGTTTGTACTCCTAGAAAAATTGAACAGCTGTCACAGTTCTTAACTAAATTCAATGTCCCCCTGATATTTAATACGTGTCATACTTGTATTCGTCAGTACCAGAATTAAAAGCTCCACCTGACAAACCGGATCATAACTCAGATTTTTGTTTTCTTCCTTGACTCTCACATTTTCCCTGAATTGAAAAACGTTGTCGTTTTCGATTGCAGTTTCGGAGTTAGGTCCGGAAGATTCGGGTCGAAACATAGTGGAGATCATATTCAAGTCAAGCTGGCTTAAAAAGGACAGTCCGATCTGTAAGATCGAACGGATACTAAAAGTCCACAACACTCAACGCACGATCCAACGGTTCGAAGATTGTCGAGACGCAGTGAAGGCGCGTGCACTTCAAACCACCAGAAAAGACGCTCGTTGTGCCGCCGACGGCAACGAGCTTCTCCGTTTCCACTGCACCACTCTCACTTGCTCTCTCGGATCTCGTGGCTCATCCTCTCTCTGCTCTAACCTCCCGAGTTGCGGCGTCTGCAACGTGATCCGCCACGGATTCCAGGGAAAATCCGGCGACGGTGGAGCGGCCATCGCTACCGTAACCGCGAACGGCGGCGTCAGGACGACGGCGAGCAGCGGAAGAGCTGATGATTTGCTGAAATGTAGCGACGATGCGAGGAGGGTGATGCTTGTGTGTCGTGTGATCGCTGGGAGAGTTAAGCGTGTCGATTTACCGGCGGAATCTCCGGTTACGGAACAGAAGTCTCCGGCGGAGGATAATTCTGTCGTTGGAGCTTCTTCAAGTGGCGGTGTGTTTGACTCTGTTGCGGTCAACGCTGGAGTTTATTCTAATATGGAGGAGCTGGTGGTTTATAACCCGAGAGCCATATTACCTTGCTTTGTGGTTATTTACAAAGTTTTAGAATCTTGAATTTGTAATTTTTAACTTCTAAATAATGTCTTTTTATTTTGTAGTACTTCTAACTTTTTAATATCATAGATAGGGTGATTAGGTTAATCATCATATCATATTATATAACCTGCGTCATAAATCCCATCTTATTATCGACCATTTAGTGGAATTAGGAGTCGTAGCTATTTATTATTGTTGAAATCATGATTAAGTTAAGAATTCATTACTATGGTGGACCAAAAATTCATGATTACAGTTAAGTTAACGTGTAAAATTCTTTTGTTTTTTTCTCAGTTTGAGCTTTTTGACCTGTAAATGTAAAATTTTGTTTGACTACAGTAACTTTCATAGTGTGTTCACACTGTGTGGGCATCAAATAGTGTGGGAGTGGCAGAGGCGATATAATTGCTACCACATGCGTATTCAGTAAATTGTTTTATTTTCCCGAGTTCTTTTCGTTACAGTAATTTTTTTTTCTAGGGAAAGCTGATTTGTTTTTGATAACCATGCAAAGCTGAATTTATTTTTATTTAAAGACATTTAATTATTTGGGTACTGCATGATCTTAGTTTAGTAGTTATATAGTATTGTAAAGATAAGTTCAAAAATAACCCATAAAAATAAAAGGTTTGCACGCCGCTGAGAGGAAGATGCCATTGGAACTTTCCTCGTTGTCAGAAGTTGCTACATTGTTTATTTGGAAATAAATCAGTTTCTCCTTGAAGTTGCAAATGATATACTGAAGATTTAGAATCAAACCAAATTTAATACTCCTAGTTTGTAACACCTATGTGAAGGATAGGTTCAAATCAAAACGTTGTTGTAACTATAGATTTAATGTTGATTAATCTGTAGCGAACAAAAAAGACCCTGAAATACATTATACTAAAGGAACTGAAAACTTTCATAGAGTGAAGTAGACCTTCATCCGCGAAATTAAAAGATATTCCTTTACCGGGAATCGAACCCGGTTTATAAAGCGTCCACTGTTGAACACATACCGGTTTTCAGAGGATCTACGGTTGCAATTAAAATGGGCCTTCAATGGGCCCAGTTTATTGTATAGAAACTCAAATGGGCCTTCAAAAACTTGTTTCACTTAGCTTTAAAACTTTGGGCCGGAAGTTGTAATATATACATGAACCTTGAATTCAGACTCAAAGACAAAGGTCCTGAATCAATTGAATTGGACCTAGTAATCGTTTGGTATTATTATATGCACTAGATCCTAAAAGTAAACCAACTCAATCAATCTTATAAAAAATACTAGTATGTGATATTAATAACATTTCGACGAAATTGATAAATTATTGAGTTGTTTATGAGTTATCCAGGTGGTTTAGTTTTTACTTAAAGGTAGAATTAAAGTACAAGACATAATCATAACCGTCATAAAACCTTAAATTATAAAAAAGGATCCTAATCCAATAATCATTTCACCAAAAGCCTCTAATTCTTCTATGCTCCCTCCATGTCGCCTCCTCGTTATCTAGCCTTTTTTCATATGTACTTTTGCTGTTTAAAATCAAACTCTTGTTTTGTTCTACGAATAATGTTTTTGAGCTAATTTGCTTACTGGTCCCAAAAATTTATTGTGCCCTAAAACAAGGTCAACGTCAAGTGTAAATGCAGGACCACAAAACTCTTTCCTGAACGTAATCACTAATTACAGCTTTAATTATGTATTAATTATACATCAAATAATTCTATGATTAATCGTACAATGGATCAGTTCTTGGTTCGTCGTTTTTATAAAGCATACTGTATTTTGTAGAAACAGTCACATTTATACGGAAGCATTTGAACAAGAGAAAGAGATTTAAATGCGCGTTAGGAAAAATTCTAAGAATTATAAAGGATATATGACATAGTTTGTAGTTTCATTGAAGAGATTTTGGATCGAAATTAGTACGTACATTTTTCCATACACAAAATCACATTATCATGTAGACATGTAGTAGTATGGTGTCGTTCCAAATATCACTCAGTTATGCGATTTCTAATTTTTGCCGTTAGTGTAGTTTGTATATTTTTGTAACAATGCTACGTAATATTTGTATAATCATGACTGTGGTCGAAGACTCGAAACCATCGGACAGTTTTTTTTTTAGTCACTAAAGATTTATGACAGCTAGTTTTACTCCTCAAAACAAAAAAAAAACAGAAATAAAAGCAAAAAACCGAAAAAACCAGTCTTTTTTGTCACGACCAAAAAACTAGTTTTACTCGTGAAAACCAATTTAGATGATGAATCTGCTAGTTAAGATGGGTCCTACATTTTGTTCATAGGGTAAACACATCTCAAGAAATTCCTAGGTGGTTTAATCATTGAAACACTCTTCTTCCTGGTTTTCCTCCTTCATGAATCATTACAAATTTACTTAGGAAGATATTTTAACAGAAAAATGAATCCTTCTTTATTAAATTATCAAAAACATTGAGGTACGAGCTATAGTTTCACCATTCACACATAGACAAACCCACAAGATCTTTCATCTTAACAAAACGATATCAGCTTGATAGGATCACCATGAAGATCTTCCACAGATTCCGAAAGATTCTCATGAGGCTCATTGATCTCACTCTCCCTTCCTCCTCCCGCCGGCAGAAGAACTCCGGCAACGTAGAGAGGTTTGAGCCGCCGAAGATCTCGTGTAGTAGTTCTTACTACTCCTCTCACGTACACTACAGTGAAGCTATCGCAGATTGCATTGAGTTCTTCAACAAATCTTCGGCTATATCATCATGTGATGAGGATAATGATGCTTGTCATGTAGACGATCACGATGATCGTGTCTGTTTTTATGTTTGATCGACATCTCAAAATCCACTTGTTTTCCTTTTGCTTCAAATTTTGTTTCGAGGCTTTGCTTTATTTTATTTTTATTTTAGTTGGTGTGGTTTTGAAACACATATATTATGGCCAATTATAAATTAGCCACATCCTTCACGAATCTTTTCTGGTTTAATTTTCCGTTGAAACTTCTAGCATTTTCATCACTTTCGAACTGTCCTTAAAAAAAAGAAGGAAATAACCAAGTCATAGTTATCTAGTAGTTAAAGGATTTATTTTTCGAGTATTTTTAGAGTTGAATAGAACTCTATTTACAGAATTGTGATCCTAAACAAGAAAAGTAAATTGCTGTATCTTATCATTCCATTTTTCTTTCTTTTTATTTGCATTTTTTCATGATAACCTTTTTGTCAAATTTCCTTTGTTGCTTGATTTGCCTTTTGCTTGCTATTCGCTTAACTTTTTTTTTGGAGTTTTCTTTTCATTTCGTAATTCTTCTTATTTGGCATTCTTTTTCTTGTACATCATACATATCGATCTGTTCCAACACTTTTCATCTTAACAAAACGATACTAGTTTCATAGGATCAACATGAAGCTCCTCCACAAATTCCGAAAGAGACTCATCCGGTTCATCGATCTCACTCACCCTTCCTCCTCCCGCCGGCAAAAGAAGAAGTTTGAGCGGCCGAAGATCTCGTGCGGTAGTTCTTACTACTCGTGTGACGTACACTACAGTGAAGCTATCGCAGATTGCATTGAGTTCTGCAACAAATCTTCAGCTTTGTCATGTGATGAGGATCATGAATCTTGTCATGTAGACAATCACAATCGTGAATCGACATCTCAAAGTTCACCCGTTTTGCCTTTTGTTTCAACATTTTGATTTGAGGCTTTTCTTTTATATTTATTTGATTTATTGTAGTTTTAATTCTTTTGAAACACTTATATTACGGCCATTTAGAAGTCATCCACTTCTTTTCTAGTTTTTGTTGAAATTTCTAGCATTTTCATGACTTGACCAAACTGTCCTTTAAAATAAAAATTAACAATGTCGTAGTTGAAAGATTTATTTCGAGTTGAAAATGATCCAAGTAGTTTTTTAATTTCGATTCAAATTTCGTATTAGAACCAAATTACAATAAATTTCGCATATTTTGGGTCCATATGAAATATTCCAATTATAAAAAATGAAATGTATTTGGAATTAGTATTAATTTAGCACAAGTCAACTTTAATTACTAGAAAAAAATATGTGTCGCATAATAATTCTAGATTAGTTTAATATTGAAATCCTCATGAAAGATTCTTGAAGCCTCACATCGTTTTCTCTGCGGATACCGTTTTCGAAGGCTTTCTCCAATACCTTCAGCTGTATAAGCCGGATGAGAAAGTGGTTGATTTGCACGCTTTTATGGCTGGTCTTGACTGTTTTACTCTCATGGATGACGATGCTGAAACAAAGTCACTTGCAGATAACAATGTTGCACCAGGAGAAGTCCTAAGACTCTCTTTGTTCTTTTCAATGTGGTTTTAATTAGGCAAATGCATGCTCTTAGCTTGTATCTATTTACTAAATTCTCTACTATCTCAAACTATTTAATCTGATTTAAAAAGCTTGATCTTTGTTGCAAAAAAATTAGACATGTGATATTATTATTCCCAAACAACACATACACACCACAATAAAAGAAAAGAAAATTTAGAAACCAAGCTCTTTCATTGCAAAACCTTTTTCTTTGAGAATATCACTCCAATAAACAAAGGGATCAAGCTCTTCTTCTTCTTCTTCTCCTTCTTTCTCATCGAAGGGTGTCTCTCAAGAAACATCTCCACCACCGAACCTTTATTACCAGTTGTCGGGTTTGCAAATTTAACGTACTTCTTCTCACTCATCGATCTCAACCTTGGACTAGTACTACTTGTTTCATCATCAACCTGAGGAACCAACACTTCGAATTTGGTTTTGAAAACGGTCTCATCCACTTTCGTTACGCGTTCCTCACGGTCTACCCTCAGCTTCAGAAGCTCTTGTTTTGTCCTCTCAAGCTCTTCCCTAAGAGAAGACAAAGAGTTTCTCATTTGTATGCTTTCTTCTTTTGCCCTTTTGAGATTATGTTTTGTCTCTTTCAGCTCCATCTCAACCTTTGCTGGATCTCCCAACTTCTCGCCCTCCATCTGTTTCTTGATCAAATGTTATACCATAATTTTCGAAATCAAATAAAAAAAAATGGATATCCAAATACAAATAGTGACAGTGAGAGAGAATGGGACTTGCCACTTTGAGATGGTTGGAATAAACTTGACTGGCTAAGACTCTCTCGCCGAACAAAGCCACAGCTTCTTTGACGGTTCTAAACGGCGCCGTAGTGTCGATCTCTGCTCTCTTCATAGTGTCCATCATATATTGGCTGCTTAGCTCTCTGTGACGAAGTAGAGAGATACATAAGCTTTGCTTATAGCTTGGTGACTTTAGAATCGAGTCAGAGATTACGCAAAGCATATTAGTTTCTTCATCACCACTTCGTCAGAATACTCTTCTTTTTCAACTTTTTTTAGTACTATATTTTATAGCTTTTGGGAATATATATTCTTATAAAACGATTAATTGTCCATGAAACAATTAGTTCAAAGAAACATTGTAGTTTGTACTGCTATATTTGTCATGTCTTGTCTAAATTCATAGTTGATGCGCTTTTTCCATAGAAAAATATAGTGTTTTTAAAACCAAAGTCACTTTTACATGGAACCGTAAAGATTGTAAAATAGTGCTTTACTGGAGAAATGGCTTGCTACGCAAGAAACTAAAAAAAAACCTAAAACTTGGGAAAATTTGCTCCTTTTAAGAAATCGTGGATCATTTACATAAAAAGACATTAAAGGGTTTTCTTAAACAAGCGGGATTAAGTCATCTCTCTCACTGACAATCCTTGTTCATCGCCTGAGAAAACACCATCTCACATTCCGGCGAAGACAGAAACAAATCTCTGTTTTTTTTTTCGCAACCCAACCGAATGATCCTTAGAACTAATATAACCATAAAGCAAAGCATCTTCACGACTGCTCGTTGCAGAGTAGTTGCAATGAAGTTCTTGTATCTTCATAGACAAGTGGGAAATGGTTTTCTTGTCTGTTCAAGACCTTCCGTGAAAGACTGTTGTCATGGTGATGGCTCATTGACATTGCTGCTGCAGCAGCCATGAGACGGTGTTGCTGTTGAGAGACATTGTTGCTGTACATTGGGAAAGAAGTGCTGTACATTGGGGAAGAAGCAACGTGTAGAGGTTGTTGAATACTACTAGTCAGGTTTAAGGAGAGGTTCGGTTTACTGTATTGGTTCGATGATGGCGGCGCGATGTTTCCACTTGTTGATGGTCTGTACTGAGCAGCCCATATCCTTTTTTGAAGCTGTTGTTGCTGCTGCTGGTTCGCGTTGTAAGCGGTTTGGAATCTACTCGCTAGATAAGGAGACATCTGCTGCATCTACAAGATGAAAGAATGTCTTTTGAGTAATATTAATTACAAGAAAAACTTTGCTCAGTGAAGAGATGATCTGTGACATAGCAAAAAAACAAAACCTGATGACTAGAAGTTGAAGGTTGGAGATGGCTGTTGTAAGCTGCAGATATAGGATACTGTGGAAATGAGTTTGGAAGTGGGAGATGAGATTGTGCTGCTCCAGCAGAAGCAGAAGAGAGAGAGAGGAAATTGTAGCTCTGCTCATTTAAAGAAGAAAGAGATTTTGATCAGAGAGGATCAAAGGCAAGGCATTAACCGAAGAAGATCAGTTAATGTATGTTACCTGTTTCTGTGAAGAAGTGTGAGGACCATAAAGCTCGAGAGCAAGCTGAGTCATGTCTTCTTGCACGGGTTTTGCAATATAGGACTTGTGTAAATCGAGCAGATGTGGGGTTTGATACCTCTTGGATGGAGAAACCATGCTTTCAAAGTCATTAACTGTTGTCACGGGATCAGAGAGTCCACGTTGTGACGTTTCTGAAGATCTTTGCTCGATTTGGTTGATAAGTGTGGCGGGACTACTCTTACTGTTCTGTAATGTTTTGATGAGACGGGAAATGTAAATGTGAGAGGCACATTTCTTCAACTTTCTCGGCTGTACTCGTAACGGTTCACTCAAGAGTGAAGCATTCTTGGAAGGAGAAACAGCTTGACCCATCCAAGGTGGAAGCTTTGTGGATGATGATGGCCTGATTTAAGAAGAAAGATCAGCAATTCAGCATCTATAAGAGAAGAAACAGAGCAGTAGAAAATGGAGTTAACAGACGATTTAACAGAGAGAGTTACTTCGAAAAAACGTGGGAACTGGACTGAATCGTTGAAGATAGGCCAGGCCACAGCGAAAGACCTTAAAGAAGCACAAAACTCAGTATTAGGACAAACAATGGTTTATATAACTCAAGACTTATACGTGATACAAAGTTTGTAAGGTTGGTTTCTTTATTTACCGTTGCTCTTATACTCCGTCTCACTTGTTGCAACCTTTGATTCAATGGCTCTTGTCTAGAAATTTCAAATGGAATCATTAGCTAAATGAAACTTAACTATTTAAGAGCAAGTTTTAGAGTGTTGGCCAGTGAGCTTACAGGTGAATCAGCCACATTCACTGAGCTGCTTTGCTTCAATCTATCAATGAAACCAACCATTCTGTAAAATGAGACAACAACAGTCAAGAAAACATCAATCAGAGTAAAACCGACAAAACCAAATTAAGACAAGATACATACACAGGAAAATAACACTAACCCTGTTGAGCTCCGTTGTTTATCAAATTGCTCCAATTGCGGCTTTTCGTCAGTTTTGGCTGAAGAGAGAGCTGAAACCTCCGGATCAAGAGGTTCTGTTTTTTTAAAGTCAGCTTCCACAACCAAGATTGAGTCAAGTTTGCTGGTTTCTTTCTCACCAGACAAAGGTTCACTCGGTCCACAAGTCTTCTTGTCAATAGAGCTACTCTCAGTAAACATTCCAGCTAAACCGTATAACGTCTCTGCAACTTCTTTCTCATCATTCGATATCATCATAGACTCAGGAACAATAGCTTTTGCTTCCTAACCAAAACATTAAAATATTCATTAACTCAAGATTTACTCTACCAAAAAGAAATATGAAGTCATCATCATTCAAACCAACCATTTCTTGATTCTCCATTTTGATCAAATCCTTCTTACAAGATCCGATTCTCTTTGAAGCAGACGTTAGCTTAGAAACAGATTCAGGATTCCGCTTCTTCATGGCTGCAATTAAAAGTACACAAAAAGAGTTTTGATAGCATTCACAAAAGTGAAAAAGAAAAAAAGTTAGGAAAAGGAAATGCAGGTTTCAAATTCGACGTGATAAAGATTAAAGAGAGTTCCCCAAATTGATAAAGACAAACTTTAAAGAAAAGAAAGAACATAAATAATATTTTAAATTTTGGTTTTTGATGAGATGAGATTGATCGCTTTTGATTTTTATAAGAAGAAAAAAAGAACATAAAAGACAAGTAGCAGAATCTTGCGTCTATAAAAAGAAAGTGAAGAAAAAAAAAAAAAAAAGCAAAAGAGATTGCTTGAAAAATAATCCAAAATCTCTCTCCCAGATTCAAAGCCGAATACCATAATCTTCCCAACTACTCACAAACTGAGTTTTACTGACACTTGCACATCTCTCCATTATGGTAAAATTCACAAAAACATTTAAGAGTTTTTTTATAAAAAAAAAAGACATTCGATTTTATCCCATTTATCTTTTATAAAAAAAAATAAAAATTGAAAATTGGTGCAGTAATGTTTCTCATTGAGTCACGAACAACGCACCTGAACGAAGCTTCCGTGGTACAGAGGCATGATCCACACCATTACTGTCCTTCATATTCTAAAGATGAGAGAAAGAGATAATTCATGTGAAAAGACTAAAAAGATGAATTAGTAGTGACTTGTGTGAGAAATTTGGTTCCGTATAGATGAAGAAGTTACCTTTTTCGGAAGCTTAGGTTTCTTCCTAGAGACCTCGTTTTCTAAATCTGAAGCAGAGAACTCGTAGCTCATCTTACGGTTCAATTTCTCATCAGCTAAACCGAGTTTCTTCAGCAGACGTTTCTTCGACTTTGTAGCAAACCCAGATCCTAATCCATAAATATAGAAGAAGAAAAACAGAGCAAACGACGAACGAGAGTTAATACAAAGCGACAAAAACAAAAAAAAAAAGAGAAAGAGAGAAAATTGGATTTAAGTTTTTGTTGGTTTGTGAAATTGAAATTAATTGTTTCTTATACCAGATTGTTTCTTTGTAAATCGATTGGTTACTCCACGTTTCACATCTCGACGACCCATTTCCATTTTTTTTCTTCGATTTAACTGTCTTCTTCTTCTTCTTCTTCCTCTCACCACTCAAAATAGAGGTGAAGATCAAAAGACTTCAAGAGGAAGAGACGAAACAAACAAAAAGCAAAAACCTCACTTCCACATGTCTCTGCAAAACAAAATAAATCCCTTGCGGTTTTCACACTTTGGTTTAGATACATACAAAAAAATAAAGAGAGAAAAGTAGAAAGGCGTTAAAGAAAAGAGAGAAAAGTTATAAAAATTGTTTCTCGTGTCTCGAAGAATCAGGTTCTTCGTGAAAGGAAAAAAAAGAAGAGGATTTAAAGGAGAAAAAAACACTTAAAAGAAGAAGATATAAAGGTGGATTTGTACACTCAACCCGTGATTAAACCTCGCTTGAAGAATAGTGTAGATCGTTGAATTTTTTTAAAAAAGTAACTAAAAAAATTGTTTTTTTTTTTTCAATTTTCATGAAAGTGAAGAAAACCTTCATTAATGGAGTCACTGTTCTTCAATCTTAATCAAACTCTGAATATGTAACTGACACAAAAGAAAGCCCAAAAAAAACGTATAAGAGTTGTACTATTTTCTGTCGTCAACAGTACAAATCATCGAAAAACACAGAGGATGATTCGAAAGCTTTTGATTCACCAGGGAAGAAGAAAACAAACCCAGAAAATTTCGAGATTTCAAACAGAAAACACACAAGTAAAGAGATCAAATTTTAAACCTTCTTGTGGAATCTCTTCGAAAGCCGAAAAACGAAATCAAGCAAGTGTTTCTCTCTCTCTCTCTCACTACAAATTTTCTCAAAGTTTCCACATTCCGAAAAGACGGATAATCCGAAGCTGTCGCTTCACTCGATCGCTTTTATAAATGTCACACACAAATGACAAAAACGCTTACTCTCTCTCTCTCTTTCTCTTTCGTTTTATCTTCCCTCTGTTATATCGAACGGTGTGCAATAAAGGAGAAACGGTAGCCATCCGATTATTCAGTGTTCTGCCACGTAATCAATGAGCTGATCGATGTGTCAGACACGTCAGCATTAAGAGCTGAAAATGTACTCCTGCATGGGTTTCCTATGATATGATTTGATTCCGTACTAATGAATCCCATTGGATTTGTTTTTTTTTTTCTTTCTTTCTTTTTCCAACGAATCCTTTTGGATATGTTATATGCAAATGTAAAAAACCAAAAAATTTGAACTAATATTAAAGATTACAATCAATTTAGTTAGGGAAAATAGTATAAGATGACCAAATGGCTAACCAGTAACCAATTTAATGGTTTGTTGGAAGCCAAATTTTGTAGATATCCGAAATTTTAATTTTTTACTAAATACGGCGTCGGCCATTTATATATTACGTTAATAGGACTAGACATCCAATTTCTGAAACACATCATCTGCTTCATTGATATTTGATTATATTTAGCACTATTATTTATTAATGGGTCTTTTTTAAGTACTCCAAATTTCTGCAACCATTTATAACCAAATGTACCACACAAGTTATATGATAACTTTCTCCAAAACCGGGGGTCCCTCCGTAACTCCAACGTCTGGCTGACTTCCACAAATACGAGAGAATGTCACGGCGTTTTAAAAAATCTCTTCTTTTAATGACTCGTCCAATCAAAAAACGGCATGGCTTTCCCAATGTACATCCAAATGCCCAAGCTAGAAGCGTGTGCCGTGTGAGAAAGAGAGAGAGTGTTTGGGTAAATGTTCAAAATCGACGGCTATTATTACTTCTCTAAACTCTCATCATTTCGCCACGTCATCACATTGAAATCGACAAGTCAGGTGATTTCTGCCAAATGTCTACTGTGTCTGCCAAAGATATTCATTCTTCACCTTTTCGGTTTTTTTTTAGTCAAAAAAAAAAAACTTTTTTCTTACCAATTTGATTATCAGTTTATTTCTTCGTTGTAAAAAACTCAATTAGTAGTTTCCACTACGTATTTGCGGTGCAAATGCTTTAAAACATTATTCCAACTCGTTACTTACTAGGCGGATCTTATTCCAAATCGTTTGGTAACTGACTCATAAATTTGAATATACTAAATTCACAAACTATTTTTTCCTGCATTTAATAAAGCTATGTGAAAATAAAAATTAATACAAAAACCCATAAACAAGCCTGATTCTTTGTGTGCAATTGTTAAGTGATGCGAAGAACGATTTCGAAAATGCCACAATAACGAGTTAAGTCAAGGCCCACTGATGTAGGAAGGCCCATATAACGAACAGGTCTCGTAATGTCCACACATTCCTGGTGGAACTCAGCTGCAATGTGCATAACACATGTTGGACTCCATCCACTACAGATATTGTTTTGAATAACTTCATTTGATGATACAGTGTATAAGGAGAGTGAGTGTGGGCTTAAATGATAAACATTCAGCTATTTTTTTAGCCCTTCTATTAATATAGTAACGAGTGTATGTAATGGGCTTCTAATTAACTGGATTTTCATTTTGTATTTTTTCAATACAGACACCAGTTATTAATTGACGAATTGGTAGAATATGTCAAAATGAAATGTTTATCATTGAGAAGGATAATATAAACGACGAATTATCTGGTTACTACTACAACCCTCAGCTTAATAGGTACTACGAAGAATAAATAAACGTAAATTAAAAATGGTACACAAATGCCTTCGTAGCATAGTGGTATTGCGTTCGCTTCGTAAGCGAAAGGCCGCGAGTTCGATCCTCGCCGAGGGCTTCGGGTTTCCTTATATGATTTTTTTTTTATTTTTTTGAAAGGGAGCTTTTTGCAATAGTTTTCATACTACTACTCTTGCCAAATTTAAAGCAACTTTAAATATTATCATCGATTCCTATAACGCTACGCTAGTCGCCTTTTTGTTTTTCTCTAGACGAACCTATATGGCTATAACGTCTATTTTCCATTGTATGGATTCTGTGGACCAAATAAATATCGATGCTAACAAAATATCGTCTACAAAAATTCGATCTACGTACTGTCTCGATCTCCACGAATAACATGAAGTCGCTGAAATGCATACATGGATGGATTGTGCTGTAAATTAAAAAAAAAAAAAAAATTCAGAATACCTTTATGTAATAAGATCGATATAACATGATAATCAGTCGGTCTATATAGTTGTCATGCTGTTTTTCGAACTCAAAATCATTCCAAAAATCCCCCATCATTGGGAAAATGGAAAAAGCATTATAATCAAAATCATTTATAACTCATAAGCAACATAACTTTATTAGAAAATGATATAACTATAATACAACGAGATTATCTCACGAATCGAAACAACGAGAAAAGCAACAAAACCCAAAACTTACAACAAATGTAGACCAATTATATGGCCCTCATGATTTATTCGATCCACATACATACATATATGCCAACAAATACTCACAAGTCACAAAACGACATCGAATTTGAGACAATTTAAGAGATTTCACTTAAGGGCACTTGCGGCGACCACCGTGGGTGGTGAGGGTAGCGTAACACTCGCACTTGTCGTAGTTTCCGTACGTACCAGGTGGCACACAGTTGCACCTGGCGCAGCAAGTCCCGCACGCTCTGTGACACAGCCTCGGCCTCCTCGAAAGCCTGCACCGTGCTTTACACGCACCCCCACAATCTACAAAAAAAAACATTATCAATTTTTACTAATTAAACGTTAGTTTTAATAGTACAAAACGTATATGTGTGTGTACATATAATAGTATTACCAATTCTACTGCCGTAGCCACCCTTTTTGTCTGAGTTTTCCTGAGTGAATATTCGGAAAAAAAATGATAGAACGTAAGAGGTATGTTAAAAAAATATGTATATAAACATCAGGTATTTGTGATGAAAAATATACGTACCACATCGGCCTGGACGAGTTGGAGAACAAGAAGAGATATGAGAAGAGAAGCAAGAAGGGCTTTTGAAATTGCCATAATTCTCGAAAGAGATATAATATGAGCGAGAGCTTTCTAGCTTAATGAAGATAATGTGTTTTTGAGTTGTTGTGTGTGTCTAAATGAGAACTTAGAGGCATCTATTTATAGCCCTCCTTTCAATAGACAGTCGACCCCATGTTTTGGTCTAGACTATTCTTTTGTTTTTTTAATTAAATTATTTCTTATAAACAGTTTTCACTTTTCACGAAAATGAAACTTGGCCTCCGAGTTTCAGAATTCGATTTGATATTTTGTAACTGTTGGGGTGATCATGAAATATAAATATTAATTAAACGGAGTTTTAAGTAATATTTGATTAACTGAAAAATATCTTCTGTAATTTAACTATTTTTCGATCATTTTAAATGTTTTATAGCATATTATTATTTGTGACTTCTTCTCTTTATCTTTTCTTCAAAATGGGTCGGTTGGTGCGTATAAAAGTTGTGCGTACGCGTACAAGAGAATATTATGGTGGGAAAATAGGTTGTATTATTTGTGGTCTCTTGTCTCAGTTTGATCAATGGATTCGGTATAACTTTTTCCCCCATCGTATTTAATTTACGAAATTATTTGAAATTCGACATTCTATGTGAATCTTGCTTTATAGAGAGAATCAAAAGCCAATATCGTAGTACTTTGTAACTGTATAGACTTCTTTGATGTACGTATAGTCGCATACGGAACTCTACTATAGGTTTGGTAAGTTTTGGTTATATACAACAACAACAACAAAATCTTGATTTCATGAGTGATATACTGTAGATATATAATTCATTTGAACGATTGACTTTTGACTTCCATAGTGAACTTTCTTTTTTTCTTTTTATAAGACGACTGATAAATTCCATATATATTATAACATAAATTAATCTCTTGACGTATACATAGACTGCTCGTTCCGGTTTTGAAGTTTGTAAGCTCTTTCTACGATGTATATAATTTGTGGAAAAAACGAAAACAGTTTAGTATTTTGCTAAGCATCAAACTTTTAATCGAGTTAGTGTTTGGTAAGTTATTATAGCAAATAGATTGAGTGAACACCATAAATTTAAAAATGTCCAAGATGTCAAGCCTAACTTTTAAAACTTCTTTTGTGCTGTTCTCCGTTGTTTTGGGAATTCCTCACAATTTTTGAGGGATGTAATGATAAAAAGGAACAAAAACATAAAAAATGAAAATAAATTTAAAGAACATAAAATTGTGAATAATTAGTGACGAAATTAATAACAATTAGGATTTAGAAGAGTTGATGTGGTTGAGACTTGAGACAAGAAGGATGAGGGGGATGTAGACTTGAGTGGTCCTGTAGAGTATACTTCATTTCACAGCTTGCACTTCTCCTTATGAGTTATATGACCCACTCTTCGTCTATATATATATATTTCCTCTTTTTATATGATTTAAAATCGATTTCTAGATCAATCTTTATGTTTTGTTTTGATGACACTATTTGTTTCCTATGGTCCACTATTCGTTGTCATTCTTTTTGTTTTATTTTTTCTAATTTATTCTGGAGAAAAGTTTGAACCAAATTTTTGTGAGTTGGTTTTACGCATGTTAATTATTCATATATTCAAGACCATGCTTGGGTTCATAGGAGGAGTAGTACTGATATGTGTATTGTTATGAATAACCGAAAGAAAATATTACATATGAAAAGATCACATATCAAATCGTGGCGTCGAGCAAAATCATATTAAGATATTTTATTCATTTATCTTTTCGGAAATATAAAACGTTAACACATTAACTACCAATCATCCAACAATAGATGTGAATTAATGTTTAATTTTTTGGCAAATTTTTAAAATATGATATTTATAAAGTATTTTTCCCAGATATATTTGAAGTGCGAAATGATAGAGAAACAGTGGAAGGGAATAGAAAGTGAGAGGTCACGGATCGACTGTCTTCTGTGTTTGGCTTTTTCACCAACCTTATCGACTCATTCGCACGCACACTAAACACACATATCCTACACAAACTCTATATACCATAGTCATTTAATTCAATAAATGAATAAACTAATAAATAATTGAGGAGCATATGTTTTATGCATGGGAATGTCACTTCAATTGTCATGGCTGACACATAATATCACACGTTCGGTAGTCGTCTTTCATTCAACTCTACGTTCAGTCAAATCAATCTTTGCACCTAACTTAATAAGACTGTTGTTGTACGTACGATGACTAGGCATTTTAGATTTATCTATAATAATACTTGTTGTGTAAATTAGGGGATCCGTTTAGTTCATGAACTTAGAATATGTTCATGGTAACAACTTTTGTTCTTTTGTCTAAACATAAAATTTATAATATGTTCCTATTTTACATTAAATCGTTGGGAACAACCTTTATAAGAAAAAGATAAATCACAAACCTGACCCAAACGATAAGAGAAAGAACCAAAAACTGAGACATATATATATATATATATATATATATATATATTATTAAATTTTTACTTGACCAAAAAAAAAATTATGAATTTGAAGTGAGGGAAATATAAACTAATAATATGAATCATAATTCATATATAACCTAAGAAATGATGAAATTAAAAGGTTATGCAAGATATATGCAAAACTAGAAAATGGTAATTCTAAGTGCTTTGAAGAGTGTTTTCAAGATATCGCCCTCGTGAAGTACAACACTTCTTATCTACTAAATTCGAAAATGGTGGTGGCCTTTTTTATGTTAAACAAACGTATATAAAAGGAGATAAAATTAAGAAAAAGTGATAGAGAACTGAGTTCTTAAGACAGCTGTGAAGTGTTGTGTTATTCACTTAACAGCTATTACATAGCTAATTGCCAACCTGTGATATCTTTTACTCTTTTGTTTCCATCCCAAATCCAGTTATAAATTTTAATCGATAGTAGTAGATACTAGCTAGGGTTGTTGATGTTATTCGAATTAGTGAAATTGTGATTTTGCTAGACTAAAGTTTGTACTTTGTAGTATACAGAAAATATACCATAAACATAAGTTGATATTATATGAAGTACTCTTGTGGCATGGTTCTTTTAAGCAAATGGCTTTGGTCCATAATTTTTGTTCTTCAAAAAAAAATTTTCCTTACGATAATCTGTATCCGCCGATCTGCAAAACACCGATCGAATCATCTAGTGACCACGGAACTAGTTTTTCTATAGTTTAATTAGCTTTTGTTTTATTCTTAAGAAGGAGCTAAGAAATTACATTCATCTCGTCCTTGTGATTTTCAGTTTGTGCTAATAAAAACACTGAAATATATACAGGTAAACTGTTATGTAAATATTTGGTTATTTAACGTCAACTTCAAGGAACAAACTTCCGACTAAAATCGATCGCCGAGTTATACGAACAATATTTGGTATATTTATAAAATATCTGGTGGAATATTAGGTTATGATGATTACAGAGTTCCAGCTGTAGCGACCGCCAAAAGAGTCGAAATCGAATAACAATTCATTTGGATAAGCTCAAACTTGAGCACTTTCCAGTTAAAATATTAACATGCAAATAAAAAGTTTAGATTTAAATAAGCGAAATAAACAAACAAATAGCATCAATCATCATCACTCTTAAAGTCTTGGATAGCAACTAATTCGTTTCAAGATAACCAAAAAAAAAAAAAAGTCAGTGAATACTTATTTGGAAAAACCGAAAAACAAAACATAAACTAATGTTCTCTATACTGATTTGTTGGTCATTTTGTTCTTAAACTAAACTTTGTTTCATAAATGAAAAGTTGAGAACTTAGGAAATGAAGTATATTCGGTTTCTAATATCAATACTATACCAAGATTGTATAAAGCAATAGCTTCTGCATCAATGCAAAAGTTATGTCTAGAATCAACTTTAGCACCATACCATATCATACCAAGCCTTCGTACTTTTCTCATGTTTTTGGTTTTACCCTCAAACAATTTTTTCAGTGAAAACAAACTTCAAACTAAATTCAGATGGTGTAAATGTAAACCTTGTACCATCTAAATCTTAAATCTCTAAACATATAACAAGTTATCTAGTAAGAGATAAAAAGCTGATAGGCTAATATTAGATTAATCTGTCAAAATCTCTAATAAATTCCCTTTCCCTTCTCTTTACAGTAGTCCAACAAAAAAAAAAACATAAACGTGGGAGAAAAGAGTTTACAGAAGACTAAAACGATGGCCTGCAAAAACATAGAGCCAAAACTCTATACCATAAGCTTAAATTTAAAGCCAAAACGTATCTTCTTTTCTCTTCTTCACCAAATTCTACACAACGCCTGATGGGAGACGAAGAACAAGCTGACCACCCATTAAACTGCCCCAAACACCAAACACACTCATCAATGTCATTACTAAGTTTTAGAGATTATCCATCACAACATAAGTATCAACACACGCGATGATGAAACGGAAACAGTTTATGATTTACCTCTTGACATAGTAGTAGCAGAAGTCGGCGAGAATAAAGGTCTGGACGATCTCAGAGAGAAGGACCATTATAGGCCAGAATCCATATCCTAAAGCAGTCAATAACCGCCCTCGAGTGTCCAAAACCTACGACACAACCACATTTTTATACACTGACATAGCTGTATACATGGGAGCTTTATAGTTTGCAGGCAAGAAACAAAAAAAGAAAAACCTGAAGGACCCAGTGAGCACAACTCAAGAACCTAGCTATCCCCAATGCAAATACGTAATGTGCTGTGAATGGCTCCACGATCTGAGGCATGCATTACATGAGTGTTTAAAATCGGTTGAAATGATAGAGACTTGTTTCAAGCATTTTTTTTTTTTTTAAAGCACCTTAGTGTTTTGCATGACTCTAAGCTGAGGAAGGACAGAAACAGCTTCAAGGTAAACGCAGAACGCCCAAGAGATTTTGTTGATTATGTGATGATGTGTTGATGGGTGAATCAGGACAGATAAAACAGCACATGGAATAACCTGCAGCCAAGCTCGGAAACATCATGATCGAGATCCAAGAAAATGAATTGAATCATGCAAAATGAATCTAATATGGAAATGAATTGAAAGAAAGGTTGCTATTTAGCATTCACGCTAAACCAAGAATTTCAAGAGAACGCAACCAAAAGATAACAGCTTACGACGTAGTAGATAGCAAAATTGTCTTTGTCTTCCATGTAACTAGCTTTGAGCTTAAAACGGATCATGTAGATAACCCAAAGTGTAGTCAACAATGTAGCCGAATCAAGCAATGTGTGAATATCAAATTCCATCACAAAACTACAATACAATCTCACGGCCAAAAACAGAGCCGTTAGCTCTTGAGACTTCAGAGATAATCCTGTCAAAACAAAACATAAATCACCAAAGAAAAGATTGAAATTAACTTACTCTAGTGTTCATCAAACCAAATCTCAAATCCAGACAATTCTCTCAATCAATTAATTTTTTTCTGTGAAAGCTCCTAAATTTGGCGCTATCGTACGGAAAACGACGGAAATTACACGTAATCGCAGCGGATCCGGGAAAATCAATTTCGGAATCAGTCGTCCAGGATCAGAACCTAAACCTAGAAACCCAGAATTGCAAAATCAAGGAGATTTCGATTTACCTGCGCAAGTCTTCTCCTTGGTGAGTTTATAGATGAGAACGGAGATTCCAAGGGAATGGACAGCCTCGGCAGCGACAAAAAGGTTGTCGTGGTCGTGAACAATCATCCTCAGGAAAACGAGAGCAGTCATGGCGGAAACAACGCCGAGAAAAGCTTTGACCTTCGGTGGTTGCCGGCGAACCCATGACGTCACGGCGTGGATCGGCTTCTTCGCCGCCTTCATCTTCGATTCGTTTATTCGCTTTTCTTTCCGAAAATAGAAACAGTAAAGTCGAGACCTTTTGGAACTTGGTACGATGATGATAATAACAAACCAGATCTGATTATTACACTAAATTTTGTATGTATGTTTCGGATGTTGAGTGGGGAACTTGAAAGGGTTAACTTAAATTTACTTAACAAAAAAAAATAAAAAGTTTAAAAGCTTCACATTTTGCGGTGGTAACACGTGGAGGGTGGTTAATTTTGGTTTAGGTGGAAATTAGATTTGTGGTAAGTCAACGACTCTCTGCCTTGTCTCCTTGTATCCGTAGAAACGCTACATGTAATTTCTTAATGTAATTACTAATTTCGATTTCTAATATTTGTAATGAATTATGTATGTAGTAATATCGGTTCTAATCAGTATTGACGATTTTATGTATTATACTTTGATTGAATTGTATATATGTTATAAAAAAATAAACTTTAGTTTTTTTTCTTGGTAAGTATTGTTTGATCTAATTGTCCGATTACAAAGAGAGGATGAGAAAACAGAAAGCAATCGACCAATCAATGCAAAAAGTAATTGACACTTTGTAACATTCTCTTTAAAAACCTTTGCATATTCCTCATTTGCAAGTAGAATTCAGAGAGACAAAAGACCATCAGTATAGTGACAAAAATGTAACTCTTCTTGTAATCCCCCAAAATCCTTCACTTCATTCTTGCTCGGGTAATAAATCTTCATCCGACTCGGAAGCAGAACCTGGAAGAACACGGAATCAGATTGTATATCATGAATCCTGATAGGAAATGATGGATAGTAACGATTCAACGTTTCTTTGAGCCCAATACGGTGCGTTTTAACCCAAGCGGATCCATTGGAGCCATTCATCATCATCCAAATCTCCATGTTTGGTTCAAGAGAATTGTAGTCTACTACCCAGAGATCCCCTTTGATCCCGCATAAGCTAAAGTCGTGATTAGGGTTGTCTTCAAAGCATTTCGGTGGAGGCAGAACAGAGAACTTCTCTTGCTCTAGAGAGAAAGACACGATCTTTGTTGGAACACCTTTTGTCGTCCAGTAGAGGAATCCATCAGCGTGAACTGGAGGGTATGGTTGTAAAAGGTAAGGACATTCTTCTTCTTTTGATTTCCATGGCGAGATCTTGAGATGATGCTTGTATGTTTTGGCGGTGATGGTAAGAGTCAGTATCTCGAATTTGCAGATCGGGTGATAAGGAAGGTAAAATCTGATGATTTTGTATTGTAATGTCGAGGAAACAAAGCCGAAGGAAAAAACATTTGGTGTAGAAGAAGGAAAAGAGGAGGATTTGGGTATTTCTAGGGTTTTTTGGTTAGTGGGGTCGAAGAGAAATTGTTCCTTGTCTGACACGAAACAAATAAACTGATGGTTAGAAGACAAGACTCTGACTCTGTGTCCGAGGAAGCTTTTGGTGATGTTTTTTTCTGTTTCCAAACCGTTGCGTTCTACGGTGAGCGATGTCCTTAAAGCGGCGAGAGCGGTTTCGTTGAGTTTGGTGAAGAGGAAGAGTTTGAGCTTTACGACTAGGGATCCGCCAGGGGTGAGGGCGGTGAGGATGGAGGAGGAGTTTACGGCACGACGGTGGTGGAGACGGAGAAAGTAGTGTTCGGAGATTATGGAGTTGAATTGCTTTGAGACTAATCGGAGTTTTCGAATTGTTTTGCCCGGAAGGAAAGACAAGATTTTGATGAAAACTTCCGGAGGCAGAGAAGGAGAATAAACCATATTTCCAAGTACTGTAATCGGAGAAAAATGTGTATGTGTATATAAATGTAGATGCTTCTTCGCCAAGGAATCAGATGAGGAAGTTATGATTCAGGTTAGGGAATTATGGGTAAGAATTAAACCAAAAAAAAAAAAAAATTATGAGTAAGAAAGTCAAGTATTCCAACTTTTATTAATATTCTTAAATTTAGATTTGATAGAATCTTCAGAACTAGGATAATAATATACAGTGTAAATTATCTGCGTGAACACCACTGTTAATTTATTATTATATGTAGAATATATAATAAAAATGTTAGCTTACATCGCCGCCTTAAACAGTGCTTAACACATGCTTAAAAACTGGCTATCATAAGTAGTTTTCTAATGATATATATCAACAAACTCAGTTCCATCCAACGTTGAGTTTGGATCTAAGCCCATTAGAGAGGCCCATATAAGTCTCGAGAACAATGTTGTTCAATAATCTTTTTAAGTCTCGAGAACAATATTGGGGATTAATTGGATTAGAGACAGTAAGGCATGGGCAAATAAATTTGACGGTGTTGAATTTATCTGGGCTTTAAGAAGATCAAATTCTACGGTAAGATGTGTTGGCTAGACCAAACAAACAAGACTGTCACATTGACTTCTCTTCATATATTCCCCAAAATTGACATAAATTTAGATGGCCAAAAAGGTAACCACGAAGAGAAGAAGAAACCCAAAAATCAAAAATTAGAAACAAGGAGAGAAAAAAAAAAAGGCATGATTTTAACCAAAAAAAATGTAGTTGACACGTGTCATAAACCTAGACCATCAAACGGTATGTGTGATATACAAAAAGTAAATCATGAAAATAAATAAAAATAAAACGAAACAAAATCTTCCCGAAAAGATTTATCTCATTTAACCCAATCGCTTCAACGCGAGAGACCCCAAAAACATTCGTCTCCCAATAGAAGAGAATGTCGAACAAGAAGAAGAAACAGAGTACAACAACGGAAGATTACGGTTCCCTCCGTTACCGTGACGTCAAAGGCAAAGAAGATTTCTTCGATGAAATCGAGTACGAAGTTTCTTCAATCTTATTGGAACTTTCGCATCCCGTCGTATTCTCTTCCGATCCTCCTCTTCCACATAAATGGGGTCGCACTAAAAAGAGGTCTAGTTCCGTTTTACTGCATCCGCCGGAGAATTCTCCGGAGCCGGTGATAAAATCGCTGCCAAAGACGGAGGTCGGCGAGTTGGGAAGTACATCGAGTTCTTCGTGCTTAACCGGCGAGGCTAAGAAAACCAGTCCCCAAAGCGTAATTTTGCGTATTCTCTGCTTCTTTTTTAATATTTACCAACTTGAGATTATTTTTTTAGTTCTGTTCTATCAATTACTTTGATTTTTTATTCGTACTAGTGTAAATTGAATATGTTTAAATCCATCTGAATTACCAGAATTTGTACTGAATAGTTAGTTGTTTGTGGTTTTTATTTATATTTTAATTTATACGACAGGTTAATAAAGGTTTAGAGGAAGAATTTTCTACGGCAAATCAGAGGTCGAAGCTTTCATCTCAGCTAAGCGCATCGTCCTGCTCGGTTCTCAAGGTATTTTATTTTCTTTTCCTCTTTTTTCTAATATTAATTTTTTTGGTATAATAAAAAATGTAAGCTTTTTTAACAAGATTTCCATTTCCTAAAATAAATTTGGTGAATATTCAGGCGGAGACGGGTTTAATTAGGGCGCAAGCTGGGTTACTAGCCCAGCCCATTGCGGAGATGAGAAGACTAATAGATTACCAAAGCCTGCGTCATCTACAGCCGTCGATATTCGTTGATCGTACGGCCAACGTGAGGGATGTTGAAACGGTGACGTTGCGACAACAAGCGACGCATGATAATAACTTGGGAAGACGTGGCTTTGATCTGAACCTTCCCGCAGAAGAGGAAGGTACTAGCCGTTTTGTGGCAACAACCAAAGCCCAAGCAGCTGCTCAAGCACGACAAAGAAGATTAGGTTTAATGAGGTCTAAGAAGCTTCTTTATAGTAGATGAGCTAAATGGGGTTTTTTTAATAAATAAATAAATTAAAGCTTTTTGGAAGGGTCTTTTAGCTAATATATAGATTTTTTTTGATGCGAATATGCAACCGAAATTGGAAGTTTCCATTTGGAGAACGGCTGTATTTGGTCATGTATAATTTAGAAATGGAAACTTGAGGATTCGAAGAATCCTTTTTTTGAATAATATATAAGAAAAACGAAAAAGGAGAGAAATTATTAGGGAATTACAAAGGCAATGAGAAGGAAAGAACAAACCAAATGGCAGATACAATCGAAGTAAGAACCATAAAGAAGACTTCTTCTTTAACAATACTAACACAAACAAACACCCGGATTCAACTTCATATGTATATATATATATATATAGTAGTAGTAGTAGTAGTAGTAGGCATAGCGAGAGAGATTAATTGATTCCTTTCCTCTTTAATCTTTTGGCTGGTATTCTCGGACCATTATGAGAGAAAAAATCAAGATTCGTAAACTTCTTCTTCTTCTTCTTCATCCTCGTACTCACCTTCTTCATCAGCTGTAGCATCTTGGTACTGTTGGTATTCAGCGACAAGATCGTTCATGTTGCTCTCAGCTTCAGTGAACTCCATCTCGTCCATCCCTTCTCCTGTGTACCAATGCAGAAACGCCTTACGCCTGAACATAGCCGTGAACTGCTCGCTCACTCTCCTGAACATTTCCTGGATCGAAGTCGAGTTCCCGACGAACGTAGATGCCATTTTGATTCCAGTCGGTGGTATGTCGCAGACGCTGGACTTGACGTTGTTTGGGATCCACTCGACAAAGTAGGATGAGTTCTTGTTCTGTACGTTCAAGATCTGCTCGTCGACTTCCTTTGTGCTCATCTTCCCTCTGAACATGGCTGAGGCTGTGAGGTAACGTCCGTGGCGAGGATCAGCTGCGCACATCATGTTCTTGGCGTCCCACATTTGCTGAGTCAGCTCGGGGACCGTGAGGGAGATGTACTGTTGGGAGCCACGGGAAGTGAGAGGCGCGAAACCGACCATGAAGAAATGGAGACGAGGGAATGGGATAAGGTTCACGGCAAGTTTCCTTAGGTCAGAGTTGAGTTGTCCAGGGAACCTTAAAGAGCAAGTCACACCACTCATAGTTGCGGAGATCAAGTGGTTCAAGTCTCCAACTGCAAAAAATGTAAACATATGATGATTAGGAAGCAAGAAAAAACATTTTAAGAGTTTTGAAACCAAAAAAAAAATGGTGGTGGTAGTTACAGCTAGGAGTGCTGAGTTTGAGGGTGCGGAAACAGATATCGTAGAGAGCTTCGTTGTCGAGGACCATGCATTCGTCAGCGTTCTCAACGAGCTGGTGGACTGAGAGAGTGGCGTTGTAAGGCTCAACGACTGTGTCTGAGACCTTTGGAGATGGGAAAACAGAGAATGTGAGCATCATCCTGTCTGGGTATTCCTCACGGATCTTTGATATCAAGAGTGTTCCCATCCCTGAACCTGTGCCTCCTCCAAGTGAGTGACACACTTGAAACCCTGTACTTAAAGAAATTCAAGAAAATGAGACTCTAAAAGTATATAAAGGAGAAAAAGTGTGAAGCACAATGTGTCTACACAATCATCTTTAATGTTATCACAGGAGGATACAAGATCGGTTTTATCAAGATTCCGGTTAACCAAATCAATCCACTGTTGCAGTACAGAGTAATGAATATGAATTTCATCATCATCTTCTACGGAAAAATGTCTCTGTAACGATGTACTAAAGAAGTAACTTATATTCACTCAGACAGATCCCAAAAATGTTGAGATGTTTTTCTATATAAAGTATTCACAATAATGCCGTCGCGGACATTGACCCACTTGCTCTACTTCAATTATGTGAAAATGAAAAAGTCTAATCTCTATAGTATCCACACAACAGTAATCCCTAAAGTGATTAATAAAAAATTCGATATAAGTTTAAGGATCACGTGATAAATTTTGATTCACTACGACAAAACTGGAACAAAAAAAACATTAGGGGCCACACAATTCGCTACCGCCAAATTAGGAACATTATCTTTAGATTCAATGACGTTTAACTTTTTTCCTATAAAAAAACTCACAAAATCTAATTACGGGCCTACCAATAAGTGTTAACAGCTCACTCTTAACAGTAATTAACACCTGATTCAATTAGGCGGTTTCAACCTAAAACAAAAATTTGAATTATTGAAGAAGAATCACGACTCACTTGGAAAGAGTCAAAGAGACGGTGATCAAAAGTCAACGAAACGATATGGAGAGATTTAATTAAGAATAAACATGGTTATCGGTAACTGCATTACTAACACTCACGAGATCTAGATGATATCAATGGTGATTTCACAAATCAATCAGAAAGTAAAAACGAATCATCATCATCAGATGAAATCGACGACGGAAACAAACATCAATGTCTAATAGAAAATCAACGAAATACCTTGCAAGCAGTCACAGTTCTCGGCCTCCTTGCGAACGACATCGAGAACAGCATCGATGAGCTCAGCACCTTCGGTATAGTGACCTTTAGCCCAGTTGTTACCGGCGCCGGACTGCCCGAAGACGAAGTTATCGGGACGGAAAATCTGACCGTACGGTCCGGATCTGATGCTATCCATGGTACCGGGCTCGAGATCCATGAGAACCGCGCGAGGGACGTACCTGCCACCAGAGGCCTCGTTGTAGTAAACATTGATTCGCTCGAGCTGGAGATCGGCGGAATCGCCGTTGTAACGTCCGGTTGGATCGACGCCGTGCTCGTCGCAGATAACCTCCCAGAATTTGGAGCCGATTTGGTTGCCGCATTGGCCGGCTTGGACGTGGAGGATCTCCCTCATGATTGTAAGGATCTAGAAGAGAGATTGAGAGAGATGGAGATGGAGGAGGAGAGGGAGAGCGAAGAGGAGAATAAGAAGGCGGGATTGTTATTCGAGAGAGAGGGACGTGTAGTGACAAATTGACAGCGTGGGGAAGATGGAAGATGGATCTTGCCAGCTATAACCGTTTCCTCTTCCCTCTTTCTCCTTTTTTTTTTATATTTTTACACTTTTTTTTTGTTATCTTTCAACATAAATATTTTAACCACTTCATTCATATTTATAATCTCAATTCTGTTAAATTAAAAAATCTCTAATTGTTTTTTGTTTGTTTGTTTGAGTAACAAAACTTGCGAACCGTAACGATAAGAGTTATCTATTAATGCATACAACATGAATGCGAAACGAATACAACAACTTTTCATTAGTCTTTCAGATGTTGAGTGACACAGCACATGTAGCAAGATGCAATAAAGATCTGACCATGTAGCTATTTCTATGTAAATGATAAAACACAATAATTGAGATTGTTTGAATAATCATATTAATAATTTCCTCGCACACCGATTGTTTTTTGGATCTATTATACAATATAGATATAGCAAAAAAAAAAAAACATATTGGTAGTCGTATAGAAAAATAATAATGTCACAGCACATGTAGCTAGATGTAGACTGTAGTAAGATCTGAGATTTGATCCATTATTTTTAATTTTTATGTCATGTTCGGTCTACTGTTTATATATGTACGTCAAGATCAATAATTGAACTTGTAAAAAGGATCGTATTATTTTGTAATTGCTCCCAACCTATTGTGAAAATGTTACTGAAGGGAAGAACATTAAGAAAATGGGAACACGTTAGCTGTGTTCAAATGGAATTGTATATCTGTATACTGTATTTACTGAAGAAAAAAAAATATATACGTTCATTAATTTTGTTTGGCGGATGTTGGTTTTCTTAAGACATTTGATTAATTTTTCAATTATTTTTGGTACAAATAAAAAGAAAATATACACAGCACTAACGTGACAATTTTGTATATTTTTGAGAGAAATTTCTCAACTGAGATCCAGTCAAAACAGACCTGGGCCGGTTTTACAGCTACATATTATGGAAGCCCATCTAAAACAAAAACGGCATCGTATAACCGTCTTAGTCACAGCTGAACCCCCAAAACCCAAAATTCCAAAAGGTTCGTCTCTTTAAATAACTTGTGGAATTACTTTTCTTCTATTTTCATGGCATGCAATGTTCGAAACTCGAATTTCCCTTAGTAATTAATTTAGTTCAGTGTTTTTTTTTTGTATCACTTTCTCTTTGTTCCGCTTACGAAATAAGATTTATTTTCTCTCATTTATAATTTTGATTCAGATGATGAGATTGGATCTAAAATTCTCACGACGGTCGTCTGATTCTAGTGATGCACCGATCCCAATACTCTCTGATGATAAAAATTCATTCCATTAAACCTTTGTTAACTTGGTGACGACTAAAATCGACTTTTCTACTTTTTAAAAATACCATCGAATTAGATTTTTGTTTATTTTTCATATGAACATTATCATGGAATAGATACTATTTTTCATGATAAAAGATAATAAACAATCAATTTATTGGAGAACTCTGCCGCAACGGATGAAATTGTCCGGTATCGGAGATTCATCTCTAGCCGGAATATTCGAAGGATCGTCTTGTCCATCACCTTTGACCCTCAAGTAAAGCTCTTGACCAAGATACCATTGCTCTGCTTTCTGTGATCTCACGTTCCACATTCCTTGATTATCCATAGCTATCAGTATTGCCACCCACGAATATGGATAAACCTAAACCCAAACAGAACCAAATTATACTAATCTTTCACCTAAGTCAAAACGTTAATCACGAAATTAGAATTTGGTTTCACCTGAATTGTAGACCGAGAAACAGCGTCTACTAAGTTATATCCGCTTCTCTTGCTCTCTGACCAACCTCCAAACCCCATTCTAACAGTAACTTAACTAGATTAATAAACCTTATTAATCATCATTAAACAAGTTTCTGATTATAATTTAATCTTACCCGACTACGAAGAAATTATATCCGTCGATGTGCCAGCTCTGCAACGTATCTAGAGGGTTTTCGAACACAATGTGGACGAAATCTCTGTATCGAATATCGACCACCGAAGTTCCAAAACTCGGAGTTTTGTTGGAAGGATAGGTCGGGAACATGTCGGGAACGATCGTGTTCTTAAGCTGGAAATGATCAACGAGCTTTAACGGCGTTTCAGGGAAAACAAATGAAACGCCGTTAATTGTGTAACGGACTCTATCCGAAGTGCGCATAACGTCGTTTTGAAAGATTAACGTTCTGGTCACGTTAACGCGTCCGTAGTGGTACGAGCCTTGTGGGTTCGGTCTTGCCGCTCCAACGGCTAGATCCTCTCTGTTGTCACAATTATGTTTTTGTTCATAAATTAAGAAAGTAAATTAGGAGAATTAGTCTTCATGTTTTTCTTCCAAAAATTGGTGATTTTTAATCAAAGTTAACAGTAATTCACCTAATGGATAGGGCTTGTCGAACCGAGGAGGCGTAATCCCACGGTTCAGGTGCGAGTGGAACTGATCCGACCGGGTCAAGGGGGGAGTTGGGATACCGGATTAAAGCTAGACCAGACAAGTAGAAATCAGTGAACCGGGCTGATGCGAAAATGTAGTAGGATCGGTAAATTCCAACCGGATCGGTTTTGGCAGTGACAAGAACGGAATAAGACTGGCCCACGTGGATATCCAAGTTGGAGTAGGTATGCTTTTGAACATACGAACCCTCTGTCTCAACTAGCAGCATATCATGGTCCTGGATCCTGAAGTTTAAGGATGTTTTCAGCCCCACGTTTGATATTCTTAGCCTATATGTTTTACCTGCGATTTATGCAAAAAATAAAAAAAAACAGAACAAAACAGTTGTATAATTAGAGAGATAATGGGGTTTTATGTAACTTAATTAAAAAAATCACCTGGTTGAAATGCAAAAAAAGCCTCTTCAGGGCCATGCCCGTTAATAAGAATACCATCAGGGGTTGCTAAACTGAGACCATTGTCGAGTGAAGCTCTCATAGCCTTTACCAAAACATTACGTAGAATTAATGCATCTAAATAAAAAATGCTCCATGCATGCAGAAAAAATAACAAAAAATTTTACTGTTAAGGACGTAAAAATAAAAATGGAAATTACCCTATGGTCATTATAGAACCAATCTCCAATCAAGATGTCAAATTCGTCATCGGGACGAGGGAATGGAACCGGGACTAGTTCTGGACTGTAGACTCGTATGGAACCGTATCCTCCGGCTGCCTTTTGGAGTAGAAGCGATGGAAAGTAAAAGTAACTTCCGATCTGATCCTTTATCTGAAAACGGTATGTCCAATTTGTTCCCGGTAGTATTGGACAGTTTGTCCCTCGAACCCCGTCTTGCCACGAGTTCTTCCGCATTTGCAATCCATTCCTTTAGTTTATATACATCGTTTTGATTAACGATTATAATTAGAATATAACAAGAAAAGATAAGTAACTGAATGTGATTTTTTTTTATACCAGGTCATGAGAAAGGGTTCTGTCAAATGGTTGAAGATGTTAACGTTTACAATGTCGCCTGCCGTTGCGCTAAGGATCGGTCCAGGAAACATGTCGTTGATCACTATGATCTGTTGATTGATCATACATTTGTTTCATATATAATGGTTTGAAAATAGTATTATATATTTTCGAAGAAAGATAAGCGACTCATCAGTCAATGGAACCTGCTTGTTGGCTCCGAGAATGGAACGTTGGGAATAAGAAACGACCCATTCATACGAAACGGAAGGTGCAAATGCATTGCTCAACTCAAAGAGGACCAAAGAGATCAGAAGCAATGCTTCAATCACCAAATATCTCATCATGAAAAACTCAAAGAAATAATAATAAAAAAAAATCTTTGAAAACTTTAACTAGTTTTTGTAATGCATAGATAGAGATTTAATTCAGGGATTTTGATATGCATGTGTTGTGAAGAAGAAGCGTTAAGACGGAAGAACTAGCTACGTATATTTTTCATAATGAAAGGATTATATTAATTTGATGATATTTTGTTATAATTATAGGGATTCTCTTGTGCGCTTACAAAAATTGAATATGATGGAAAGAATTGGTTATTACATGCAATCTGTATTTTCAACCTAATCACCACTTTATAATAACACTTGTTCACGTTATATGTACCTGACCAAAAATCCTTATATCACTCGTGCATATGGTAATTTCAGTTTGTAATGCAAATTGTATCTCTCTCTCCCGTTGCACAACAGTGTATCTTGAATTTTATTGGCAGCATATTTGTAAACTCTGGGCTAATTCGTAACACCAAATCCTTAAAGGCCCATAAAGCATTTCAATGTGTATAAACGCATAACATTTATTTGATCGTATGTGACGTACGAGTTACGACGATCCACAAAATAAAAACAAAAATGTAAGTGGGAGAAGAGGATGGCTTACGATATAATGTAAAGTGACCTATCTCATTCGATGTAAAAATTACGAAATGGTCGCTGTTAGACCCACAAAAATAAAAACTTAGCAACGCAATGATTGAAAAATAATTTATCACTTGACGACTAAAAAAGAAGAACAACTAATTTATTATTACTTTTGTATCTTCTTTAATCTTTCACAGTTCACACTCCACACCACGTTTAAAACAGTAAAAAGTATGAACATTTTAACTTTTCACACAAAAAAATATCTTACAATTAGTTTAACTGTTTACAGAAAAGGTTTAGAAAACAAAAGGAATTCTTTTGTTTTTTTTTTTGGAATATTTTTGTTGCAATTGATCAATCAAACGCAAAAAGATATTATATTGTACAAATAGTTTTATATAGAACCAAGCCAAGATATTATATGGATCCTCCAAAATAATTTATCGGGCCCGCGACTAGCCGACTATCATGAAAGACGTCCACTAGTGGTACCTAGTTGTTCGGAAAATGAAATGATAATTTTATATATGATATGGTTTTAGACTTTGAAATTCGTCATCATTTTGTTGTACTAGACCCTTCGTTATTGTTAGATAAAAAAAAAAAAAAAAGAGTAAAAACCAATATGTTACCTTACACCAGTTACAATGTCACATGTAGTCTCTATTGATAGAAACAGTAAAAGTAATATTGTTTCGCACGTCTACGTGATCATAAAATCCTAATTGCGTAATTATTCAGTAAAGTTTAAAGAATCTTGAAAACAAAAATTACTTTACGTTTAGTTTAGATATTTCAATTAAAAAAGTGGAGGTCAAAAGGTAGTTGGATATTTTCGTTGAAAAACATCAATCAAACTCTAGCTAGTAGCAAGTAGTGGTAACTGGTAAATGTAACCATTTTCAAACCAGGCCTTTATCGTATTGTTCTAATTATGAACCAATTAAAGAATAAATTATACTCAACATGTCTGTCTATATCACTCTATAAATATTTTCCTAGTAGGTGCTTTCCTCAATCTCAAGATTCTCAACGGTTAAAAATTGTAACCCAATTAGCTGTTCACACGTAAGCAGTCGTACCATAAGCCACCAACCATCACATACACGTGATTCCTACCCAGTAGAGAAGAAAGCCAACGGAATACCTTCTATTATAAATCACACATCATCTTCATCCTCTCTTTTTCTCCCTGAGAATCCTCTTTTAAGTGTGTGTTATAAATAAAAATAAAAGAAAAGAGGAAGAAGAAACAGAGCAACAAAATCCTATAAAACCTTCACATTCATCTTCTTCTTCTTCTTCTCCTAATCCAATGGCTCTTCCGTTGCCATTGATCTTCCTGTTATTCTCCCATTTCTTCGTTTCGGGTACGAATCTCTTCTCCGTTTTCAGTGAATCTATTCAACTTTTACTTCATTTACTACTGTAACTGTGTGTTGATTTAGGTCTTTTGGTTTATCAACAGGGATTGAGTCGACGAGCTTCATTATGGAGAACAAATGTGAATACACAGTCTGGCCGGGACTTCTCTCCAACGCCGGAGTTCCTCCACTTCCGACGACTGGATTCGTTCTCCAAAAAGGCGAAGAACGAACAATCAACGCGCCGGTTTCATGGGGCGGTCGATTCTGGGGAAGGACACTCTGCTCCACCGACACCGACGGAAAGTTCTCCTGCGAGACCGGAGATTGCGGATCCGGAAAACTCGAATGCTCCGGATCCGGCGCCGCTCCACCGGCGACGCTAGCCGAGTTCACACTCGACGGATCCGGAGGTCTCGATTTCTACGACGTCAGCCTCGTGGACGGGTACAACGTCCCGATGCTCGTCGTCCCTCAGGGAGGCTCAGGGCAGAACTGCAGCAGCACCGGATGCGTCGTGGATCTGAACGGGTCCTGTCCGACGGAGCTGAGGGTGACGAGCGTCGACGGGGTAAAACAGTCGATGGGCTGCAAAAGCGCGTGCGAGGCGTTTCGGACGCCGGAATATTGCTGCAGCGGCGCGTACGGTACGCCGGACACGTGTAAGCCGTCGTCGTACTCGTTGATGTTCAAAACCGCTTGCCCACGTGCGTACAGCTACGCTTACGACGATCAGAGCAGCACCTTCACATGCGCCAAGTCCCCTAATTACGTCATTACCTTCTGCCCATCTCCGAACACCAGGTAAAATTCCCTTTATACCCATATACTGCTAAACCTCATTAGGTGCAATCAACGCTTTGATTAGGGAGGGTAATTTCGTCAAAATACAACCGACAACTTATATCATCCCTTCACTGTAGCAACAATAAGCATGAATAGTAGAAATATAATGTAAGGTTAGGTGACAGAACACGCTTAATCCGGGAGGTTAATTTGGTCAATATACAACAGACATCATATTATCTTCACTGTGGCACCGAAATATTAGGCATGAACAAGAATGATTTGAGAGGGTAATTTCGTCAACAGACATCATAGTTACGTACATTGACATTTAATGAATCATTAAATTAACCTTTCGCTTACCGTGCAATCGAAGTCACTTACGTGTTGTTGTTGTCATTAACATTCATTATCACTGGAATCTAGAGATCTACGGATTTATGCTTTCTACTGCAAAAAGAAAAGAGACGAGTGTTCATTACGATTTTTGTTTTTACCAAATTATTTTGTCCTCAATTTATTCCTCGGGTAAAGGGATTGATTTATTGGGATGTGGATCCTTAACGGCCCAATGATATATCTTAATTTAACTGTTTACCTAACGGATATTTTTGTTTTACTTTGATCTATTGCAGTCAAAAATCGTCTCAAGATCAGAGCCCAGAACCGAAGGTGACTACGCCACCAGGGACGTCGACAATTCCTGCCGGAGGAAGTACGACGTGGTCGCCGGTGGATACATCGATGATATACGAAGGTGCTCTGGACCAGAGCAAAGGATCACCGTCCACGTGTCCCCTTTCGTTATGTGGAATCACAGTCACACTCGCGCTGGCCTTTTGTCGGATGTGGCGGCTCTTTTGAGCTAACTTTGTCTCCCGCGGCAAACACTGAATCAGGACGATGTGGGCCCTCACACTAAAGCCTTATCTCGTCTCGGCCCATGTGACCTTTTTCCTAAGAACGACGTCGGACTGAGTCATAGTTGAAAAAAGGTGCAGCAAAAAAAAGATCCTTGCACAAATTTACAAAAGTACCCTCATGGGAGGATTCTTAATCTCTGGGTGAGGAACACGTGGGAAAAGAAAGTGGGCTGCTGGTGGAATTCAAAAAAAGATGGGAACGATAATTGTAAGGTCACAGAATATTTGTTGGATTTTTAATGTATAATTAGGTAGAATATTATGTACACTATATATAAACTAATCTATGAGTTTAAAATATTGGGAAAAATGAGGGAATATTTCATTTGTTTGTTATCAGATGATGCGTTGGCTATTCGGAACACTGAAATGAATAATACTATTACATTTTTCGTTCTTGCCTGAACCACTGTATATAAAAAATAGATTGACTTTAGTAGCGCATGAGAGCCATAAGAAATTCGTTTTTTTTTTTCTCTAGATGAATTGAAAAAGTAATTATCAAAGCATTATCTGTGGTAACCAACCACTAGCTGAAAAGATTAGATAGATAATATATATTAGAGACGAGTTGATGATGACGATTCCCTCTGAACTATAGTGGGAGTGAACCAATAAATTTACAACCAAGTGTCCATTTCACTGCTTATGATTTGACAAAACAAAAACATCATAAGAAAAATAAGCCATCATAGAATAATATGAAGACATGCTCATGGTAAATAATTTATTGTTTTAATATTTATAAAACGGTATTTTTTTGAGGCCCAATATAAAAATTGATAAGCCCATGAGGAAGTAGAAATATGTAATTGAATTATTTTGGCTGGTAAGATCAAATCGAGTACGAACAAATTGACCACAGCCATAGAAAGAGAGTTTCTTGACAATGATATTGCTTGGAATGTCAAAGACTCATAATTGTGGTGCGTGGCAAGTCTCCGTCTCACAATATTAATCCTTCCATATCCACAAAACGGTGGCGTTTGAACGAAGGTACCAACGAAAAAGAAAGTGAAAGATCTACTTAAGGGTATTTTAGTAATTTAAAATATTCCCCTTTGACAAGGATTACGCCTCGAGTCATCAAAATCCACAACACCACAATTATCGCTTTTTTGTTTCCTTTCCCGATAAGCTCCACCGTAACGACAACCGGCGAAATATTCACGACGGCGGATAAGAAACTCATTTGTCTCTATGTGTCTAATGGCGTTATCCGACGCGGTTCTCGGGAATCTCGCGACGATCTACGTTGCGGTTATTATCGCGATTAAGGCCTACGGGTTGGTCTCCGGGAGGAGCTTCAGCGCTGGATTCGTCGTCGTCGTTTCGATTACGGCGGTTGGCGTTTTGCTTGCGGTTACCCTCGCCTGGGACGTGTCTCGAAGAGCCGCGGATGCGGTTTCGCGGTACAATCGCGTTGGCGGTGAGGATCTGAGTCTCCGTCACCATCACGACGGTGGTGGAATTTGTAAAGGAGGGATTTGCTGGCACGGCGTTGCCGTCCGGTCACCGGCTTCGCAGGTTCGATTTAGGCTTCCACAACACATACCGTACGGCGCTTTCTGAGTACAGACCTTGAATTTTCCTCCTTTTTTTTTGACTTCTCCTTATATCTTCCTTTTCCCCTTTTGTTTTAAAAAAAAGTGACTGCAAGCGAAGTAGATAACTTGTATTAGACACAAATTTCTGTATAATTGCTGATGAGGAATAAGGTATATTGTTGTTCTTCTTGTAGCTTTAAAGTTGGGAGGTTTTTTTTTTGTATTGATATGTTGTAAAATTTGGTAGTGATGATGATAAATGTTCTTGCTTTGAATAAAAATGGATTTTGAATGTAAGAGCTGCAGTATTATTAGGTCGAAATGTTGAAATTACTTTGAATCAAGATCGTAGCCTTGACAATTTGGGTTCCATATTGAATATGCTTCTTAATGTGGAGCCTCGACCTCTTTAACATGTTTATTTGCTCTTGTTAGAGGTTAAGGTCTGCTGTTAATAAACTTAAATCTGACAACCTTTTCTTGGTTTTGGTTTCTGTAGAATTAGTTTGGCACCAAGAACTAATTCTCTAGCAATCTCTTTATGTCTCCAACATGATAAGATATATTAGAACAAGACCATAAGCATACTGATCACAATACAGGCTCGAGTAGATAAAGATCACTTAAGAGGAAATACCCTATACAAATCGATCACACAACAAAATATACAACTCAAAAGTAGTTTAAAAACCATTTGTCCATTTAATGAAAAACACCCCAAAAAAAAAAAAATTTCGCCACATCATTACACATTTTATTTTTTTCATTAATCTTTGATTGGGTTCAGAACGCGATCAAGTTAGTCACGGACTTGGGAGGGTTCGTGAGCATGTGCACAACCTCTCTCATTGTCGGCCTTGACGCTGCCTCATCCTCTACACACATCATCGCTATCTTGAACACATGTATCACACTGGTCAACGGATAACCAGTCAACCTCGGGTCAACGATCGCAACAACAGTAGCTGCATCCGACGGTTGAGGTATCTCACCCTCCGTGTTCCTCACCCACCTAACTATATCCACTCCTTCCCCAAATTCACCAACCGGTTTCTTCCCAGCTATTAGCTCCAACAGAACCACACCAAAACTGTACACATCACTCTTCTCGTCCACTTTCAAAGTGTAAGCATACTCTATCAAATCCAAAAACAAATGATCATTAGAGCATAATTTTGTGTAATTAGCTTATATTAACAAAGTACATAATTAAATTGTAGCTAACCTGGAGCGATGTATCCATAAGAGCCGGCTATTGAGGACATACACTCAGAAGCAGCACCGTCCACTAAGAACTTAGCAAGCCCAAAATCAGCAACGTGGGCTTCAAAATCAGAGTCCAGAAGAATGTTATTGGACTTCACGTCTCTGTGCAAGATCAGTGGTGAACAGTCATGGTGAAGATAACACAGTCCCTTCGCTGCTTCCACGGCTACTCTGTGTCTCGTCTCCCATTGAAGATGTCCGCCTTTGGATCCGTGCAAGAGCTCTCCGAGGCTACCGTTAGGCATGTACTCGTAGAGAAGCAGATTCGTGTCCTTGTTCGCTACGTAGCCGAGGAGTCTCACGATGTGGCGGTGCCGGATCCTTCCGAGCGTCTGGATCTCCGCCGTGAATCCGTGGTCGCTTCTTCCCGTTCCACGGCCTACGAGGCGTTTGATCGCGACGTCTACGTTGTTTGGCATGGATCCGCGGTAGACGATCCCGGCTCCGCCTTTGCCGATTATGTTCTCTTCCTGAAGGCACTCGAGGACGTCGTCGGCTTTGAAATCTAGTCGCTGGAAGGCGGTTAGCTTCCAGGCGAGGGACTTCTGGTGTTTCTTCTTGTTCATCTGTCGAATCGCTACGCTGATCAGGATCAAGGCAGTGATCGCTGCGATAACCGTGATGACGATCCTTGATGGTGAGAACAACGCCGTGTGGCTGTGATCGGAGGTTTGCCCTGGCCGCGTTAGACATGAGACGTGGTGAGGCAAGCAGAGGTAAGGATTTCCGGCGAAGGAAGTGTCGTTGAACACCATGAATTGACCGCCGAGTGGTACTCGTCCGGAGAGGTCGTTGAAGGAGAGATCGAGAGTGGTTAAACTCGTCATGTTTCCGATTCCGGTAGGTATGGGGCCGGTTAACTGATTGCCGGAGAGATTCAGAGTTCCCAGGTTAATCACGTTGTGGATCTCCTTAGGGATTTCTCCTTCTATACGGTTACGGCTGAGATCGACGGAGATTAAGGAAGTGCAGCTGGAGATGGAATCGGGAATTTCGCCGGTGATGTTGTTCGCACTTGTGTTGATCTTCGAGAGATGCTTCAACTCGAAGATTTCTCTCGGAATGTTCCCGCGAAATCGGTTCCTGTCCAAGAACAAGGTCTGTAAATTAGGGAAATTACCGATCGCAGAGGGGATTTCGCCGGAAAACCAGTTGTTCGAGAGGTAAATCTGATCGAGAACATCGCCGGACATCGCTGCCGGAAGTTCGCCGGAGAAGAAATTATCCGTGAGTTCGATAATCGTAACCAGCGGCAGGTCGAAGAGACCCGCCGGAACAGTCCCGTTGAGAAGATTCTTAACGATTCTGATTTTGTTTAGCGACTTGCACTGACCTAGCTCTTCCGGAATAGGGCCAAACAAGAAGTTGTTGGAGAGTATCAGCATCTCCAGCTTCTCGCCTCTGCACAAATCCTTGGGGATGAGTCCCGTGAGATGATTGTCAGAGACATCGAGCTGCTTCAGCTTCCCGTTCCGTCCAAGATTCGCCGGCAACTCTAACGTGAAGTTGTTCTCCCAAACTTTGAACACCTCCAGCTTCGGCAATTCTCCGATGAACTCCGGTATTTGCCCGTAGAGATTGTTCCTGAACAGATTGATCAGAGTGATGTTTCCCAGACCGATGAAGCTCTGAGGAATCTCTCCGGTTAGCTGGTTGATTGATAGATCGAGCGATTTAAGGCTGATTAAACCGGAGAGCTCTGGTGGGATATGTCCGGTTAAATTGTTGATATGAAGAAACAACGTATGCAAATGCTTCAGGTTACTCAGTGTCGTCGGAATCTCTCCGGTGAGTGTACAACTCGCCATGTCAAGGACCTCAAGCTTCGACAATCCACCGAACTCCGGCGGAACACCGCCGGTGTAGCTGTTGAAGTAGCCAACGTACATTTCTCTGAGATTCTTAAGGCGTGACAAGAACCCCGGAGAATCGCCGGAGAGACCAGCGCCGTTGAGTCCAAGATACTCCAAGCTCTTGATATCTCCGTAGCTCTCTGGAATCTCTCCGGTGAAGAAATTTCCGCCGAGGGAGAGGTGTTTCAGCTTCTTAAGCCCCGGAATCTCCGGCGGTAACGTCCCGGTGAAGTTGTTGTTATATGCGTCAAGGACTTCAAGCTCAGCCATGGAAGTTAGAATCCCTCCGGGGAAGCTTCCGCTGAGGTTTCCGTTGTTGGAGACATTCAAAACCTTGAGAGCAGTTAGACTCTTCATCTCCGACGGCAAACTACCGGTTAAATTGTTCGCAGCTAAAGTCAGATTCACCAAACGAGTCAACATCCCAATCTCCGGTGAGATGGTTCCAAACAGAGGAGTAAAAGAGACGTTGAGGGAGACAACACGAGTGTCGCCGTCGCAGGAAACGCCGGAGAAAGAGCAGTGAGCCGCCGGAGAAGTGGAGTGAACCCAGTCGTGGAGGCCGTTGCCTTTTGGACCAGTCATGGAGGATTTGAGGTTGAGGAGAACTTCCATGTCAGTGTAAGCAAAGCACGGTGAGAAAAGTAGAAGCAAAATCGAGATAACGTAAAGCTGGTGAAGATGCAGAAACAGAAGGTGAGTCTTCAAAAGTCTCATCGCCATTTTTTTAAAACTGTCCTCTCAGAGAGAGAGAGAGAGAGAGAAGAAGAAGAATAATAAGTTAGCGTGAGTGTTATGCGATAGGACGAGTACACTCATCTATGAACAATTACAATGGCATATTTATGAAGAAGACAATGAAGAGAATCGAAGTGGTACTATTTCTAAATACCGCTAGACTTTGAGAGAGAATAATACTATACTTTTTACTTATCTTTTATATGACTTTGAGAGAGAATATAAATATATACCGCTAAAATAATGCAACAAATAAAAACCTAAAGTTTTTTTTTTCTTTTCTATTTCCACAATTCGTCTGGTAATTTTGTGATGAGAGGTTTACTCTCTATCGACGGGAAATAGAGAGAAATCATACGGAAATAAAAGTGAAAAAGTACAACCAGCTTGTAGATACGAAGTACGACTTATGGTCAACGTACGTGTCAATATCTCACTGGCTTTTCATTTCTCGAATTTTTGTAAGAGTGATATTTGCTGATATTTGTACTGCAAATTTGGTCCTGTTTAAACGCATTAAAGGCCCTTTTTACCGGAAAAAACTTTACAGTTTTACAGCCGCCACTACACTTAGACATGGAAAAACGGGAACGTCGTCTTCATCTTCTGACACGATTTAAATCGAGAAAATTATCTTTTTCAACTCACGGCGTTTAAATTTTAACGGGAGAAATAAACGGTATTACTACAACACCTTTTTTTTTAACCTAAACGGCGTTGATCTGACCGTTATAAATGATAGACAGGCCTTTTTCTTTCGTTACGTTCCCTAGAGCTGTGCTTTCTTCTTTCTTTGCTTCTATCGCCGTCTTGTCAACTCCACCAGTTTCATCCGGCGACGTTTTCTCATTGTCACGTGACGAGGTGAAGGAAATAATAAAAAGACAAAGAGAGGAGTTAATGGGCTTAATTAAGTAGGGCCTATATTGTAATGGCCCGTATGGAAAGTTTGTCTGTGTCCTTTCCAAAAGAGACAAATCTGCCCCTTCTATTTTGGCTTCAATCTGGAGAGTCAACGCTGTTTCTTTGTATTTGTCTTGTGGCCTCTCTCTCTTTTCATTCAATTTCATACACTCACTCACCTTGTAGATCTTCTGCTTCAGGGTCCCCCACGGTATGTGTGTCATTTACCTTTCTGACTTTACCCTTCTTTCTCCTCTAACTATATAAAACCATAATGCATGCTAATAATATCTATATTTTGTATTTAGCAATTAACCGCATGCTAATGTCTATATTTTGTATTTAGCAATTAACCGCATGCTAATATCCACACAACTACACAACTAAGCCTTTCTTTATTAGAAAAGTCATTTTTATAGTTTGAAAAAGTTTTAGGCAGAATCGATTCGTAAGAATCAAAATTGATTCTATCAACATTTTAACAAAAAAACTATTTAACTTTTTGAATTATTGGTTTCCGGTTACACAAGCACTATGATTTTGGGCGAATATATATCTTCATTTCGCTTATACTAATATTTTTAGTCTATTAAATAATAAATATCAGGAGCTTTACCAACAAAGGCTTGCCTTTGAACTTTTAAGATATCTATACACTTGGGGTTGACATAGACACACACACACATACACTTGAGGACCAATGTTCTATATATATAAATGCGGTATATTGGTATAAAGGTCCCTTCCTTAATGGCAGCGAATTTCTCATTTAAATAATGTTGTGTATTCTATTCTCTTTTGGATTTGATCTTATAATATGCACTAGGTTTAAGAAGTAAACGCTACACATACATAACAACAGATAAATATACATGTTTTCACGTGTCTGTGTTTGGTTAAGGCTATTCATCCGGTTTATACAATCAGGCAGCCGGTACAGTTTTGAAACTAGCGACATGTCAATCTTTGATGAAGAAGAGAAAGCATCTTCTCTATGATTCCCTGAAAATGCTCAAACTCAATGAACTTTGGGGAATAAAGTTGTAGGTTCTCTTCAGCAGAAAAGGAGCTTTTTTAGTAACTGGAAAAAATTTCTTTTGATAGAGGGGAATCTAAGAGTTTTTCTGATATAATATGGTATACATATTGGAGAATAATACAACGACGCAGCAAAGATGGGATGGGACATTTACAGCAAAAATCATGTTATCAAAAACCGTTATCGTTTAATGATTTATGGTGAATGAAATTTAGACTAAGTTATGGATGAATGTTAATAAATTTGTGAAGATAAAATATACGAAAAAGGAAACACGATTATGCAGTAGAACTGTAGAAGCTTGGTTCTTAGGTTTGATTTTCGCAAGAATTTTGGAGTTGCACTTTCGATGGTACAATTTGCATCATATGCTTCTTTTTCTCTGTTGCTGGAAAGCTAAACCTAATTACTTTATAATAAGCTTCTCTCAAAACAACTTGAAGATCATATGCAATTTGAGTGAAGAATATATTTTCTCGTCCTTCTAGAGACTATACATATACACAATCCTCTAACCAAGTAACCAGTGGAGTATAGTTTAGCATAAGAGCAATATTTTTAAGCGGCATCAACTTGAAAATTCAAAGGAGATCTATTTATTAATCCATGAACGGTGAGGTGTATGTGTATCTAATGTGTTTTGTACTCCAAAACATAGAAAACGTTACAAAAAAAATACATAGAATACGGAACATCTAAAAAACGAATAATTACATACTGTATAATTTAACGCATTATTTAGGAATAAATCTTACAAAAAATCTCAAAAGTAATTATTAAAAAAAACAAATAGAGAGCAATGATATACTGTAGTATAGTGTAAGACATAGGTCATAGTCTTGTCAATCTTGTTAATAATTAAACGACAAGGCTACAAAAGTAGTAGTAGAAGTAGAAGAGGAAGATGATGATAATGAAGACAAAGTTGTGTCTGACACTATCTGTCTTGGAAACTGGGGATCGCCTAATGGCCTTTTGAGCTTTTGCTTCAGTCACTACCAAATCCTCTGTCTGTATTGGCAGCTTTAATCCCAATTTTATTCAACTCATGCAATGATTTTAGACGAAGAAACTTCTCAATTCTATATGACCCTCTTATTAAATCACCTTTCACTTTTTTGTTCCATCCATCGCACGGCTGATATATATATTTTCTATATAATATAAAGAGGCAACTAAACAAAATCACATTCTTTTAATTTTTTTTGTTAAATAGCAATGTCTTTTCAATTGCAGGGAAGTATATGTCTCAAAAAATGGAGACTCTGGTTCTTTTATCAATGTAATTAAAAATGCAGCTAAAAGTATTTAATTACATTGATAAAAAAAAATCGTATACGCAAAATCTCATCAATTAAGAAACTACGTCCTCCACAAAGACAAGCACTAGTATTTGCAGCTCGGATCACAACAGTCGTTAGTTGGGCCTTGAATCTTGTCGGTGATCCACATTCACATTCACATTTCCAATTTGAATCACTGAATCCGCGAGCCCAATACTAACCCATCAAATAGGACAATCTTTACGGTTTATGGTAGCTGGACCGAGTCCGGTTCGAATCATTCTCGGGTTAGATTCAAGTGCAACAACAACATCCGTGTAGTAATCAGGTTGAGTTTCTTGGAGCAAAAGCAAGCAATCGATCATAGTATTACCCTTTTCTTTTCTCGCACGTTTCTCATCAACAAGTCCCTGCAAAAACAAGTCAAATTCAAATGCCACATTTTTTACACGTGTTTCGTAATCAGTTTCCTTTTTTCGGTCAAACCCTTTGTTTTCCTTATCTAATTAACAAAATTAGTTATTTAAATTTTGACATCTCAAATTTTATATAATAAGAGATATGTAAGTTTTTTCGCCAATAGTCTGAAAATAATCAATCAAAAATTATCTTCCAGTTAGGGATTTTTACCATCTTATTTTTTCCCGGAACAGTCTCTCAGATTAAAGAATAGGGATTTTGTTGCGGTTGGCACTATGGGTTTGTATCCAGGTTGTCAGAGAATATATGATTTGCCCGAAGATTTGCTATTGTGGATCTTACTCCTCGTCCCGACAAAAGATGCAATCGCCACTGCGATCTTGTCTAAACGTAACGTCTGGAAGATGCTGTATGAACTTGTCTTCAGAGACGAGCAAGGCAGCGAGAGCGTTGGGTGGTTAATTGACAAGTCACTGCAACTCCTTGAGGCACCGAGACTAGACAGCCTGGTTGTGGAACTGCGATCTTGTCATGTTGACGTAGATGTCAGAAAGTGGGTTGAGAAGGCGGTGAAGCTCGGCGTGAGAGAGTTAGATTTCAGTCTCCTCTGGACAGGAGAGCCCACAAGCTTACCTAAGAGCATTTACACATGTGGCACGCTCGTTCGTTTATCTCTATCCAACCAGATTCTCGTCCATGTTTCTTTCCCGGCGAGCCTACCATCTCTCTTACATCTGGGACTTGTCAACGTGGTGTACAAAGACGAGGACTCTCTTGCTAGGCTTTTATCAAGTTGCCCTATTCTCCTCAAACTGGTGGTTGAACGACCTGGATATGACAACTTGACAAACTTTACCGTGAAAGTGCCTTCACTGAAAGAATTACGGTATACCAATAGATGGCGCGAGCAAGAAGAAGAAGAAGAAGAAGAAGAGGAATATCCCAGTGGGTCGTTGGTGATAGATACCCCTGCATTAGAAGATGTAGTCATAAATGACAATTGGGGAGATTACTGTACTTTCATAGACAATATGCCTTACCTTAATGTGGTATACATAAACAATATTCCTAACCCTCATGAGAAGTTTTTGATATTTTTTTCTTCTTCGAGACGTCTGAGCATGTATTTATCCGAAGCACTTGCACCGGTATCCATCTTTGGGCCTGATCTCTTTTGTTACTTGTTCCTTGTTCCTTGCTTGATCAACTAATTTTTTTTTTCTTTTTCTTAATGAAGGTTGCATGTTGTAACACTGTTAAGTTTTCTCGGCTCATGGATCTAAACTTTTTTACAGAAAAACCAGTAGATTGGTTGGAAGCACTTATTTTGATGCTTCAAAACTCTCCTAAATTGAAAACTCTTAGGATCGACAGTATGGTAAGTGGCCTCATCCTTTAAAATATGCACATCTTTCTAGTTTTGATGAATTTAAATGTTGAAGTAAATGTAATATGGTATTAGGGGTGGTGTGAGGCATCTTCCTGGAACCAGCCGAGTACGATTCCCGGATGCTTATCGTCTCATCTAGAGATTGTTTGGTGGAAACAATATGGAGGCAGCGAAGATGAGAAACAGCTACTGCCATACATCCTCGCAAACTCAAAGTGTTTAAAGCGAGTGGAGATCGATATCTCCCTCATACCAACGTACAATCTCCAAGAGTGCCAAAAGGAGTTAGAATCTATCCCTAGGATTTCACCATCATCCCGCCTTCTGTATTATACCCCTCAACCCAATTGGAAGTTTTCTTGATTTCTGTTTTATATTATTGGGTTTTATTTATTTACTTGAATATTTTTAGAATTATCGTTATTTAAGTTACTTCAGAGAGATTTTGTTTTCTTTTCCAAGTCTCTAGTGCTCAATGGCCCTTTGTTCATCAATGTGTCCTAGAGCAGCTGTGGTTTACTAAATGTTGTAAAGAGATTAGTGATATATAAGACAAGTCGCTTCTGTCCTAAATAACTTTTTTTTTAACCAATGTAGCGACTAACTTCCACTAGTATGACTATAAAGTTTGCAACTTTAGAGGAAAAATGGGCTTTACTTATGATGGAAAAAAAAGGAGCTTGCAGATATACAAATTCAAAGCTGGAAACCTTTACACTAATAAGTAATAATAATGTTACAATATCATCAAAATACAGAGAAACAGTTTGACTGTGAATGTTTTAACTATAAAAGATTCTAAAGCAATGATGGGTGAAACAAGTACTATCCACCTGCAAAATCCAAAGCTCTTTTAAGATGAACAGACAAAAGTAAAGGCTTCTTCTAGCTTCTGGGCAGTGGTGCAGGACGTAAATCAATTGGCTGATAGCTCACTCGGTCCTTGTTAGGCAAAGGTTCCTCCTGAAACGTTATCAATAGTCGGATTACTACGCTTCTAGACTTAAAATGGGACAAGAAGATGAAATATAATAATAAACTACGTACCTCATCTGGAACGGCTTCACAAAATCCTCAAACATCAAAGGAGAAAGATCCTTCATTTTGCCTTCAACTTCCTACAAGATGAAGACAAAACTTTCTTACTTTCCAGCTGCTAGCTCCATTTTCACTGTCTTCTTCTTCCATTACAATCTAAAAAAAAAGCATTTTGATGTATCACATGTGAGCTTGTGCAAAAACCAAGAAAGTGACAATGGACATAAGAATCGAACTCTTATCATGTTGAGCTATGCAAATTACTATCAGAATCGCTCATGAATTTTGAAATGACAAGATTCACATAGTAGAAAAAGAGGTGAAAAAGTAGAGAAAACAGGATTCACATAGTAGAAAAAGACAGGTGAAAAAGTAGAGAAAGCTGGTGTTGAGAATGTCCAAGGTGATTCTCAACACCAGCTTTCTCCACTTTTTCACTGTCTTCTTCTTCCATTACAATCTAAAAAAGAAAGCATTTTGATGTATCATGTGTGAGCTTGTGCAAAAACCAAGAAAGTGACAATGGACATAAGAATCGCTCATCAGTGGTCCATCAAAATCCCAAAAGATAAAGTCTTCATTGTCAATCTTATGAACCCTACTCATCGATTAAGCACACAACACAATAGAGATTGTTAAAGATATCTCAGTTACTAGATTCTTACCTTCTCAATGTGTTCCACTTCTTGACACTTGAGCCTTCACCTAAAAATCCTCCCTCTCCAGAAACGCCATGTCTAATGATTTCACCGTAAAGTTTCTGAAAGTTTTTGAACCTTTATCTTACCAATCTGCCAAAAAAGAACGTGCATAAACAGGACAAGCTTTGATCAAAGTTCCCAATCTTGCCAATCAAGACTCTATAGTGACTAGCTCTTCTTTAATCACAAACCAGCTCTTCTTTAATTTCACGGTTTATACCAAACTTGAAACGAAATCAGAACCAATACACACAACACCACCGTTGAGCATGTAGAAGACAATGGCACACTACGTTGAAATAGGGATTTTAAGCTTTGATTTTTCGAGCCCAACAAAAGGCTTCGATTTGTGATTATATTTCTCTTATTGCGCAGGCTTTTGTGTTGTTGCCCTTGAATCTGGTGAGAGCCAGGTTTCAATGGCATTTTTGGAGAGGTTCAAAGAGGATTTTGTCATCCATGGGCCAGATGCCGCAACTGCCCACTTGATTGAAGAAATTGGGTACTTGATTTTTTTTGTTAGTTGCATCATTTCCCCTTGTTACTTGTTGATGCTCTGGCTAACTCTCTTTGGTTACAATGAAGGTCTAAGCTGGAGGACGATGAGATTAGCAAGCTTGCTAAGGTTCCATGCATTGAATCCACTTCTGACACTTGAGCCTTCAGCTTGATAATTATCATCCTCCAGCTTAAAATTTTATAGTAACCACAGAGAGTCAGTCAAAGCAGAGATACTCGACATCTACAAGTAATGGGGGGAAGCGAAGTTGTGCGAGAGGCCAAGTGAGCATGATCAGGAGTTTGTGGAAACAACAACGTGTGCAAGAATCAGTGCATTAAACTTGAGAGAGCACGACATGGATCTTGCAACTATGTCTTCCCTGCTCACAAGCGCATCTGCTACTTTCCATGTTAAATTAATCTACCAAACGTATTTGTCATTTGTGCGTGTACTTTCATAAAATAGGTCTTGTGTCATTCTATGAGCTGTGACCTTATGACATATACCATATATGTGTATGCTGTATAATGATAAAATAATATAATCGTCTTGTTTCTTCTTGTCCATATATATTTGTATTCAACATGACTATATATATATTATTAGTAGAAAATCTTGCATTCGAACATTAAAAAAAGAACAGAATAAAAATGAAAGATTATAGATTTAAAGCTCAAAAGGAAGCGCCGAGAATGTTGTGGACAATGGGGCGAGCTTTACACATGGCCTGCATCGGTGTCGCTTGGTGCATCATGCTTCCTTCTTTCATATCCACATTTTCTTTTCCAACTCTCTCCCACTCGAAACATTGAACCAACGATCCTAAAGCTAGTTTCACTAACCGTTGAGCTAACCCAGACCCGGGACAAGCTCTCCGTCCGATCCCAAACGGAATCAACTTTTGATCCGCACCTGTTTTCTCAAACCTCTCTGGTTTGAACTTTTCTGGCTCTTCCCATATATATGGATCTCTGTGCATGGCCCATACGTTCACCAATAACATTGTTCCACGTGGAACGTCGTATCCCGCGACCATGCAATCTTTCGACGCCACGTGGGGGAGAAGTGTCGGAGCTGCCGGGTAAAGTCGTAAAGTCTCCGACATGATGTTTTGAAGGTAAGGGAGATTGATTATGTCAGGTTCGTCAATTAACCTGTCTAACCCGACATTGGTGTCGATTTCGGTCTTTGCTTTTTTCAATATCTCTGGATGGTTTAACAAATTTGAAATCGCCCATTCTAATGTTCCTGTCAATGTATCAGTCCCCGCAAGTATCATAACCTATTTTTAGCACATGCACACAAAAACGGGTATCATAAGTTCATAACCTATTTGAAAACAATCACAATAAACTCTTATTAATTAGTTTTCTCAAAGACATTAGATCGATTACTCCCTATGTGTCCCTCTCGAATAAAAACTCGGTTTCTACATAAGCATATCGTTTTATACTATTGCAATGTAACGTTTTTTTTTCACAAATTAATGAATTATAAGAACATATCAAGAATGTAATTATATATGTTAAAACGGTTGGAATATCAATCAACACTTACGACTATGATTCCTTTGATGACGACATCCGTGTAGTAATCAGGCTGAGTTTCTTGGAGCGAAAGCAAGCGATCGATCATAGTATTACCCTTTTCTTTTCCCGCACGTTTCTCATCAACAAGTCCCTGCAAAAACACGTCAAATCGAAATGCCACATTTTTTACACGTTTTTCGTAATCAGTGACCCAACACAAGATCGGAAAGTAGTCAGCAGCATTTCCAGCGCCGGCACTAGACACCACGTCAGCGATCAACTGCCTAACGCATCTTGCATCGTCATCGTTCTCTGTTCCATCGCCGTAAAATCGCTTCCCGGCCACCATCCTCATCACATTGTTGAGAATGAAGTCTACAAACAATGTTCTCATCTCCACTTTCACGAACTCCTGGAAGCAAATACTTAATTATCAGTTTTTATTTTGCGGGTATAGCAAAACAACACACCATTTGTGATAACTATGTATGAAATCCATATTAATTTTAACGTGGAAGATTTTGACATACTTGTCGAGAGTTTTTGGAGAGACGCAAAATCAAATGTCGGATTTCGTCTTTACGGATGGATAAAAAGCTATTAAGCCGGTGAGAAGAGAAGATCTCAATGGCGCCGAGTCGCCGAAGATTCCTCCAATGGTCGCCATAAGGGGCACTGACCATGGATGTGTAGTTGTACTCCACATGTTTCGAGATAAGAAACTTTGGCCGGTTGGCTAAAACCACGTCGTTTTTAGTGAAACATTCTTCAACAATGGAGTAGGAGGAGATGACATACGCGAGTTTATTACCGAGGCGGAGGCTGAAAATGGGAGCACCGCCGAGAGATTGGGAGAGGGACAAAAATGTGCGATGAAGCGGCAGTTTAAGGAGGTGGAGGTGTCCGATCACCGGCAATGGTCTGGTCGGGCTCGGAGCTAGGTTGTATTTTATGTGCTTTTTACCAAACAAAAGTTTCAATGAAAGGATTAAGAAGACTGATAGAATTAAGTGATAATTTTCCATTATATGTGCTTTTTGTTTATGAATGTGTTCTTGTGAAACTTATGGATTGAAGTCACATAATATATATAAGCGAGGGTGAGTGTTGAGAGAGAGGATATAAATTTCCCTTGATTACTATCCTATTTAAAGACTAGGTAGGAGTAACAATTTACGACACATGTGTTTTTTTAGCTACACTAAATTGCTAATTACTTACAGTTTTAATGAAATAGCTTATACAAATTGATTCTAGATTGATTGAGACTGACAGAATACTACAATCTATCACTATTTGGATGAGTTTATGATGATCAACCGTACGTATATTAACTTTTTGGGCTAAAATTCTCATTTTACAAATTGATATTTCTTTATAAATTTTTTCTATACATATATATTGATCCAAACTAGAATGTGTTTGTTTTTGCTCTTATTCCATTCTCCTTATTTGTTTGTTTTTATCACAGTTGTCAGATTTATAATTATTTATACAGTTTACAAAAGAAATTTTTCCTAAAAATGCAGCTTAATATAATCATATCACTAATTTATAAATATAGTTTTATATACTTGTAAATTACACATTTGCTAATTATTTTAAATGATCAAATTTATGAATTCACTAAAGTGATATATGAAATTAAACGGGCATGGATTCGATACATTGAACTTTCAGAATATTCTTATCCAACTTTACAAATCCAAACTAGGTAATTATCTCTCATGGTTGGTTGGCAAAACCAACTTGGTGGCGGAGATAGTTTGCATTTATATAGCTGGACCGAGTCCGGTACGAACCATTTTCGGTTTAGAGTTAACCAATTTAATTTGTGCGTGTCTTCTTCTGAGTTGGCGGCTACTAGCCTGTGGCTCGGTGCTGGGGGTCTCATAGTAGGGCAACGAAGCAAGCTGTTGGCACGTGGCTCTTATTATCAAAGTTTGCGGATGAGAAGTGATGATGAAGTTGAAGACGATTTTTCTTTCGATTAGTTTTTAGATTTTCTTTTTCAAAAATAAGGAATTTCTTTCTCAAAAACGTTTTTCTTTTTTCTTTCTCGGTGGTACGACTATTTCAGGGATGATGAATCCAGAAATCTAGTTTCCGAGTGGTATGTGGTAACTACAATATTACATACTGTGATACTAACACTGTAGATGTGGTTGCGGTTTTACAAACAATTATTGTGCAAGTAACAAATAATAGCTAATACAAAATTTTGAATCCACACCTCTCACAAATTTGTTCAATCCACTACGAAGCTAGAATTAAACTACACTTTTAGATTTTGGACCTTTGATGATTGTGAGATCGATAACAAAAGAAATATCCAATTTCAAATTTAATCAAATGCGATGTGGTCGTGACAAAGCAATACCCACTTTGTGCAACCTAGGACTTGGTGAATTAACTTCTTGACCAAGTCAAACAAGCCGGCTTTGTGAAGAGTCAATGTTATGTAGCCACCGAATAAAAATTGCAAATGAACAATATACACTTGGAACCACCATTGATCAGCACACTGTTTATGCATTGGTCAACATCTTATCTTCTATCATTAGCTACGTACTTGCGTGTTGACGTTGTACACCAGAAGACAGTGTGGTGTTAAGTTTGTGGGTTATTAACACATCACACATGTACTGTACGATGAAAAGTAAATTAAATGACTTAAAAAATCTATAACTCACCAACATTTCACTATAAATAGAGGTCGATCTTATGTTTATTTCCTCACCCTTCACATACATACACATACATACTTTTAAAAAACGAAGTAGTAGTCATGGCTAAGTTTGCTACCATCATCACCCTTCTCTTCGCTGCCCTTGTTCTCTTTGCTACTTTTGGTGAGTAATGACTTATCATATGCATTGCAAGATGAGTTTTTAAGTTTTCATTTTTTTCTCAGATTGTTTGAAAATTAATATTGAGATATATGTACATATATATGCAGAAACACCAACAATGGTGGAAGCACAGAAATTGTGTGAGAGACCAAGTGGGACATGGTCAGGAGTTTGTGGAAACAACAACGCGTGCAAGAATCAGTGCATTAACCTTGAGAAAGCAAAACATGGATCTTGCAACTATGTCTTCCCAGCTCACAAGTGCATCTGCTACTTCCCATGTTAATCTACCTCTTTAAGGTGGGTAATATTACGTGTGTAGTTTACATAAAATAAGTCTGTGTCACTATCCATGCGTGACTTTATGGCATGTATCAGATATGTTTATGTTGCTTTGGTGATAATATAAAGCTTTAGTTACCACAAAATAGCATCTCTACATAAAGAGATGTGCGTAACATCATGTCCCATTTAATAAAACAAGTGACCTACTTCGCTAATTCAACTTAAAAAGAAAAGAAAAGAAAAGGACGGCGTATTCAGTATGAGTATCGGTTTTGCTATTAGATCTTTTATACTTGGGTCGGATATAGAATGACACAGTGAGGCGATCTTGGTCGGACATGATTTTACTTATAAATGCATGTTTCCACAAAAAAAGACGTTAATTTACATGACGTCGACAGATAAAACGTTGATGCTTAGTAGTTAGCTTGTTATGTTGTTGTAGTTTTGAACTCTTTGTATAAGATGGACTTTGAACTGTTTTTTGGTTTTTAAACTTATATCTTAAACATATCTAATATGGGACGAAAAAATCGGTTACGATATCAGATTCGGGTCACTATTGAAAATTTCACTGGTTTGATCATGGTTAAATTGGTATCCTAAGTTCTTAAGAGTGGCCAATTTGGTGAACCCAACCCAACCAAACTTAATCCAGCTAAAAATTCCAAAATTAGGTTATTTTAGATTGGTGTTTAGATAACTGAAAACCTAATTTCTTACATAAACAAACATATTAGATATTGTAAATACAAATTATGTGCTGAACCGGGTCAAATCATCCGTCCCGAGATGGACAAGCCTACCATTACGTATGGCCCAATGTCTGGGACCATGGTTTTAAGTTTCAGGCAATGCCTGTTTGTTGGACACAATTATGGGCCATCTGTCTTGCAAACCCGTTTGCACTTGTCAACCGCCTAACACTGTATTTTCACAAATGTTGAACGAATATGAAGCCAACAAACTTCAGTCTACACCCTTTAATAGTAAATTTTAATATAAATTTCTAAATTCAGAAATTCAATTCATGTAAGAATTAAAAATGAATGGGAATTGGGAAAAGGTGGTGGTGTTGGTGAAGAGTAGGTAGAAGCGTATAGCTAACTCTAAACCCCTTCTTTACTTTCATTTATATACTATGATTGCTTATTAGCTCACATCTTCCAATTTCATTATATATTTGTCTTAACTCAGAAAGTGTAATAATGCTACCGTATGATTTTGGCTATAGCTCTTTAGGGACATTACGTGTCATATGCTCATTCGTAGGTTTAATGAGAGTTGAGCACGTTCTTGAAAGATTTTTGTTTCCTATATATGTCGTAAAGATGAAGAAAACTCTTGTAACCATATAATAACAAAATATTAGTATAAAGTTTGAAAAAGATTTGATAAAAAAGGAATGAAAATGGTGCCGTAACACTAAGTTCGCACGTTCTTGACGAGAGTCGTTGCAATCTAATGATTAATATCTTAATCCCGCCCGCCTCCCCATAGTTTGGTCGATTATGCTTTATCTTTAGTTTTTCGTTACAATCTTTATTTATTTTTGTCATCTGAAAATTTTATTATGAACATTTTTCTTTAATTGAAATTGGAAACTCTGTTAAATAATTTAAACAGTTTTTTCCTTATTTTCAATATATAAAAAGCAATTCATTTTTTTGTGGGGGACTAATAGTAATTTATTCAAGTTTTACAATCTTTATTTATTTGCTGTCTTTTCGTATATAATAATTTTAATCAAGATTAATCATGGTGAAATTAGAGAAATAAAGTACATTTTAAACAATATACTAGTGAATTAGCTAGTTGTTTTGGTGGTAGTTGGCTATCTGATACAAACATAAATTTGATTATGTGAAAAGATCTATGTACTAAATAAAAAAAGTCATTACAACGGATAATTTCACATTTCAAATTCGAATTTAAAGTGCGAAAAATATAAAACTAAAAAGAAATTAAAGTGGGGTGAGTGTAAATGATAAGGTGATGTTTGGTGTACCATTAGCTGGCGTAAGGTTGTATGAAAAAAGCTCATCTCAAAGTCACCAACGGCCCAAAAACATATAGCACAAATTAAAGAAAAGAAGAAAAAAAGCAAATATTTTTTTCTCATTCTTCTTCTGTCGTTCATTAATCTCTCATCGAACATCGCTTTGCTATTTTGAATTTTGCCCACTTCTGCAATTCGGGATTGGAAAGCGTACGAGTTCGAATTTTAGGGTTTTTATAGAGTTGCTTCTTGGTTCTTGGGAATGGCTGGGATTTGAGGAAGTGGAAGAGGAAAAAGAGATTCTTTTTTTAGATTTTGTGAATTTGCGGCGGAGATGAGTGCTTCGAGGTTCATAAAGTGTGTCACCGTCGGCGATGGTGCCGTCGGAAAAACTTGTATGCTGATTTCTTACACCAGCAACACTTTCCCTACGGTAAATCTCGTCGCTAAGCTTCTTCCTTCTTTCTTTTCTTGTTAGTTTTTTTTTTTTCTTGTTTGCTCTCATTAGTGAATATTGAAGCTTCTATGAGAATGGGTTTTTGAGATTATGATCTTTTGTTCTCAAAATGTGACTGAGCCGGTAAATTTTAAGAATCAAAGATATGTTTTTTTTTTAATTCCCCAGATCATCTATAGATTATCCTTTTGTTGTTCGACATTTCTGTGTAATCACATCTCTAAAACAAAGTTGAAATTCGGTTGAAAAATACTTGTTACTAGAGTTGACATATTCTTCAGAACTTTTAGGATGCTTCCATGGATTTAGAGATTCTTAGTTATTTCAGCAAGAGCATTATACTTTGTTCAAATATGAAATCAATTTGGACTTCGTGTTGAAATTGTATGTATTAGTCAAATTTTGTATTAACAATCTTGTTCACTTCTTTAGGTGTTAATGATGATCCATTTTGAATTTGTCTCATGACTTTGTTATTGACTATCAGGACTATGTTCCAACTGTTTTCGACAACTTCAGTGCTAATGTGGTTGTAGATGGGAACACAGTGAATCTCGGATTGTGGGATACAGCCGGTAAGATCAACTTGAAACTCATCGAAATCTGGTTTGATTTTTTGGTTTTTTGGGTTTTATTTTGACCAACTCTTTGTGTTTGTGCAGGTCAAGAAGACTACAACAGGTTAAGACCGTTGAGTTACCGTGGTGCAGATGTCTTCATTCTTGCATTCTCGCTCATTAGCAAGGCTAGCTATGAGAATGTAGCCAAGAAGGTTGGTTTTTTTTGTTGATATAATCTTTCTTCCTCTGATAATAATAACTTGTGCTAAGCTAATTTTGAATTTTGAATTGCTTTTTTTTGTTAATTTCAGTGGATTCCTGAGCTCAGGCATTATGCCCCTGGCGTTCCTATTATCCTAGTTGGAACAAAACTCGGTATAGATTCTGTTCTTGGCTATATAAGCCATTCCTGATTAAATAAGAAAGAGACACAACAGTTGAATTTGTCTTTTTTAAATTTTGGAATTCGCAGATCTTCGAGATGACAAGCAGTTCTTCATAGACCATCCTGGTGCAGTGCCGATTACTACAAACCAGGTAGGTAACTAACTCCACAATCCAACATTCTTGCAGACAGAACTTTTTGCCAGACGAGTTCTTGATGAGATGATATGTTTTGATTGTGTGTCTGCAGGGAGAGGAACTAAAGAAACTGATAGGATCTCCGGTTTACATTGAGTGTAGTTCAAAGACGCAGCAGGTACATACACTCATATAAATCATATAGTCAAGTCACATGTTGGATATTTGTACAAGAGACTGAAAAATGTTTCGAGTTTTGTGCTTTGCAGAATGTGAAAGCAGTCTTTGACGCAGCCATTAAAGTGGTGCTTCAGCCACCGAAGCAAAAGAAGAAGAAAAAGAACAAGAACCGTTGCGTGTTCTTGTGATCGTCTTTACAAAGTATGATTTAGGTAACAAACGAAGCTGAAGAACCCAAAAAAAAAAAAAAAAACCAGCATCTTATGCAGCAACATTGTATAGTTGTTGAATCAGGCTTGTTTCAGTCTTTACGCATTTTTTTTTCTTGCTGGTGAATCTAATGAGTGAAGTGAGGCCAAAAGGGGATTCTGGGTAAGAGAAAAGGATGAGTTCTTGGTGTGTTGTTGTTGTACTTTTGCTATGTAGACTAATCTCATACTTTTTGTTTTGTTTTTGCTGTTGGGATACATTTTGTACTTTTAACAGATGAATTGAAGTAATTTTATCATCGTAATTTTCTCTTCTCAAGTTTCATGCTCAGGTTTTAATCTTTTGTCGATCTTATGGTCATGAGCTTTGGTATTGGCATGTCATTAAAATCAGATTAAGATGGATTTTTGTATACAACAGAAACAATGTTGATGTGAGGCATAGACTCAAAGAATAGTTTTCAGAAACGAGGATTCTACTATACACAAAGAAGGGTATATTAGTATTTTAGTAACAAAGAGAATAAAAATTACATAGGTTTCTCCATTTTTGTCATTTGACAGGAAAGAAAACAAACATGTGTATTATACACATCCTTTTCAGTGTTTTCACAACTTCTGCCGAAATTCCATTAAAAAAAATCAAATCCAAAGGAGTTTAGCTCTATGGATTCGATTCAGGATTGTGCGGTGGATACAAGTCACAACTTGATGAGGTCGTATTTGTCACCCATCAAGCCACCTTTCTGTTTTTGGAACCTAATGTAACGCAATGTACTTGTAAAGAAGGGATCTGAGTGGATTGTTGTGTTACCGTTGTCGCTTTGCATCTCGGTGTTGATTAACTCTATCAGGCTCTGTACATCAGATGGAGTAATATGTGGATTCCCTTTCTCAAAGAAGTAAATGTACCTGTTGCATGTAACAAAATAACCATTATTAATATCGATATCAGTTTTGTGTATGAGCCAATAATGTCAGATGATTTTTTGAGTTGGTTCAGAATAACACTGACTTGTTCAAGATTTCGACAAACAGTGTGACTGGTCCGCTGCTACCTCGGGTTGCATTAGCCATTTGTTGAGCCGCGTTTGCTATTCTCAGTGCGCGTCTTAAACAGAGAAGAACTCTGCAGAAATGATATTGACAATGAATTAGTTCTGGAGTTGGGAAGATCACACTGACTTATAATACCCAATGGTGAAGTTGGAAATACCTTTCTCCATCTTTGTTGCCATCTAGATCATCGACCCAAAAGAGGTGAGAGCATGCATAAACCGCTCGACATTGATCAGGCTTCTTTAAAAGCCTTGCTGAGTACTGGTCACACGGAAAACACCAAATTACGATGAAGTTGAGAATGATAACTTGTAAAATGAGAAAGCAGGATTAGCAAAACAGCTGTACCCCTGTTGCTTTATGTGTCAATGTGTCCCTATTTTCAACACCAAAGACATTGATCCTTTGCAAGGTTCCAACTATCAGATGAATTGCAGTTACCTGTGCCTTGGAGTCCTATAGTATAATATTAACACAGACATGAAAATGAAAGTATAATGAAAATGAAAGTATAATAAAGGTTCGGGAGAGAGTTTTTAGTTGTGTTAAAGTTCACTCTGACAGGAAAATAAATTACCGCGATTTCTTCCTCATACAATATAAATGCTTGGGTGAAAAACTCATAAGCAACAGGCTCCAGATCACAATCACTTGCGGCCTGATCAAATCCAAAACGAGATATATTATTGAAAATGCTATGTCAGATTACACCTTGCCTACAGAAAAAATTGAAATTTTGTTGGTGACCCCTATAGATTACCTCAGCGCACTGGAGGTAGAGCCTTAGAGCCAGCTCAGGACATGGAACTGAGGAGAGAACCTCGATTGTCTGGAACAAAAAGCATTATGTTCAAAGAATCATAAAAAGTATCGAGCACTAAAAGTGACGTACTGTCATTAACAACTTATTTTTTGCATAACGCAGCCCGGAGAGACAAATTCCAACTAACATAAATGACCTGATATTGAAAAAATGTATAAGTTGTGGTGGATAATTGGACAATCTAATACGTCAATTACACAGTATACAATGGTTTCAGTTAATCACATAGAGAAGGTACTGCTGCATTCATTTTAAATAAGGGTCTGAATTTATCAAGGAGATAAACGATTCACAAGAATATATGTTTAACTCCTAGGAGTCCAGCCTCAGTGAAGTAACATACTTTTATCTGTCTTAGATGTATGAGAAGAAAAGAAAGCTAATAGAACCTGATTGAGAATCTGAAAAATCTTCCTCGGGTTTGTTGGGACTTCTTCTCCAGTTATATCTCCACCCAGGGATTCTAGCTGCCTGACCAACTGTGGCGGAAACATTTAAGCAACTCATAAAGTCAACCATTTTTCTTAAAGCAGAGAATCTAATCCCACTGGAGGGATCACGTGAAAATGGTCACACTCAACGAGCTGCATAAATAATATGATTATACGAGAAAGCATTCCCACATGAATAAGTGCATATGTTAAAACGTGCAATGAGACAGAGGTTTTTTTCACTGTCAAGAAGAATTTCCAGAAAGAAACAATGATAGAGTATATTTGAGAGCATCTACAGAATTGCACGATAGGATTTCAGAAGCAATATCTGCCTCGACTGGGTAGGTTTGTAATGAAAGGGAACATATACACAACACACATACAAGCACGTTACAGGAAAAATAAGAGATATACCCTGAGTGCAGAAAAAATAAGCGGGGGAACAGTAAAAGGCAGGCGTCGAGGTCCTCCTGTCATAAGATGCTTTCTCACAACACATATAATCTGCATATCAGCAAAGTACTCAGGTTAAAGACGACAATGGGCTCGAAGCCGGTCTGCAGGTCAATTTAGGAATGCAGGCGGCTTCAGAGGAGTGGGAGCAAAAGACTCAGATGCAGTTCCAAGGAATAAAAACCATGTTCAGGATAAGTGAACACTTTAACAATTCCATATCTGATAAAATCATGGAAAGACAGTAGCTCCGGAAACAAAATGCATACAGCTTATGAAAGAAAAGTTAAGTAACTGTATGATACTTCACCTTTAGCATCTCCTCTGGTTCTTCATTATCAAGCATATGTATCAGTCGGGCTACTGAATTTTGTTCCTCCTGGAAATCCTCTTCATCAAGCTAAATACGAACACAGAAAATCCATGAGAACCAAGATGTTATATTAGAGCTGACCATAGTTACTAATTGCAAACCACGTGGGAAAGACCAAGGGAAAAGTGACAGCACCTCCTCTGTGTCTGTTCCATCCAAATCCTTAATAAGTCCTTTTATCAATTCAAACAGCACCTCAACCTAGTGAACACAAATTGGCATGTCATTACAGTAGCCATATTATATATATATACGTCTTTTTAACTGAAGAACGTAGTAAGCATACCTTATCAGCAGTTGAAATACACGAATCGTTTTTCATTATACTTTGAATAATAAGCATTGCCATTACTTTATTCGTTCCATCATCAAGATGATCCATGACACGTGGATAATTTGACAGTGTAAGAGCTGTAACTATGTCATTGTATTTTTCTAAAGGAGCACTCAGAAGTGCAACAACTTGTTTCATTGCACGGGCGTCCTCCAGCTTGGGCACACTGGAAAGCTTAACTACACATGCGCCCTACCAAGTTTGCGAGCCAAAAGTTAGTTTAACATCGGAGCTACATCAGATTCAACTAATATCCTAAACAATGCATAACATACAATGAAAAAATTCTGATTCTGAATGGAACTAAATTATATAGCGTAGAGCTACACAGACAATATTAACTAAGACTCAAATTTAGGAAATATGGACACGGAAGGAAACCATACCAATACTTGATCCACATAGTCAAGCCGATCAGGGTGAACTCGGAGTGTAAAAGTCAGAAGAGAGACAAACAGAGTCATAGCTCCCACAATAGGCATCTCAATCTGTGTATCTATCACCTGCAGCTCACATCAAGTCCAAATGTCATATAAATGTATAAGAAAAATAAAGCACGACATGCAAGAGGCTGGAAGAACCAAAAACTTGAAGGATTGAGTCCATTGACCTGCAGAATTTACAATATGAACTGAGGCAGTTGGGTCCACGCCGGGGAAAAAACAGTTTGCAAATTAAAGTAGATGCATCATCCAGCAAATTAATAGTTTGAATGATATTTCAATGGTTTTTTTTGTTTAAAGTTCTGCATAAGTTTACATGCATTCCTCTTCTAACTACTAAACTCTCAAATCTGACTACTAGATGACAGACATTTTCAGACTAAGGTGGCATTATTTTCAATCAAATGTCATAGATGTAATCATGTAACTGATTTGACGATGCCTAACAAAGGAGTTGATTAAGCAAAAATAACCAAAAAAGCTTGGAAAAAGCATGACACAGTACAGTCAAGGTGACTACTTCTCATGGTACTGGGGACCCACATAGGAGTAATCTAAGGGACGTTCTGTTTCAAGAATTAAGACTATCCAACAACCAAAAGACAATTTCATTTATCTCTTTAATGGAGCCAACCTTTCCAATTGCATTGCTCAATTTAGCAAAAGCTTCCACTTGCAAAAATTCGTGTAACACCTGCCCAGCAAAAACATCTGAGTAACATTAAACAAATATAGAAAGGTAAGAAGATAGCTCAATAGACACTTACATCTGGACTTGAGGCAGCATAGTTTGACAACCGGTCCATCAGTTGGGTTAACACTATCTTGGTGTCAACTGTTGGCTGAGAAAATATTTCTTAAAGTCAGAGAGGAAGAAAAAAGGTCATAGAATCAATTGGCAAAAGTGCAGAACATGAAAACAAAACAATCCAGGCTTCCCTACTTAGAGTTTTGTAACTTCAACCAACTTATAAGAGATCAGGGATCGCCTTTAAAAACTTATAATTGGTGAGCCAAAGCCCTAGTCACCAAAAAATAAGTAAGAGAACTCCCCAACTACTAGCAAACATAATGAGAGTGAATGGCAATATAGAAAGCTCAGATAAACCCTTCTAGAAATAATGGCTAGCATACCCACCATCAGTTGGGTACAAGCAGCCAATAAAGTCTCAAGAGTCTGCAAATGGTATTCATCAGGAAAGACTTGAATGATGCACTCCATCAGATAATACTGAGCCAGCTCATCTTTACAGTTGACGACCTGTTCAAGGTTTCCATATATCAGATTATACAGCAACTGAATTCTCATTCATACCAAAAGGAAACTGGTGATAGATGCAAAGAGAACCTGCTCTAAGACCCTAGGAAGAACAGTCTCTTTGTACATATCAAGGTCAACACCTTCGATCTGTCCTAGAACGTGCAGATTTTTTCCAACCTGAGAGGGAAACATTAGATACAACTTATTGTGCAGTCACACGGTTAAAAACAGGGTATTCAGTCCAGTAGTGGTATTGACAGTACAAGATCACGAAGTTCGTTCCTCTCTTTCTCCTGCTTTTCTCGAACTGTTCCAGGTCCCTGCAGTCCAAGGAACACCTCAGCTCAGGTTCACCAATATCAATGATTCACAAGCACCACACAACCTGCATGACCAAAAGCATGCTCTTCATGGTTCATTTATGCTTCAGTCAGAGGCGTGTAAGTGCAGAGGTGCTATGCCTATCCAACTACTATCAACTCTTCACAGATCGAAAATTCACCTGATGCTGTATTCGAACCCAGAGCTTATTCATCTCTGTGAAGTTTTGTAGCACAAATTCCACAGCATCCATCACAGTATTCGCATCTCTGCACGAGAGTTGCAAGGAAGGGTAAACAAACCGCTAAACACCCAAATAATCATGGAAAAGGGAGAGAGGAAAACATAGTTAAAAGACTCACCCTTCATAGTCTGAGCCAATCTCAGGTAACTTATCCCTGCTCACTTGTGCAAGATAACTCCTCAGAAAGAGCCCACGAATTGGATGTTGAACACCTCGACACATTTCCACGAGATCTTTAAGAACATCCTTAGAAGGAGCCTGCTTGCTTTTGATGTAAACAGACCCTACTGTACATAGCAGATACCTGATAGACCAACATTCATGAGTTTCAATTACAGTGCAGATAATCATTCAGCAAGATGAATCAATGCAGATTATCTCTTTCTGCTCGAGATATGTATACATTTTCTAGTCTAATCTCATAACTGTAGCCCAATCTAGCTAAATGATTAAGAGAGTATCAGATCTTCATCCCGATCAGTAGAAACAGAGACTAGCTCAACGAAGAAAATGAATCTAAATCATCTGCTTACATCCTGGGTAAGATGTTCCCGGCGTGTTGAACAAGCTCATACAAATCCACCACAGGTAATCCATGCCTGCTCTCATCGTTGAAGAAAATCTCCAGCTGCCTCAGTTGATCGAAAGCTCGCATATCTAAATCGGCCAAAGAAACCAGAAACCGAATCAGAAGAGAAATCAATAGAAAACGGTCAAACAAGCACGAAATCGAGAGATTGAAAGTTCAGGGCGATGGAATCTAACAGAGATCGTAATATTTCTGAGGAGATAGCTTGGAGGTGCGGAGCTCAGAGAGCATCAGAGCCGAGTACTTGAGGACTTCTCTGAGATTATTCGCGTCCTGAGGGAGGAATTTTGAAAAAAAATTCATCAGATCAAAAGAAAATAACACGGCGGATGGATAAAAGAGTCATCAGCAACGGACCAAGGCGCGATGCATGAAGAAAGCGTTGTGCTGGATTCCGGCGATTCCTTCCGCCAGCCACTTCTCCTCGTCTTCTACTCCGGCGAGCCTCCTCATCCTCCTCTCTGTGTCAGCAGTTTTTTCTTTTTTCCAGTTGAGCGCACGAATAATAGACTTTCGATTATTTGCTTATGTTTAAATCATCATCTCACAATCTCGAACTCGCCGATATGTTTTGTTTTTGTTTGTTTTCAAAAAGCCAATTTGACGACCTTAAGTTATTTTTTTCCCCGTGACGAAATAAATGATTAATCTCACATCTCTAGATTTTTGTTTTTTCCAACTCGTACCTATACTATATACACAAAAGCCAGTTTGTGTAGATTACGTTGCATTTGAAATGGTAGAATGTTGACATCGCAAGACTGTATTGATCCAACCGATCGTGTTTTTGAATCTCACATCTCAACCATAAAGGTCGGGTGAGTACAAACATCAACACATTACATTTATCTGTTTTCACATTGATTTATGTTTCAATGCCCGGATAAAGAGTTGATACAAGGTACAGTAACGCTTTTATGTGTCTAACCACGATCAGAGCAACCAAAGTAAAAAGTATATCAAAATTGGGTTAGATTAGAAAACAGTTGCTACAATCTGTGACACTGTACAAGGCTAGTGCTAAGGCTAGACTAACAAAAATGGAGGTTCTTCAGAACGGAACTGTATAAGGTAAGGAATAAATCCCGACTTCCGACAAAAACTGAGCTCTAGGCCACGAGGAATCTCCACTTCTATGCAAACTCATGTTAATGTCTTCATCCTTCTTGGCTTCAACTTTGTGGCTAAGCTTCTCTTGCGCCCTATTTGGAAATAGCCAATCATCATCATCCTTGGAAGAAGAATCGACTTCCATGGCAGAAAAACAAATGGAGGAAGGTGGAGTCCAATCATCAAACAATGCGTTGTATCGTTCTTCTTTGCTTGGCCTGTGTTTCTTTCTCTTCTTTGTCTCACCTACTGCAGCCGCAGATGTTGACGGCAGAACCACTTCAGGCTCAGATATTTTCGGACATGAGACAGAGCTTGTAATGACATCTTGTTGCCCAACCAAAGTGGAGCAAACAACACTCTCTGGAGGAGTAGGAGTAACAGGTGCTTCCTCTGCCTTTGGTTTCTTCAAAATCAACCGGATCCGTAGAGGCTTTCCTACTACAGCTGCAGCTGTAAACACAATTGCAAATACACGTAAGTCTTAAACAGCAACAGAAAGTCGAATGATCTTACTTTCACTGTCCCATTTAAGAAAAAAAGATACAAACCTTTGATAACACTTTCAACGGCAGGAGGAGAGTCGTCTCTCTTCCTCTTCTTACTATTCTGGCTTCCATCAGATAGATAACCGATTTGGTTCTGAGGTCCCTCATGCTCTTCGGTCAAACCACTCTTCTCAAGCTGCTCAGACTCATCCGAGACCTTCTTGGAAGGAAATACTTCTCCTTTGCGAACATCGTCGGCTTTCTTTGACGAATGTTTTCGAGACTTCTCATGTTTTTCTTTCTTGTGTTTCCTCTTCTCCTTCTTTTCCTTCTTCTCTTTCTTCTCTTTCCGGTGCGCCGATTTAGAATCAATAACGCTTCTTTCGAGCTTTAATGGATCAGAATAAAGGGTTTTAGGGTAGAGGTATTACGGGTTCGGAACAACCAATCCCACTCAATGCGCGAAAACACCAATAGAAGAGACAGCATTACATGAAATACAATACCTAAAGATACGACTTATAGACATCACTAGACGGACCAATGCAAGAATGAAAAACAATGCAGCTTACCTGATTCTTGAAAACCCTATTGATAGCTACCTATTCAGTGAAAACATACATATATATAGGATAATTATATGGGTTATGTGAATACATATTATGATATACTAGCAGGAAAACAAAGAAAATATATATTTATAAAATAGGTTTTGGAAAATATATTTTGAAAGCTACGATTGAGACTCTAGCTAGCTATACAGGAAACAAGGATGACTAAATTCAATGATATCTAAACCGTGACTAGATTTAAAGAACCCTAGAATTTCAATTTTAAAGAATTGAAGCAAGAAACCAGAATCTGTGGCTCAACGAACCTTAGTCGATTCGACCAAGTTCTGACAGCTCGCCTGGTTCCTTGCAATCACAAGCGGTGACATGTTTTCTTGCTTTTTTTTTCTCAGATCGAATCTGGGGATTTTAGGGTCAAGAGGGAAAGGGTGGGATCGGCTCAAAAATCGGTAACCAAGGCTTCAGACTCGACCAACCAATACTAAGGTATCGAGATATTCCGGTAGCTTTATCCCGATTTCGCAAACCCACGACGGAGAACAAACCCTAAAAATTATCGACCTAGAGATGCAGAGAGAGAGAGAGAGAGAAGCGCGTTCTGGAATAATGAAACGATTTGGGGGTAAGGTCCGTCCGTATTTAAAGACGCGTGAGAGACTCAGATCCGCCGACTCGGGCAAAGTCGGTCACTTGGTGGGCTTTTTCGTAAGTTCACATTAGAGACCAAAAAAAAACCCTAATCGTCAAAATATCAACCAAGGGTATATAAATAAATTACACAGGCCACTAGGCTCGGTTCGAATCTCCGAGATTGCTTCGTCTCTTACATAAAGGAAAAAAGACTCTTTCACCCCTTGACCATTTTCTCTAAGCCTAACTCAAATAATGGGCTTAAAATCAGTTATCGGGCTCTATAACTCCAATTAAAAAGCCCAAATGTATAAAACATAATGATTTTGTTGTACAACTCCCAACAGACGCGTTCAAACACCAACGTTCGCGTCTCCATGTTTCATACTTTTTTGTTTCCTTTAAATTCAACACTTTCGATTGATGTTAAAAGCATTCTCTTCTTTTGCTCTCCACATTCGTCTCCTTTCATTACATATCTTTTAATATTCACTATCACAAGATGAGAATCCGTTCCTCTAGACAACCAAAGATCATACAAGACAAAGAGGATTTGGTTCTGAGTTCATCAGGCATCAGTGTAATAACTAATAATCCGACGATATCTCTAGGCTTGTCTGCTCCATATCAACAACAAGCACTTGACATCAACAATATGTTACAGGTTTGTGTCAATACGTACTGCTGATGTTTTTCGTTTTTTATAATCATATTGATTATGCATTTTGTTTTAACTTTACGTGCAGAACCAGATGACGAAACAGTTGTATGATCATCAATTAAAAATTATGGGGGAAAGAGCCGTGATGTACATGCAGGCGAAAGACAAAGCCCTCGAAGAAGCGACTAGAAAGTGTAGAGCGATGGAGATTCATTTGTCGGAAGCCCTAGATGAAATCGCTACTTGGAAGACGTTGTCGGATCAGAAAAACGCCTTGTGTCGAGATCTCACCTCGAGGCTCTTGAAAATGAGGAGGGAAATGGCGAAGACGACGGGGAGAACATTTGTAGAGGAGGAGCAGTCGTCAACTGGGGAAAACGGAGAGGATGACATAGTAGACACAGTAACAACCCTAAGGTGGAAACGACGCCGTCTTTAAAAGAGGCGGGAATTGTGTGTGAGATGTTAGAGCTACGTACGTGTGTATTTTGTCTTTGAGCATGTATGATAGAGCTGTTGCATTGTTCACTGTTCCCACTTCCGAGATACTGATAGTATCCTCCAAAAGATTGTAAGAGCGAGCTAAAATTTTTGAAGATGAATGAATCATTCATCGTTGTATTAAATAAACAACAGCCGTTAAATTGTGTTATGTCTATTTTATTAAAATCCTCTTTTTCCTTTCGAAATGTCATGTAACCAAACCGGTGGGAAATCGAAAGAAAAAGGACTGAATTAATTTCTACTATTTTACTTTTAACTATGAAAATGAAATAATTGAGAAATAGAATGAGTTATATTTATATGTTTACTATTATTGGTTATGACAGAAAAAATAATGGAGCTTTTATTATTTTTAAATTTTTTCATAGGCTAAATTAACGAAATTAAATTATCATTGGCCGCTTTTGAAAATAGAAACGACGAAAAATCCTGAAATATTACCGACGAGTAAAAATGAATATTACGGTTATATATTTATGCGGACATACATTATAAATCGAACTAACGAGGTTGAAATACTTATCATGAAAGAAAAATTGTGTAGAGATGATATATATTAATTTATACAGCTTCTTCGTGTTCATACCCTTCGTATATGTGTGACTAAAGGAAACCCCCGACCAGTACATTAAAAGGAGGGGGAGAAGATGTGTACACACAACTAATCTCTTAATTAAATAACAGTGACAAAATTCGGTATCTGTCTGATAGATGTAGAAAGAGACATATAAATAAATGCACAACTGTTAATTGTTGCATCGCCGTAGGTGGATATGATAAAAGTGCCATATGATAGTGTTATAAGTTTTGGAAAAAAACGTTAAAAATTGTCTACGCAAGTGTTTCTGGTTAAAATATACATTTCGAGAAATGTTAATCTTGTCTTTGCATCAAAAACAAAATAAAAATAAATATTCAATTTGCAATTACTGCTCCAACGGTGAATGGATTGTGTAGCTTTGTGGGTCTTCTCATTTAATACAGATGTTATCACCTATTTCGATGAGACATTGATAGAACAGAAAGAACATAACCACAGCATGACGAATATTATTTAGTAATAGTTTATTCTTTTTTTTGGTGCAAATAATTAGATATAGCCGCTGTTCTAAAATCGATTGTCTCTAGTTGTGCATGAGAGAATGATAGAACTGTTAAACGTTGGTAAAAGTCTTTTTTTTTTTTTGGCCAAACGTTGGTAAGAGTCTATAATACATCATCTAGTACAGATCAGAAGAGATTTGAAATTTTGTAGTCAAATAGATAAGAAATTAGACTAGCACTTATATGACTATGAACCTATGTGGAAAAAGTTAAGAAATGCAATTTAAGAGTTACATCTTAAATGAATGAGAGAGTGAAGGAACCGTTAAACGTTGGTAGAGTCTCTCAGTTAGTACGGGGATGTTAGATATGCTGCTTTTATTGCCAATTTGTATCAACTTTCTATTTTAGAAAATTTCATCTTTTCACTGACTTTACCAATTTGGGAAAGGTAAAGCAAACACAATGCTGATCAGATTTTGAAACTTGCTAACTATGGCAATTAAGTCGTACGGTAGAAATTGCACACACTGTTTACAGTGAAAAGCCTTGGAAAGGAGAAACTAGCAAAAGTGTAATTTGTCTTTGCCTTGTAATATATGACAAGTGAAAGAATACTGAACAGAACAGAGTGTGACGAGTGACGGTAATAATTCAAATAATCATATGATTTCTGATGGCTGTGCAAGTGCAACTTTACAACTATCTGTCACATGCTCTGATTTTCTAATATCCATGTTGATCCCTTTTGATAACAGTTCTGAGTTATCTGCTTCTTTGTCAAGTGTTATCTTTGTTCTTTTTAAATTTTAATTAGCCTTAAAAAGAAAAACATTAATTTATAGAAAAATAATTGAGAGCCGCAAGTGGGCCAATGATATTCTTCATCACCTCTGCTGCCATTCTCATAAATCCAGGTTCGAACCTCTGGGGTCACTCTCTGATCTATGATAGGATCATAGGAGTAAATGACTACCACTAGGCCACGATGACAAATAAAAAAAACCGAGTCATTGAGTGAACTATACGTCGCACTAAACCTATGTTTCTTAAACAAAAGGCAAAGAATAATTATGTTGGATATCAATAACCTAGGAGGCTTTTTGGATTATCTTCGTACAGTTTTGGAATAATTCCTTTTATCTTTTCATATTCGAGATTGAAACAAAGTTCATAGGAAAATTTTTGTTGTTAAATTAAAATCAGTGGTCCACTAGGCTCTTACCAAAACACGTACTGTGGAGATATTAGGATAACAACATGTAGAGGAAAAAAAAATGTCGTTGTCTTCAATTTATGACAACACCAAACCAAACTCATCACACAAGCCTATATTATTTTTATACATATCTATACATAGGAGGTGGGAGGATGACTACTTACATATAGCAGCCATGGAGCGACGTCGTGCTCTTCATCACATATTTTCTTATATTTTTCTCTCTTCGTCGTCTGTACTATATTGGTGTATTTTCTTTCTCGTGTTGTTGTTTACGTCAACTACAAACGCTTTAGTGAAACTTCCGGGAAACACGACTATTCCGGCAATAATAGTGTTCGGAGATTCAATTGTGGATGCCGGAAATAACGACGATATGATCACGGAGGCTAGGTGCGATTATCCTCCGTATGGTATTGATTTCGACGGTGGTCTTCCTACGGGAAGATTCTCCAATGGAAAAGTCCCCACTGATATTTTAGGTTAGTTTATAACCTCTAGTTTCTTGTTTTATTTTCTTCGTTGACTAATTTCGTTAAGCGTTATATAACATTAGTCATGCATTATTTATTGGACAATCCGTGAATATTTTTTATTTGTCTACACTCTGAATTGATGTGTACAAAAGTTAAAGCACCTTGTAGTTGCAACTTTTTGTCCCTGTCAACTACTATAAAATTAAATAAAAAAACTAATTGTTGCAGCTTGTAGTTTTTGTAGTTTAATAATTATTATATTATATTTTCATAGTTTTATTGTTTTACAGCGGAAGAATTAGGGATTAGACCAAATATACCAGCATATCGAGATCCAAATCTAAAACCAGAAGATCTCTTAACCGGTGTAACTTTTGCTTCTGGTGGTGCTGGTTATGTTCCTTTGACAACACAAATCGCGGTAATTAAATCTCTCACTTCCTATGCGTTAAATTTATCTAATATATAGTTTTTAAAATAACTACTTTTTTTTTTTTGAATTTGTCAAAGGGAGGAATACCATTATCGCAGCAATTGAAATATTTTGAAGAATACATAGAGAAATTGAATGAAATGGTCGGAGAAGAGAGGACAAAGTTCATAATTAAGAATAGCTTGTTCGTTATTATATGTGGTAGTAACGATATCGCCAACGACTTCTTTACTCTTCCTCTGGTTCGGCTCCGATACGACGTCGCTTCTTTCACCGCTCTTATGGCCAACAATGCCCGCTCTTTTGCTATGGTAAAGACAAACTATAATTATTGATTATTGGTGTCTTTATCATATAATTATCTTTAATTTTTTTTGTATCATGTGGTGTTGGTAGAAACTGTACTTATATGGAGCAAGAAGAATACTTATGTTTGGTGCACCACCAATAGGATGTGTGCCTTCGCAGAGAACCGTAGCAGGAGGACCAAAAAGAGACTGTGTTGTTAGGTTTAACGACGCATCAAAACTTTTCAATGCTAAACTCTCTGCAAATATAGATAGCTTGTCACAAACGTTACCAGACACGACGTTAATCTATATTGACATCTACAGTCCTCTTCTTGATCTCATTTTAAACCCTCGACAATATGGTAATGAATCATTCTTGATTTCTTAAAGAAAAATATAATAATTCTGAACAAATTTTATATATATTGTTTTTTTTTTAATGATTTTTGTAGGATTTAAGGTGTCCAATTTAGGATGTTGCGGAACAGGGCTTATAGAAGTAACTGCGCTATGCAACAACTATACAGCTGCCGTGTGTCCCATAAGATCGGATTATGTGTTTTGGGACAGTTTTCATCCCACTGAAACAGCTTACAGAATTATAGTTGCAAAACTTCTTGATAGATATCTCAACAGATTCGTATAGTTAAATCTGATATATATATATACTGCTTTTTTAACATGTTCGACGTCACACTCTATTTATGATTATTTCAACTGTCATTACAAGGCAGAGATAAATAATACTTTATAAACAAGATTCTTGTATTTATCTATATGCTAAAATATTTTTCACATCTTCGGCAATTGTTGTTCTTTTTCCATTTTCTACATAATACTACAAACAATAAAGATTGCAACCTGTCACAGAATCCTGATTGGAGAACTCAACTTATTGCAAATATCAGAATACCAAAAAAAAAGGAAGAGAGACAAAACTATACAAAAGCCATAGAGGAAATTAAAAAGAATATGTAGATAATATGGCCTAAGCTGTCGGAAAAACCCCCCATTAGGCCCAATGTTGACATGATGAATTAACCATAAGGCCCAAACTTTCGTTTAACGCAGGCCTGCAAGCACTCAAATATTTTTCTTGTACGTAGTTGAAAACTTGAAATAAACGGCCCTGCCTGGATGAAGTTTCGAACTTGGATTATAATTGCCAAATGCCAATTATTGTACTTGGAAGTTGAAACTAAATTATGCGTTTGGGACCCGACCATTTTGCAAACCATAAATTTGTTTCAGACAAAAAAGTAAATGAATGCACGTTTTTTTTTCCTGGAGCGATTGATATTTGAGTTATATATGAAGTACGTACGCTGGTTTGGTAAGGAGAACACCGTTAGGGATCCGAATGATTTTATATTTTTAGCCGAATAAATTGAAATGTTTTAAGCAGTAATTTGATCAAATATCTCAATTTCGTACAACAATTATGATTGTACAACGTGTTGTTAGTTGAGACAACCACAAACGCATTGGTGAAACTTCACATCAAACTGCCAATTATTTCTCTGGTTTTGGTATAAGGAGAAGAGAGTTAATTTAAGCAGTAATTTGCTACAGTATGACTGTACAACAATTAGCATGTGATCGGATTATGATTGTCCATACTTTGTGATTGTTTAGGAAAGTATTTTTACTATATATTTTGTATGCAAGTTTTATTGAGAAACAACACATACATAATTTGATAGTATGAATTTCTACAGACTCATTCCAAAAGCTTCCAAAGAAAACAAGTTTTGATTCAAACAAAAGAACATAGAGCAACAATGAAAAGATACAATAGTATTGTTCATCACGTTACTACTACTACTTCTTCTTTGAGACTGTTTCGGTGTGTTCTCTTATTCGTGTTGTTAGTTGAGCAAACCACAAACGCTTTGGTGAAACTGCCGACAAACAAAACGATTCCGGCGATACTAGTGTTTGGAGATTCAATCGTTGATGCCGGAAATAATGACTACATTACGACAACGTTGGCTAGATGCAATTATCCGCCATATGGAATCGATTTTGACGATGGAATACCTACCGGAAGGTTTTCCAACGGCAAAGTTCCGACTGATATTATAGGTAACTTTCACTTTTGCGTTCTTTGTTATATTTGATTAAATTCTATATTTCGATATTTTCCTTAACATATGACGAATTAAACAATCATGTTTATATGAATTTGTGTTTTTATAAACAAGGCTTTTAACTTTTAGGACTCTAAAACGTTATTTACTCCCACTTCTGATTTATTGTATCGTCTATGGTACTGGATTATGCAATTTACATATTATTGGATAAATGATACGTGATGGAGCGGGACATAAAGAAACTTAAGAAAATGGTACGATTACAATTTTTTATTAGAGGCTGACTAATGAGTAATGCCAAGAGGACATTTAATTCAGTGGTTGAATATTTTCACCGTAACACGTGATCAGTTTCTTTTAGTCTTCAAGTAAGTGTCATTTTCTTGTATTTAAAAATCGTACAAACATCAAAGAATTTAAGAGCTAAGAAAATATTTGATATATAAGGATGACTGAATTGTGTTTATTTTCTTGCTTGTCATAGCGGAAGAATTTGGAATTAAACCAAGTATACCGGCATATCTAGATCCAAAACTGAAACCGGAAGATCTCTTAACCGGTGTAACATTTGCCTCTGGTGGTGCTGGTTACGTTCCTTTCACATCTCAAATATCGGTAATCTAACTCCGAATCTTACAAAAAAAAATTATAAAAGGTATATGATTAATTATAAAGCTAATAATCTTTTACAATAATTATTGTTCTGAAAGGGAGGAATATCGTTATCGCAGCAACTGAAATTATTCGAAGAGTATATAGATAAACTGAAGGAAATGGTTGGGGAAGAAAGGACAAAGCTCATAATAGAAAACAGTTTGTTCATGGTTGTATGTGGTAGTAATGACATTACCAATACGTACTTTGGCCTTCCTTCTGTTCAACGCCAATACGACGTCGCTTCCTTTACCAGTCTTATGGCTTACCATGCTCGGTCTTTCGCTCAAGTATGAAAATATTTCTATCTTTTATCAAAAATTTAAGCTCACTTTTTACGTAAGAATTGTTTGACGTTTTAATGACGTGGTATTTACAGAAATTACATGAATATGGAGCAAGAAGGATACAAGTATTCGGTGCACCACCACTAGGATGTGTCCCATCACAGAGAACCGTTGCAGGAGGACCAACGAGAAACTGTGTTGCTAAGTTCAATGATGCAGCAAAGCTCTACAATGCTAAGCTCTTTGCAAATTTGGATTCTTTATCAAGAATTTTACGTGACAAGACACTAATCTACATCGATATATATGATTCTATTCTTGATATCATTCTACACCCTCAACAATATGGTAAATAACTCTCTCTCTCTCTCTCTCTCTCTCTCTCTCTCTCTCTCTCTCTCTCTCTCTCTCTCTCTCTCTCTCTCTCTTATTACTGTAAAAAATGATTTTCAAACATTTCTAATTTATCAAAAAGTTAATATTAAATGGTATGTTTGTCATGAATGACAGGATTTGAGGTAGTTGATAGAGGATGTTGTGGAACCGGACTAATTGAAGTTGCTGTTCTGTGCAACAACTTTACAGCTGATGTATGTCCAAAACGATATGATTATGTGTTCTGGGATAGTTTCCATCCCACCGAGAAGACTTACAGGATTATGGCCGCAAAATATTTTGAAAAGGTTCTAAATAAAATTTAGTTTATGGTTACATGCAAGTTAATATCTCTGTATTAAACGTGATATCGATATGTTTGTCGAAAAGAATATTACTATGCATTATGAGACAGTTTCAATCCTCTTTGTTATGTATGACTTATCACCTTTGTTTGCCATCTTGTTGGATGTTTTGTCGAAGTATTTGCCAATCTCCACTCTCTCTCACGCCAACGTTGTTTCATTTGCTTTTCTTTTCCTGGAATCACGAACAAGCGAAGCCCAACGAAAAACTCCAAATTAGTTTGGAGCCCAATAAAGATTGGTTTGGAAACCCTTATTTTTGTTTGTAACATACCTGACACCTACTGATTAATGTAACATAATTGGCAGTGGAACGGTATTTTGTTGAAACTATAATAAATTTGGAATTGGGGGCCCGTTTTACAAGCAATAAAAATATCATCAGACAACAAAAATGAATGCTTGTCAAATCGAATTTCTGACAAAAAAATGAATGCATGTTTTTATCGTATGAGTTATAAGATGAAGAACGGTGATATATATGGTGAGGAGAACGGTGGGCGCCGATGTAGGTTGGCCGTGTGTTTGTATATTTCAGATTGGGTAAAAAAGGATTAAACTTTGCCCTAAACGGTTGTCCACCGCAACATTTTATATTCATTTTTTTACCTAGTTTTCAAGTATGTGTCACCATCTTTTTCAAGTTTAAAATATTATATAAAACTGAAAAGTGATCCTTGCTCCTGCAAAATGAATACGAGATTCGATCTACAACCTCCTAAACATAAAAAAAAAGAAGATTTGGACGCTCGTAAACCTTTAACCCTAATTATCGATTTTTACATATTTGGGTAGGATTAAAATCTAGGACTAATTAATTAACTGAAATATCTTTAGCACATTGGACCTACTAATAAATGATCAGTTCAATTTCACACAAATAAGTGGGATGCTTTTCAAAACGAGTTCTAAATATCCAAATAATGGCTTCACTATATTTTTCTTTTGTCTTTACTATATAGTACGTGGAAGTAGCCACTTCGTCATTTCAAATTTGTCGCTGTCGAGTTGTTATTAGTTATTATTACATATAAATAGAACTGCGATACGTTACGTACTGGGTCCATCTTCTACGATATATGAACACCAGAGAGTCTAGTATAATATATAGTTTTTAGCAAAAATACATTGCGTTGGTTTTGTAATATATTTTCACACGGATTAAAATTCTGTTTGAATATCAAAATATTTTCTACTAATTCAACTATAATGACTTCAATTTTAATTGTGTTAGGAATTTTACTGTTTTTTAAAAAAAAATAAGAATTCTCAAAATTAAAATTGTCTCCAAACTTTAGAGTGATATTCGTTTTTATTTATAAAACATTCGTAAAGCGACGTACTCTTTATTTAACGGAAAAACCATATTGGGTAAGATTTTGTTAAGCACATATTCATACAAACATAATTATGTTAGATAGTGGTTGGGCGATAGTATGGTTGTGCGATTATTAAATTAAGTTCCACATTCGAGAAGCCTTGTCGTTGTCGATATATCTTACTCTTAATTAGCTTTATTTTTCGGATAGCACTTAAGCGCTGGCTTACTATTTGTACATTGCAATTATTACATTTGGACCATATCGTTATACAGGTAGCAGCATAACAGCAAGCTTCTCTCGAAATACACAAACATTTCTCCATTAATATCTACTCCTCAGGCCTCAGTTTGTACCTTTGATATCACGTGTATATGTAGAGAAAGCTACCAATTCACACTCGGTTTTGTGGTGGTAGTAACTAGTATATCACCTATAGCTTGTGATATGTATCTCTACCTACGCTTTTGTTCTATTTTTTGAATTATTCGTATTTACGCATGATGAGTCATTCAGTCGATTTTTAAAGAACTCTAAGATATTAAAGTAGAATATGTCACGATAGAGACCAAAAATGATACCAACAATATCTTATATATTGATATTGTTGGGCTCTATAAGTCTTGTTTGTAGTAATTATGATGACCTATAAAGTTGGTAACAGTTTACATCACATGCTCAAATCTTTGAGCATGATATTCTCAAATTAATTATTATTATTAATCGCAATTCGATGTAATCTAATTTAAATAAGTTATACATCGATCGGTACACATACATATTTGTCTTTGAACCAATCCAAAATTAAATGTAAGTCAATTAAATTGAGCTAGAAAATCAAATTGAGTCAAAATTTTAAATAAAATTATAATATATATATATATATATTATAAAAATAAATCAATTTTTGAAAATTTCAGTACAAATAGAAATTTCTCTGTTGAGTTAAATTATTTTTGTAGCAACTTTTTTGTTAGTTAAGAGGTTTTGCATCAAGTTCTGTATTTCTCTCTAAACTAGAGACAAATATGGTTTTTTCAAAGTCTATTCAATATTGTGATTTTTAGATTGGTTTTTGGTATTTTTCCATTCGATTTAAATATATTTTAAAAATTTTAATAATATTTATGACAAACCAAATAAAATAGATAAATTAAAACGAGAAAATATTCAGATGTCTAACTTTTTTTGTATAACTTATTCTTTTATTGAATATGTTAACACATCCTAATTAAAGTATATTATACTTTTTACATTGTCACAAGTGATGAATTTAGTAATCATGAAAAAAAAAGGTTCATGGATACATGATGATCTGCTTCATAAAAGATTCCACAGTATATTGTTTTACCCATATCACAATTGTTGTGATTTACGATAGACAATATATACGTTAGAAGCGTTCTGTTTTGAAATGGAGCAGAATATTTAACTCTTATGAAGATATCATCTTGAACTGTCAGCGATAATTATAAACCCCGTTTAATTAGCGTGGACAAACATTAATGATTAAACATACGTACTAGTACAGTGTAGAAATGATATAATATACATGCTTGTGGTCACACGTTGCTGGCAATACGTGGTTCGACGAACGCACCAATAGTTATGTCGTTGAAGCAGCTTGTTATTAAAAAATAAAATAAAAATCAAAACTGAGATGGTTGAGAATCTTGAGATTAAGTACACTACCTCAGTTGATTTCAACGATAAAATTATTTAAATACCCAATCTATACCTAGAAATGTTTTAATCAAATGGTTAATTCGGTCTTGTCCGAAGTCTATCACACAAGTCCATATAATATTTACCTCCACCACGCAATGCATTGCACACATATTATATAAATATTGTGATAACATAACACGGGTCTATATATATAAAGTAAAGGTGTGATAACATAGAAGAAAAGTTTATACTATAATTCTCTCTTGTCCTGGTTATTGTAAAGCTTCAAAGCAAACCTTCTTTTATCGAAACTCCTTTTCAAAAAAACATTACAGTAAAGCAAACATGAAAGACAAAACAAGCTGGTCTTGTTCTTGTTCTTCCTTGAAACTATGTTTGTTGTCTGTTCTCGTTCTCACTGAGACGGTCGTCGCCATAAAGCTGCCACCAAACTTGAAGATTCCGGCGCTAATAGCTTTCGGAGACTCCATCGTCGACACCGGAAATAACAACTATGTCAAAACCGTAGTGAAGTGTGACTTTCATCCTTACGGTATCAATTTCCAAGGCGGAGTTCCTACGGGGAGATTCTGCGACGGACGAGTACCCGTCGATTTGCTAGGTCCATTCTCTTGGCTCTAATCATTTCTAGATAATACATTACTCTCTTCTTTTTCAGCTTTAATTCGAAAAGCGAGAAGTGAATGGAAAAATAGTTTCACACATTTATACATAACGATAATCAATTATTATGACTCAAGTAGTGGCCACGGCAAAATATTTGAGCATTCATTTGTTTTTTTTTTTGTTTCTGTTTTTGTCTCCTTTTAAATAGTAGTTAAAATTGACTCTATGCATACCAAAATTTGTTTCTTTTTGTCTACGTTTAGATATTAGTTACGTTAAAAGCAAGACTAGTAATATGCATACCAAATATTGTTTTTTAATAGTTGAAATAAACGTTATTTATCTTTATACTTTCTTGTTTATTTGCAGCCGAGGAAGTGGGAATAAAGTCGGTTGTACCTGCATACCTCGATCCAAATGTAAAGTCCGAAGATCTTCTAACCGGTGTATCATTTGCATCGGGAGGTTCTGGTTACGATCCTATAACACCGAAGCTCGTGGTAATAATATATATGTAATACGACGATCATGGTGTTTTTTATTGATTGGAAATTCCTATCATGGAAATATTTGATTTGATATTTATCATAACTTACTTGGTCTCATTTTTGTTCGTTGATGGTATTAGGCCGTGATATCATTAGAAGATCAACTTAAATATTTCGAGGAGTATATAGAGAAAGTGAAGAATTTAGTTGGAGAAGAAAGAAAAGAATTCATATTAGCCAACAGCTTAATCTTACTGGTCGCAGGCAGCGACGACATAGCGAATACTTACTATGACCTTCGTGCAAGACCTCAATACGACGTTGACTCGTACACTACTCTTATGGCTAACTCTGCCTCCGATTTTGTGACTGTAAGCTTTTCTCATATTTTAAATAAATTTATATATATATATATATATTATTATATATCAAAACAACTAGTATACTTTTATTTCGCTAGTATTGTTGAAAGAGTAAAGAAAACTAACTATTTACGGTTTACTGGATGAGCCATGAATAACGTAAAACATCAGCTATAAGTAGTAAAATGATTTATATTATTCAGTGACTAATACTTCTATTTATGTCATGCATTATTTTTATGACGATGGTTCAGAAAATTTGTAGCGTTGTTTATTGTTGTAACATACTTGGAGATGGAGATGCCTGATTTTTATATACCTTTAGTGGTAATCTATTATTAAATTTATGAGTATTTAAAGAAATTATAACAAATATTTCTAAATACTATTAAATTTATGGCCACCTAGCAATTTTTTGATTACGATGAAGGACACTCGTCTAGCAAAAATAAATTACCGGCAAATAGATTTTATGTTTTTGACATATAACTTTCAAGGCATTAATATTGGTCGTACCAGGTATAGATTGATCATTGATGTTTCTCTTTTTTTTTTTTTTTTTTTTATCTGCTTTCATCTCTGATAAAATATGTAATTATGTGTGGATAACATATAAACTTTTTTAAAAATCAATCATTTTTTTTATTAAATAGCACATTAATTAATTATAATGACTAAAATAAAATGAAATTGACAGAAACTATACGGATATGGAGTGAGGAGAATAGCTGTGTTTGGTGCACCACCACTTGGGTGTGTACCATCACAGAGAACTTTAGGGGGAGGTCTTATGAGAGATTGTGCTGAGTATTACAACGAGGCAGCAAAGCTTTTCAATTCAAAGCTCTCTACAAAATTGGATTTGTTGCATAAAACTCTACCGGGTATCAGATCGGTCTACATTAATATCTATGATCCTCTTCTCGATATCATCCAGAAGCCTGCAAAATACGGTACAACCCCTAAGATTTATACGTCAATATTCTTGTACTAGCTAGCTTATTTTCTTCAATATGAAAAATGTACTAACTTTATAACTTGGGTTATTGTAGGATTTGGAGTGTCAAATAAAGGATGCTGTGGAACCGGAGTCATTGAAGTTGCTGTGTTGTGCAATAAAATCACATCTTCTGTATGTCCTGACGTGTCTAGTCATGTGTTTTGGGACAGTTATCATCCCACAGAAAAAACATACAAAGTGTTGGTCTCACTCCTGATTTCCAAATTTGTTAAAAAGTTTGCCTGAATTAATAACTATTTCCTCCTATGAATTAATTATAAATCATCATATTTTGGTTATTTGAAAATTGTATTCGCTCTATATGAATATTTTCTTGTTGTTTCCTCTTTTTTGGAGAAATCAAATAATTTTTTTACTTCACATGTACATCTTACGAATATAGTAGTTCGATTCGCTTCAATCTCGTGGGGGATGAATGAGTCAACGTGGGCAAAACCATGGTTGCGAAACAAATTCATTTTAAAGACCTTATTCTTGTTTCTCTACTGTAAACAAAAATAAATGTATTAAAATAATAAAGTATTTTTGTATTTCTCATTAGAGATTTATGTAATTATTATATCTTCGTAAAACATGCTGACATTCATTCTGTGTGTACTCACTAATCGCATGCATTTTTAGCTTCCATCGACAAACAAAGACCAAACGTCTAAAAATAGTTAGAAAACCACTTGCTTATATACTACTGACATGAGCTAATTAGAAGCCCCGATTAAATTTCTCTATAAAACATTAGAGAATCTAAACACTATAATTAAGGTCGGGGAAAAACATGAACATAATGTTAGATATGGACTGTAGAAAAAATATATTGGTGTTGGCATTATTTTACATTTATTTGTTAGCAACCCCAGCTGCAAGTAAATCATTTCCCGCGCTTTTGGCATTTGGAGATTCAATAGTTGATACCGGTAACAACAACTACCTCCTGACTCTAATGAAAGGAAATTACTGGCCATATGGGAGGAGTTTCGACATGAGAGTTCCCACGGGAAGATTCGGAAATGGAAGAGTTTTCTCCGATATTATTGGTACAATATTCTTTTATAATTCCTATTTTTTTTGGTTTATCACATTGTTTAGATAATCTCATATACTAATTAAAGTTAGTTTTTAAAATCCTTTTTCTTGCAGCCGATGGTTTGGGGATCAAGAAAACATTACCAGCTTATCGTAAGTTGTTTATTGCTCCAAACGACCTTAAAACTGGTGTTTGTTTCGCCTCGGGTGGTGCAGGAGTGGACCCTGTTACATCCAGAATGCTGGTGAAAATAATAAATAATTAACTTGTTCTTGTTTCGGTTATTAAAATGTTAACTAAGATTATAGTTGTAATTATAAATATTGTAATTGATTTTTGGGTGGACAGAGAGTTTTATCGCCGCAGGACCAAGTAAAAGATTTCAAAGGCTACATAAGAAAGCTAAAGACCGTGGCACCTACAAGTGCAAACAATATAATTGCAAACGCAGTGTATCTTATTTCTGAAGGAAATAATGATATTGGAATCACATTTTTTGGGACTCCGTCTGCAACTTTTCGAGGAATGACTCCAAATAGATACACCACTAAACTAGTTGGCTGGAACAAACAATTTATGAAAGTAAGACATACGAATGCTTTTTCTTTTCATCGAGGCATATATCGATCGGTCAATATAGTAGTACCAAGTATGTATATTTGTGCACACTATCTTTTGGTTATACGTACAGGATCTATATAATCAAGGAGCGAGGAAATTCGCGGTGATGGGAGTGATTCCGTTGGGGTGTTTGCCTATGTCAAGAATCTTCCTTGGTGGGTTCGTCGTGTGGTGCAACTTCTTCGCAAACAGAGTAGCACAAGACTACAACAGAAAATTGAAGAACGGAATTAAAAGTTGGGGTAGTGAATCCGGTTTTAGAGGAGCAAAGTTTGTCTACGTCGACATGTACAACACTCTTATGGATGTTATTAACAATCATAGGAAATACGGTACGTTTATTTACGCATGCACCATCGTATATACATATATATACCAGTACGTAACGTACGTACACTGGTTTTTTCCATATATAATTTCATATTTAATACAAACTATTAGGAAAAATCTATATGATAAGTACTCACGTACGTTGTTGTATGGTTGCAGGATTTACTAATGAGAAGAATGGGTGTTGTTGTATGATTACGGCAATGATACCATGCCCAAACCCTGATAGATACGTCTTCTATGACTTTGCTCATCCCTCAGAGAAAGCCTACAAAACAATTTCTAAAAAGCTTGTCCAGGATATCAAGACAGGCCTTGCCTGATTTCTATACAATGCTTTTATTTAATAACCACCATCATAAATTATAAATGAGAAAAGACAAAATCATATTCATACATGATGGATCTATTTCTATTCTTCTTATTAGAAAGAATGTATTATGTATTTTTCAAATTTAGTTATATAATCGCACAACAAAGGCGTTTGTTTACACATATGTATGTTCAAGAAAATTAATTACAGAAAGGCTTATCTCATTGTAGGAAATCAAATTAACAATTCCCACGCTAGCAAACTTTATTCAAATAACCAACAAAATTAACATCTTCGGACTAAAGTGAACTTTCGGGTGTGTTTACTCTTTACCAATGTCACTTCCAAATTATGCTTCTCAAGAATCTCAACTGAATCTATAATGGTATACGTCTTTACCAATGTAATATAATGGTATAAGAGCAACTCCAATGGTCATACTTTTAATGAGGGTCTTATTGATTAATTTATAATATTTAGTGTATTTTATATATATAAGATACTTTTTAAAATTTTGTTATTTTTAAGTCTACAATGAAGACACTTTGATAAGTGTTTTAAATATATATATATATATATATATATATATATAAACTTTTTTTAAATAAATTTAAGTAAAACTTATGTTAATAACTTTATGGTTTATGTAGTGGGCCTGGTCAATTGGTTCTGCTTAGAGGGCTTGGCTCTTCACTCATCCTTAATGGGCCTTAGTTGGCCCTGCAGGGAACCTGGTCATCAAATCTGTCTATTCTTAAACGGTAGCTGTCGATTAAATATGATGTTTTCTTTATTTTAAACTAGTTGGTAATCCGTGCTATACACGGCTATATAATTCATTTTTATATATTTTTGTATTAATTTGTTGTATTATATATTCTTGTGAATTTTAAGATAAATTTCTATTTCTCATATGTATATTTTCCAAATTTTCCATCTTTTTCAAATTTCTAGTTTGTGATATGCACAACAGAGAGATTTGATTATCATTTTATATATTTTTATATTATATTTATTGTATCATATAGTTTTTGACATTTTGTGATTGCTTATTTTTTTCAATATACCCATCTTGAATTTCTTGTCTTATCTCAATTTTGATCAAATATTATCAATAGAAGATTATTTGGTTTATTCAAACAGATAAGAAAAAGAACATATATGATATTAGATATCCAAATTATCCATTCAAAAATTAAAAATATTACAATTATATAGTTTTTAAAAATTTCTTCGACTTTTCAGAATTTTTCCAAAATATTTTTTGAAATTGACTTTCATCCAAATTATTGAAAATTTGTGAATAGATTTTAGATAATGCAATTTCTCGAACCCATCTCGTTACCCGAATTTCCTGTTCCATTTTTATTAGATTTTCTTTAGAAAATTGTTATCCGTCTTTCTAATTACCAATTCCCATCACACACTCTTAAATTTCCGCTTTTAATATTGAAATACTCAAAACTAATGTATATTATTTATTTTTTTTTTTGTATTTTGTTGATTTTATATTTTTTGACAACACACTATATTTTTTTTTGTTTGCTATTTTTTATATTGAATGTTAATATTAATTTTTATTATTTTCCATCTTTCTAATTACCAATTTTTGTTACACACTCGTAAATTTCTGTCTTGAATCTTGAAATACTAAGAACTAATGTATATCATTATTTCTTTTATAGTATTTTGTTGATCTTTTATTTTCTGACAACATATTATAATTGTTTTGTTATGTTTACATTTTTTTTATATTGAATGTTAATATTAATTTTTATTATTTTCTCTCTTTCTAATTATCAATTCCTGTCACACACTCGTAAATTTCTGTCTTTAATCATGAAATACTTAGAGCTAATGTGTATTATTATTTTTTGGTTTTGCTATTTTGTTGATTTTTATTTTCTGACAACACATTATAATTGTCTTTTTATGTTTGTTAATTTTTATATTAAATGTTAATGTTAATTTTTTATTATTTTTTGTTTTTTGAATTATCAATTCTCATCACACAGTCGTAAATTTCTGCTTTGAATCTTGAAATATTCAAAACTAATGAATATAATTATTTTTTGGTTTTATTTTATTTTATTATAATTTTCTGACAACATACATATTATAATTGTTTTCTAGCTTTTCTATTTTTTATATTGAATGTTAGTGTTATTTTGTGTTTTAAAAGAATATAAATGATAAACAATTAATGATGTAGTTGCTGATGTGGCGGAAGGAGAAATGAGAAAATGTATTTTATTTTATTTTCTGACAACATATTATAATTGTCTTTTTAGTTTTTCTATTTTTTTATACTGAATGTTAATGTTATTTTATGTTTTAAAAAAAAATAAATGATAAATAATTAATGATATAATTATTGAGGTGGCGAAAAGAGAAATGAGAAAATGTAACTTTATATATATAGATAGATCTCTAATGCTTCGAGTACTGTTGTATATACATCGATGTAACTCTAATAATTAAGTTTAATGGAAAAAAATTTGCACAAAAAAAAGAAGAACACATGGTCTACAGAAGTTTTGAATTAATAATGTGATCTCACGGTAACAACTAACAACTAACTAAATTTGCACAAATACAAAGACAAAACGCACTAAAACATAAAACATACAAAATAGAATAACTATTTTGCTATTCTGTATGAGATATATGGAAGTGTTATCACTTAAAACATTTTAACATTCAATCGGTGTGTACTGGACTCTCATGCATTTTTGGCGTCCTTCGACAAACGAAAACAAGACGTCTAATCATAGTTAGAAAACCATAAAGTTGATTTCTGTATAAAACATAGAAAATCAAATTAAAACTGTCCCGGAGAAAGTTTGAATCTTGTAATTTTCGATATGTTTAGGGAAATAATATTGGTGTTAGCATTATCTCCCACCTATTTCCTCTCATCAGCAGCTGAACAAAACACATCATTTTCTGCGCTTTTCGCATTTGGAGATTCAATACTAGATACCGGTAACAATAATTGTCTTCTTACTCTACTTAAGGGAAATTACTGGCCATATGGTTGGAATTTTGACTTCAAGATACCGACCGGAAGATTCGGAAATGGAAGAGTTTTCACCGATATAGTAGGTATAATAACATCACATACTTTCACCATTTTTTTGAATTTTTGAATTTTAGCTGCGTTATTTATATAACCATACATATATATATAGTGTAAATTATAGAATTCTCATGTGGTGAAGTCTTCTATTGTAGCCGAAGGTTTAGGGGTCAAAAGACTTGTACCAGCTTATCGTCGTAAATTTCCTCGCATTAAACCCGACGATTTAAAAACCGGCGTTTGTTTCGCATCAGGTGGTTCAGGAATAGACGATCTTACATCCAGAACGCTGGTGAATATATCTATGAACCTTTTATTTCCGCTAGCACTATATTATATATATTTTATTTTTTTGGGCAAAGCACTATATTATATATATATATACCGACATTTGGTATTTATTTTTGGATGGTCAGAGAGTTTTATCGACCGGCGACCAAATAGCAGATTTCAAAGGCTATTTGAAGAAACTAAAGAATGTTACGAAAGATAAGAAAGAAATAAAAGAAATTATTTCAAACGCAGTGTTTCTTATATCTGAAGGAAATAACGATATTGGATACTTCGCAGCTCCTGCTCTTGTACGATTATACTCCACAGATACCTACACAAGTAAAATGCTTGGTTGGACCAAAACATTTCTACAAGTAAGACAAAAACAATTTTTTATTTTATTTTTTATCAAGCATTGATATAATGGCATGAAATTATATATATGTATGTAAGTGTTCACATTCTTTTTGTTCATGTATATATATATGAAGGACTTATATGATCTTGGAGCCAGAAAATTCGCGGTGATGGGAGTGATGCCTGTGGGATGTTTGCCTTTCCATCGAATGTTATTTGGTGGAGTATTCGCATGGTGTAACGTTTTCATGAATAAAATTTCGGCAGAATTCAACATGAAATTGCAGAAAGGTCTTCAAAGTTACGACGTAGAAGATTGTTTTAAAGGTGCAAAGTTTGTTTACGTCGATATCTACGGCACTCTTATGGATCTCATCAATCATCCTAAGGCCTATGGTACGTAAACGCACTGTCATCTCACAAATACATGCATGAAGTAATTAACCAAGTGATGGTAAAACAGTATTGACCCGAGTGAGTCATTTGTTTTTCCTATTAAAGGATTACGTACATTAGACGTTGACCAAAAAACATTCGTATCAACCCCGTTATGTTATGTTATATTAAGATACATGATCAAGACCATGGTTCTAATCAAGTAATTATGTGTGTACATATGCTTGCAGGATTTACAGAGGAGAAAAGATCGTGTTGTTGTATGCCGACATCAATAATAACATGCCCAAACCCGGATCAGTACGTCTTTTATGACTTTGCTCACCCCTCGCAGAAAGCGTATGAAGTAATATCTAAACCACTTGTCTATCAGATGAAGAAAGCCCTTGCCTGATTAGTTTCTTGTTTTTTCACAGTTAATGTATTATTTTAAATCTTAGTCATCACTATCGTTAATCATGTAACAGACGACGATATCATACATGACCATATCTGTTTTTATTGTAAAAGAGTGTATAAAACAGTGATGTATTGGCCACTTTTATAAATTTACAGAACATAAGCGATTGTTAACAATTATTGTATGTATGCCCACGAAAATAAATCTGAAAAAAACTTGTATAAAAACCAACGGTAATTAAGCTTTGTGGATTTGATATTCTGAGAATTTTTTAGACGAAGGAACCACATAACAACTCTCCAGCAAAATTTATTCAGATCGAACCAATATTGAAAAAATAACAAAAAAAAATCATATGTCTTTAAGTTAAACAAAAAGCTATGTGTCTAGTTTTCACTCTAGGAGCATTTCGGCTTCTAAATATCATGCAAACATGATTAAATTGTATATACCTTATTCTTTCAATTATGCAAACATGCATGATTCTCGTTAGCGAAATTTTTGATTTTTAACATTATATTCCATATTTTCTTAAATTAGTTGCTGGTGCTAATTTTTTTCTTTATGTTGAATATATACACTGCCTCAACAACTAGAGAGCTATAAAACCAACAACATACAAAATGGTGTGGGAATTAATATTTTTAATGTTTGTTAAAATATACACTCATGCCTAAGAAACCTCCTTTAATTCTGTAGGTTTTGTTTTTATTTTGTTTTAGTTCCTCACACGAATTGCATTGTTTTAAACTTTGAATAAACCATTTAAACTACTTTATTTTTATTTTTATTTAAAAAAATTTATGTTTATTATTATAATCATGGAAATATTATTTAAGCAACAATTCGACTATAATATATATATATCCAGCACACACTTTTCATCTCCTACATTTCCATTCATTGCCGGTCACGTATGTGAATCACGTGGCTTACCTCTTCCCGTATTTTACTTCAAACTTAAGAACTAGTATTACCTTAAAGAGTCTCTAGTCTCTATATATAACAGAGAAACATCCTTTTCCAACACTAATGGAGAGGCTTAATTAGTCCATTTACATTTCTTCAAGTATTTGATTAACTAAGAGATCAAATACACACTATGGAGAGGCTCCATAAGTTTTCTCTCTTTGGTTTAGTTCTGTTCCTCGGCATGATCGGCTCACCGATCACTGCCAATGAACTTACCTGCTCTAGTACTGAACAAACCTTTACTCGTGCCAACTTCCCTAAAGATTTCATTTTTGGTACTGCAACCGCAGCTTTTCAGGTATCAGATATACAATTTTTAAATCATTTGGCGTTCCCGTTCTTTGGAACTTATCATATGAGGGTTTGATCAAAATTAGCAAGTATAACTTTTTCAAGATTCTGGATTGGGTGTTATGATAATATATAAATTTGTTAGATTACCGCAATATTTTTACTTGCATAGACTAGTATGGATATATCGTTATCAATGCGAAATATGACGTTAGGTTGGACTTTTCTAAATTTGTTACAAAAAAAATATTGAAAATGTGAAGTGATTTATGTGGTAAATTAAAAAAAAATAGGTGGAGGGAGCTGTAAATGAAGGATGTAGAGGTCCAAGCATGTGGGACACATACACCAAGAAATACCCACGTCTCTCTCTCTCTTTCTCTTCATTTTTCTTCTTTAAAGTAATTCAGTTTGACTAAACACTATTGTGAATTATAAATACAATCACCTGTTTTTCAAAAATCTTTCAGATAGATGTAATTATCACAATGCGGACGTTGCTGTCGATTTCTACCATCGTTACAAGGTACTAATTATGTTATTAGTCCCTAGTTTATAAATGTTGGTGAAGCTCTATACTAACTTTCAATATATATATAATAGGAAGATATCAAGTTGATGAAACAACTGAACACTGATGGATTTAGATTCTCCATTGCATGGCCCAGAATATTCCCCCGTAAGTTAAAAATCACAACAAATTATATATATAACATTAATAAGTCGACCATAAAAAAGTAAGTAAATAACAAAAGGCAGTTAAATAATTAAACAGATGGTAGGATGGAGAAAGGAATAAGCAAAGCAGGTGTGCAGTTTTACCACGACCTGATCGATGAGCTCCTAAAAAATGGTAATTGTTTTCTTTCTGATAAACTAAAGTCACAAACTCTATATTATACCAAAACTAACTCTAAATGTATATAAAATTCAGAAATAACACCACTAGTAACCGTTTTTCACTGGGACACTCCTCAAGACTTAGAAGATGAATACGGTGGCTTCTTAAGCGAACGCATAATGTAAGTTTTTTTAATACTTTATAGACGACTAATGATTATGCAGTTTTTTTTTTTGTTTTTTCATTGGTTATAAGTTATATAACTCACACATGATTTATTATGTAATTAAATCGTTATACACCATTTTCGTATATATAGAAAGGATTTCACGGAGTACGCAAACTTCACATTCCAAGAATACGGACACAAAGTGAAGCACTGGATCACATTTAACGAGCCATGGGTGTTCAGTCGAGCTGGCTACGACATTGGGAAAACAGCACCGGGACGTTGTTCTAAGTACATCAAAGAACATGGAGACATGTGTCACGATGGACGGTCGGGATACGAAGCTTATATCGTCAGTCATAACTTACTCTTGGCACATGCCGATGCCGTTGAGGCCTTTAGAAAATGCGACAAGGTTAAAAGTTTCACATATATGACAATGGTTTTGTTTTTCCCTTAATTATTTTGTGTTATATACTATGAACAAATATCTATAAACATTCTGATTATTTACAGTGTGGAGGTGGTAAAATTGGGATTGCTCACAGTCCAGCTTGGTTTGAGCCGCACGAGCTCTCGGAAGAAGAAGAGCACGAAACTTCTGCAACTAATTTGATTGACTTCATCTTGGGATGGTAACAAATAAACAACTAAGTATTTTAACGTTTTAATTTTAAAATTTTAAAACTATACACTTATATGTCACAATTGACAAATACTATATACTACTTTGATTTCCGCAGGCATTTGAATCCGACTACGTATGGAGATTATCCACAGTCGATGAAGGATCATGTTGGACATCGACTACCGAAATTTACAGAGGCACAGAAGGAGAAGTTGAAGAATTCTGCTGATTTTGTAGGAATCAATTACTACACTTCACTATTTGCTTTGCATGACGAAGAGCCCGATCCTTCGAAACCGAGTTGGCAGAGTGATTCCCTCATCGATTGGGAACGTAAATCTTTTTCACCACAGTAATTTAGACTATTTTCATTAGTTTTTATACCAAATTTTGACTTTTTACAAAATTTTCGATTCTTTTTTTTCAGCAAGGCATGTGGATAGATTCAGTGCTTACGCTAGCAAGGTATGTGGTGTTTTTTTGGTTGTTTTGCTATCATTTACGTAAAATTAAAATATTAAAATTGATATAATTTGTTTTTTTTTACATTAATTTGCATTTTTAAGCCTGATGTTGCGAAAGTGGAAGTCTATGCAAATGGTTTGAGAAGCCTTTTGAAATATATAAAGGATAAATATGGCAACCCTGAAATCATTATCACCGAGAATGGTTAGAAAACGTTTTACCTCAACTAAATCTCATTATCATATATCAGAGACCGGTTTCGATTTAGCTTTCTTTTACGTTCCATATAAACCTTGATGAGTTTCTGAATGTTTGATTTAAGGATACGGAGAGGATCTAGGCGAGCAAGACACAAGTCTTGTATTGGCGCTCTCAGATCACCACAGAACATATTATATCCAGAAGCATCTCTTGAGCTTGCACCAAGCAATTTGGTCTGTGGGACAAAATCATGTGTTTTGAGTTTTATTTTATAGAGTTATAGTATTTTATTTATGTGACAAATGTTAATTTGTATCCTTTTCTTTTGCAGCGATGATAAAGTAAACGTTACAGGGTACTTTCTTTGGTCATTGATGGATAATTTCGAAAGGCAAGATGGGTATAACGCGAGATTCGGGCTTTACTACGTCGATTACAAAAATAATTTGACGCGCCACGAAAAATTATCAGCCCACTGGTACTCGAGTTTCCTTTACGATGGACTGAAAGATTTCGAGTCTGATGAGCACGATGAGTTGTAGAGAGCTCTGCAATAGACTTTGAAAATTTGAGTCATAAATTATATTCACAAACTCTTTGTTTACAATTTATCAATGTATTTCCATGTTTAAGTAAAATAATCAGATAATCGATATTAAAACAAGTATAAAGTTTGGGTTTGTTTACTCTTATATAAGCTATAAGTTTTTGAATAATATGTAGTTGGATGTCATAAATCAAGATCAAGAATAAGCGATGCCCATGCCCATCTATCAGATATATTGTTTTTCATATCTTAAAAAAAAATTAATTGCTTTCAAACAACAACTTTTTTTTTATAAATGTAATAACTAAACTTTTTTTCAAATCTTATTTACAAAAAGCAATAAAATTCAAAAGAAAAAAAATTATAGTTTTAGTCTCAGTTAAGATTGCCAAACTTATTTTTTTAACCATTACAATAAAATTAATTATTGAAACTGGAAAGTTATTTGGATGTTTGAGGTGAATAAAGATTTCTCTACACATTAAGCACGAGTTTACCTTTAAATCAGTGCTTTCACGGTAATTTCATGCGTGCTAACCGTTTCAGTATTAAGTGAAAAAAACAACATTAAATAGTACATATGTGTAAGAGTTATTAATACAAGATTTGAATCTGGTATTTTAATATTATAAATTAATCATGAATATTTAATTAATAAAGTGTATTTCATATTTTAAACCATTTTCAACGCATAGAAACTTAAAAAAATATCCAAAACATTAAATATTATTATTTGAAACTTAAAAAAATATCTAAAACATTAAATATTATTATTTAAATATAAATAAAATAATTAATTAATTTTTAATATTAAAGTTAAACTTAAAACCAGTTATAACTTGATAGATGCAAAGAAATTCTAAAAGTCAGTTCTTGTGGCTCGTATTTAAGAGCTATCTCTTACCATTTTTTAATTTTTCTATTTTTTTATTATTTTATTATTAAGATTTGATGTTTAGATCCTACGTTGCAGATGCTCTTAGTTAGGTTTGTTTGCTCATCAGAAATCAAAATGACAACCAAGAAAACCATTGGCAGCCTCTCTAAAACTTCAAACGTTTGAACTTCCAAAATAAGATGAGAAAGACGATGGGTTTGTATCCGAACACAAACAACATTACACAAATTAAGTGGGATATTTTTTGTTGAAATATAAATTATTTATTAAATTAATTTTGTTGTACTTGTAGATAAAAACTTGATACATGTACGAAAATGTTATAATGCTTCTGAAACATGCCCATTGTCAATGAAAAACATTTAAAGACAAATGTTCTATTATAAAAAAACTGAGTGCATTCTATAATATATGATTTTTTCAAAAAAAAACATATAATACAGCTTGATATCAAGAAAATAAAATGACCAGAGATATCAAAGAATATATACGGTGATTTTTTTTCTTTTTTGACAAATATAAGGATCTCATTTTTTTCATGGTAAATAATTTACATTGTATATATTTATTTATATTTTGAGAATAGGTTTACTATTACATTGTATTGTATTTCTTGAATGGTGAATTCTTAAATTAAAAAAACTCTAATGTCAGAAAGACAACTTAAATCTGAGAAATCATATACTAATTTATGAGTTAAAATTTTCTGCATTCTATTTACAAGACTTCAAAAGTACAAATAATGATAAAAGTTAACTAAAACCAAAAAAGAAAAGTTAACTTTAATGAAATTAGGATTGTTTTCTATTTTTCCATTTTTTTCTTTTTGGAAAAAATAAAATACTTCCTTATTTCCTAATCTTGCGATGACTTTAACAATCGACCGACTATCAAAATTAGGGATTTATAAATAGAGACCTAACCTCACACCTTTTGTTTCCATCATCGCTTCTCCAATTTTCTTCTAAGCAGATAATAATCTCCCAAATCGTCTCTCCGTTTCCTCTCCCCACAAAGATGTCGTCGAAGAAGATTATTCTCAAGAGCTCCGATGGCGAGTCCTTCGAGGTTGACGAGGCGGTGGCTCTCGAGTCGCAGACCATAGCCCACATGGTCGAAGACGACTGCGTGGACAACGGAGTCCCGCTTCCCAACGTTACGAGCAAGATCCTCGCTAAGGTGATCGAGTACTGCAAGAAACACGTCGAGTCTGCTGCTTCCAAGAGCGACGCCGTCGATGGCGCTTCCTCCGACGATGACCTCAAAGCCTGGGATGCCGACTTCATGAAGATCGATCAGGCTACTCTCTTCGAACTCATCCTGGTACGTTACTCGTCACGATTTTATCTCTTCTGATCTCGATTTTGGGATTTTAGGGTTTTCGATTTGGGAAATTAGGGTTTCGTTCTTCGATTTTCCGTATCTGAAATTTAGGGTTTTTTGAGAAATTGGGGGTCACCTGTGATTGAATGTTTAGGGTTCTTACGGAATCGAGGGAATTGAAAATTGTTTAGGGTTTGTTCATATATAGTGCTGGGATTTGGATCTCTGATGGTTTCAATATTTTTTTGTTTGGATCTCGCAGGCTGCTAATTATCTCAACATCAAGAACCTTCTTGACCTCACATGCCAGACAGTGGCGGATATGATCAAGGGCAAAACTCCAGAAGAGATCCGCACGACCTTCAACATCAAGAACGACTTCACGCCTGAGGAAGAAGAGGAGGTTCGCAGAGAGAACCAGTGGGCTTTTGAATGATGAGGAGCTTATTGGGAGGGAGAGGTCGTCGTGTCAAGAGCAACCAGTTTCTTCCTTTATGTTATTGTCACTTCTAAGTGTCTGATCAATGTGGATGATGACTTCGTTTCTCTTTTATTTTCCTTTTGAAATCCATGACTATGTTCGTCCTCCTCGTGCTTTTTTTTTTCTTTCTTTCTACCATTTAAGAACCAATGCTTGCTCTTTGTTGGATATTTGTGCTTTACTCAGTCTTAAGGAGTGATGTTGGTTTGCCTTGAAAATATCTTATTCCTCTTCTTCTATCTTCGTTACAATTTACAAACACTTTTATAATGGCTTCAATGGCCTGATTCAAATCTGTTTAACAACACTTTACTATAAACTAGAGTGAAGTTGAAGTTGTAGTTGTCTTTCCAGTGGAATCAATCTTGAAAGAGTAATGTTGGTTTGCCTTGCAAAGAGCTTACTCCTGTACAAACATGTTTCATCGGAAACCTTCTTTGCTGTTCACTCTGTAACTCTGGCTTATTTATCTGGTCTTCCATAGCATTGTACAAGATGGCTTCAATAGTTTATCGCTGCTTTTCTGTAAGTATAATTATCTTCCAAAACCAATTCTAAACCGGTTGTGTTGCCGGAAAGAAGTCGAAATCTGACGACGTTAACAACGACTATGACGACTTTCTTCATTGAATCATTGTTTTACAAGAAGATATGCCCTGCTTCTCTTCTACATCTCCTTGAGATTCGTTTCCAGATGCAGGAAGCAAAATCCCCAAATTCGAGGTGATAACTGAAGCATGAGAAACATTTATCCGGTGAGATTGTTGTGTTGAACTTGAATGAGAAAGAACCATATAAGAAGTCTCCCTGCTCGACTGCTAAAAGACATGCCCTTATATCTTACATGTCGGCTTTACAATTTTTTCAGCATTGGACAAGTAATATCAGAATGGTAAGAAGATATATCATGCGCCAAACAAATCATTGCATAAATAACCTGCAACGACTGTTTAGCACTTGTCTCAACGACACGAGCCTCCCGTCGTCGACTCTTTTCCACGCAAAAAACTCCTGTTTGCTGATGCCCCCACTCATGAGAGCATCTGACGAATAGTTTAAAACATTAGGTTACTTCTAACACTGGAAAGTTGGAGATAGAAAAGAAGAAAAACTCTAAAATAAAACATGTTTTTGAAGAAAACCAAAATACCCATTAAGAAAGTCTCATCCTTCTGGGATTTCTCGTAGCAGGTACTGACTTTTTTCATTCTTTCATCATTCTTCTCGGACTTTTTATCAGCCTCTTTCTTTCCGGCTAATCAAGATCTTCACTAACCAAATCCAATAAACATCACTATGACTCTATAAAATCGTGATTCCTTTTTCGTTTGAAGCTTGTCTCTAAGATGATCTAGAAAACTGGAAGATAAGATGAATACGTGGATGGCTGCGATTAAAAGTAGAGATCAAAGGCTGAGATGAGTAGGAGCTATTGCTAAAGAAGCTGGAAGCGTTAAAAGGAGAACCGGACAAAGAACAAGATTTCAATTCAGAAAATCAGAATCAATTGGTATAGACTTATCTTATCATAAGATTCTTATCTGTCTTTCGCTGTGGTCACTCGAGGAGAGCTAGAAAATGGAGGAGATGAAACCAAGTGCCGCCAACTTGCCGCCGTTGACGCCGTTGGGGTTCCTGGAGAGAGCAGCCACCGTGTATGGCGACTGTACCTCCATCGTTTACGGCGATTCCACCGTGTACACATGGCGGGAGACGAATCTTCGTTGCCTCCGCGTTGCGTCGGCTCTGTCTTCCATTGGAATCGGAAGATCCGACGTGGTCTCCGTCCTCTCTGCTAATACTCCGGCGATGTACGAGCTCCAGTTCGCCGTTCCGATGAGTGGCGCAATCCTTAACAACATCAACACGCGCCTCGACGCTCGCACCGTCTCTGTTCTACTACGCCATTGCGGATCTAAGCTTCTATTCGTCGACGTCTTTTCTTCCGGTCTCGCCGTCGAAGCGACTGCGCTGTTGGATTATCCGCCGATTATCGTCCTCATCGCAGACGAGGAGGAGGAAGATGGCGCTGACGTGGCGGACCGTTTGAAAATCAGTTACTTGTACGGTGATTTCGTTGAGAGAGGAGATCCGGGTTTTAAATGGATCCGACCCGAGAGCGAATGGGATCCGATTGTGGTCAACTACACCTCCGGTACGACGGCGTTTCCTAAAGGAGTGGTTCACTGCCACAGAGGTATCTTCATCATGGCGATTAATTCTCTAATCGATTGGACCGTACCGAAAAATCCGGTTTACTTGTGGACCCTACCTATATTCCACGCTAATGGTTGGTGCTATCCATGGGCAATCGCCGCCGTCGGAGGGACCAACGTCTGTCTACGTAAGTTCCACGCGCCGCTCATCTACCGTCTCATCCGTGATCACGGCGTGACTCACATGTGCGGCGCGCCGGTACTGCTTAAAATGTTAACGGCGACTCAGGAATCTCAGCCACTTAAAAGCCCCGTCAATTTCATAACCGCCGGCTCTTCTCCGCCGGCGACAGTGCTCCTCCGCGCCGAATCTATAGGTTTCATCATCAGCCATGGTTACGGATTAACGGAGACAGCTGGTGTGGTCGTCTCCTGCGCGTGGAAGCCACAATGGAATCGATTACCGGCGAGCGATCGGGCGAGATTGAAAGTCCGGCAAGGGGTGAGAACAATCGGGTTTACCGAAATCGACGTGGTGGATCCCGGGTCGAGTCGGAGCGTGGATAGAGACGGAGCAACCGTGGGAGAAATAGTGATGAGAGGGAGTACGATCATGCTCGGTTACCTGAAAGACCCTATCGGAACAAAGAACTCTCTGAAGAACGGGTGGTTCTTCACCGGAGACGTCGGAGTGTTCCACGGAGATGGGTATATAGAGATTAAGGATAGATCGAAAGATATAATCATAACAGGAGGAGAGAATGTGAGCAGCGTGGAGGTGGAAGCGGTGCTGTACACGAATCCGGCGGTGAATGAAGCGGCGGTGGTGGCTAGACCTGATGAGTACTGGGGAGAGACGCCGTGTGCGTTCGTGAGTCTAAAACCCGGGTTGACCCGGAAACCCACGGAGAAGGAGATAATCGAGTACTGCAGGAAGAAGATGCCGCATTACATGGTGCCTAAAACTGTGTCGTTTCTTCAGGAGCTGCCCAAGACTTCCACAGGGAAGATTCCCAAGGTCGTGCTTAAGGAGATTGCCAAAAGAATGGGTTCCACGAGGTTGAGTCGGATGTAAAAGTCTAATTTATGATTTATCAAGTAAATGGCTTCAGGTTGAATTGTAAGCTTATTGGTTGATAGATTGAAGTGTAAAATTACTGTTCGATTAAAAGATTTCGAGGTTGAGGCAAGGATTTGATTATTGACTTATTTATGATCTCTTTTTCGTTAAGTAGAATCATCATCAATTGAAACAAGGGATCCATTTTTTTAGCAGCTAAACGAAGGACGTCTGTGACTATTAAATTGTTTTCCTGTTTCTTTCGCTTCAACAAGAAAATATCAGACCATCCACATCGAGAGTCTCTCACGACAGATTATTGCAGATGCTCTCACTGTAAAATAAAATAGAAAACATTTTATAATTAAATAAGTAAAAATAATCGAATCCTGGTCTAAAAAGTGTAGCAATTATAACTGTAGAGTAACTTAGAGATTTTGCCAAGTGGAAGAAAGTATCTAGAGTAATGAATCAGAAAACATATGTCTTGTTTTTCTGCTTTCTAAAGATCATGAGTTGATCTTTAGGCTATCCAAGATTTTCTATTTATAGGAAGTCAGTTGTAAACTTTTTTTTACTTTTTCTTTTAAGAAAAATTTTCATATTCGGAATATGAAAATACCATTTCTCTTGATTTGATGAAAATTTTTTATTATCTTCGAACGGTTTCCTTTATTTTGTTAAGCCGCGATCTTCCATATTTTGATAAGCTTAGATTATTGCTAGAGAAAACCTTTTAAATAATGTGTTCATTTCCCTTCTAATAATAAGTCTCTCCAATTCGTTTAGGTGATTACAAATTAGTTTAGCGGATTTTATGGAGCTTTGATCTCACAATAAATGCCAGCTTATCGAAAATATCTTTTGCAATTTTCAATTTGACCATCCTTAGTCTTTAGACTGGAAACATGTCGTTTCAATATCATTTTACTGAAATGAGCTTTCTTGTATAGCCCATTTCGATGTAGGATTTTTCATAGGCAGAAAAGGCGAAAAGTCTTTGGCACAGACATAAAAGTCTGATTAGCACATCCTTTTGATGAACCGTTGGGATTCTTTTCCTCTATCTCGAATTTTCTTGACTCTCCAGAATTGTATCCCCAATCTTTTTTTTCTACCATTTAAGAACCAATGTTTGCTCTATGTTGGATATTTATGCTTTACTCAGTAGTCTTAAGGAGTGATGTTGGTTTGCCTTGAAAAGATCTTATTCCTCTTCTCGTCTTCATTACAAACATCTGTCTTCATTACATTGGCTTCAATGGCATGATTCAAATCTGTTTGACGCCACTTTACTACTCCCTCCGTTCCTGAATATAAGATTTTTTGGGTTTTTCACACTAATTAAGAAATTAATCATTAACTACTTTTTCTAATACTTTTTGTTTAATTTAATACCACGCATGAGATTATAGGATCATGCACAGCTGTTGCATAATTAATGATGTTTCTACTTCTACAACTTTGTAACCCAAACTTACGTTACATAAAAATTTAAAACTAGAGCCAAAATTATAACTCCAAATAATAAATTTGGAGCCATTACTGAAAGCTAAAAAACTGAAATGGAGCCTTGGACTCATCTTCTTCATGCTTCAGCTTGGACTCATCTTCTTCATGCTTGGACTTATCTTCTTCATGCTTCAGCTTTTTTTTTGTTTCTTCTCGATTCATTTTTTTTATTTAAAGTGATAAAGTACTAGTAATAAAGAAAAAAAAGAAATGTTACTAAATAAATACTCAGATAAATGGAGTATTTAATAGTAACAGTAAATGTCAGTTTTGACTTTTTTGGTTTCCCATAATTTTTTTGTTTTTGTTCTTGTAAAGTGAGAAAGGGCATATATTAAAAAATTCAAAAAATCAAATTTAGTGGAACAAAGAAAAATTCTAAAACATCTTATATTCAGGAACGGAGGGAGTATAAACTAGAGTGAAGTTTGTGGTGGTCTTTCAAGTGGAATCAGGCTTAAAAGAGTGATGTTGGTTTGCCTTGCAAAGAGCTTATTTCTCTTCTTCCGACTTCTTACAAACATGTTTCATCGGAAACCTTCTTTGATGCTCAATCTGCAACTCTCGCTCATTTATCTGGTCTTCCATGGCATTGTACAAGATGGCTTCAATGGCCTTAAATGAAATCATGTAAATTGAGTTTAAGTTATGACGGTTTTTCCAGTTTCCTTGAATGGCCTTACATTAACCAACATTGGATAAGTAATATTAGAATCGTAACAAGATATATCATGCGACTTTAGCCAAAACATTTTCCACAAATTTGCCACACACGTGCTACATATATGTGCATTAATCAATTGACATTGTAGTGATTCCGCTATCAAAAGAATATAGAAATATTACTTCTCGTAGCAGGTACTGACTTTTTTCATTCTTTCATCATTCTCGGAGCAGGTACTACTGACTTTTTTAAAACCTCTTTCTTTCGGCTAATCAAGATCTTCACTAACCAAATCCAATAAGCATCACTATGACTCTATAAAAACCGTGATTCCTTTTCGTTTGAAGCTTGTCTCTAAGGGGAAGAAGATTCTTATCTGTCTTTCGCTGTGGTCACTCGAGGAGAGCTAGAAAATGGAGGAGATGAAACCAAGTGCCGCCAACTTGCCGCCGTTGACGCCGTTGGGGTTCCTGGAGAGAGCAGCCACCGTGTATGGCGACTGTACCTCCACCGTTTACGGCGATTCCACCGTGTACACATGGCGGGAGACGAATCTTCGTTGCCTACGCGTTGCGTCGGCTCTGTCTTCCATTGGAATCGGAAGATCCGACGTGGTCTCCGTCCTCTCTGCTAATACTCCGGCGATGTACGAGCTCCAGTTCGCCGTTCCTATGTCTGGGGCAATCCTTAACAACATTAACACGCGCCTCGACGCTCGCACCGTCTCTGTTCTACTACGCCATTGCGGATCTAAGCTTCTCTTCGTAGACGTCTTTTCCTCCGATCTCGCCGTCGAAGCGACTGCGCTGTTGGATTATCCGCCGATTATCGTCCTCATCGCAGACGAGGAGGAGGAAGATGGCGGCGCTGCCGTGGCGAACGGTTCGAAATTCTGTTACTTGTACGGTGATTTAGTTGAGAGAGGAGATCCGGGTTATAAATGGATCCGACCCGAGAGCGAGTGGGATCCGATTGTGGTCAACTACACCTCCGGTACGACGTCGTCACCTAAAGGTGTGGTTCACTGCCACAGAGGTATCTTCATCATGGCGATTGATTCTCTAATCGATTGGACCGTACCGAAAAATCCGGTTTACTTGTGGACCCTACCGATATTCCACGCTAATGGTTGGTGCTATCCATGGGCAATCGCCGCCGTCGGAGGGACCAACGTCTGTCTGCGTAAGTTCCACGCGCCGCTCATCTACCGTCTCATCCGTGATCACGGCGTGACTCACATGTGCGGCGCGCCGGTACTGCTTAAAATGTTAACGGCGACTCAGGAATCTCAGCCACTTAAAAGCCCCGTCAATTTCTTAACAGCGGGTTCTTCTCCGCCGGCGACGGTGCTCCATCGCGCCGAATCTATAGGTTTCATCATCAGCCACGGTTACGGATTAACGGAGACAGCTGGTGTGGTCGTCTCCTGCGCGTGGAAGCCACAGTGGAATCGATTACCGGCGAGCGATCGGGCGAGATTGAAAGTCCGGCAAGGGGTGAGAACAATCGGGTTTACCGAAATCGACGTGGTGGAACCAGGGTCGGGTCGGAGCGTGGATAGAGACGGAGCAACCGTGGGAGAAATAGTGATGAGAGGGAGCACAATCATGCTCGGTTACCTGAAAGATCCTATCGGAACAAAGAACTCTCTGAAGAACGGGTGGTTCTTCACCGGAGACGTCGGAGTGTTCCACGGAGATGGGTATATAGAGATTAAGGATAGATCGAAAGATATAATCATAACAGGAGGAGAGAATGTGAGCAGCGTGGAGGTGGAAGCGGTGCTGTACACGAATCCGGCGGTGAATGAAGCGGCGGTGGTGGCTAGACCCGATGAGTACTGGGGAGAGACGCCGTGTGCGTTCGTGAGTCTGAAACCCGGGTTGACCCGGAAACCCACGGAGAAGGAGATAATCGAGTACTGCAGGAAGAAGATGCCGCATTACATGGTGCCTAAAACTGTGTCGTTTCTTCAGAAGTTGCCCAAGACTTCCACAGGGAAGATTCCCAAGGTCGTGCTTAAGGAGATTGCCAAAAGAATGGGTTCTACGAGGTTGAGTCGGATGTAGAAGCTATTGTGATTATTGTAAGCTTACTGTATGATAGATTAAAGTGTAAAATTATTGTTCGATTTAAAGGTTTCGAGGTTGAGGCAATTAGTTGATATTGACTTATTTATGATCTCTTTTTCGTTAAGTAGAAGAATCATCATCGACTGGAAACAAGGGATCCATTTTTTAGCAGCAAGAAAGGATCACTGTAAAATAAAATAAAAAGACATTTAATATTTCAATAAGTAAAAATAGCAAAAAGCTCCATTGCCGGGAATCGAACCCGGGTCTCCTGGGTGAAAGCCAGATATCCTAACCGCTGGACGACAATGGATTGATGGATGAAATTGTCTTATATATGATAATATCATTAAAGGTAAAACTATTTTTTTTGATAAATATAACAATGCTTTGCATGATCGTGCGTGCTCATGAACCGCAAAAACTTATTTGCATAAATCTGTTCGACTGGCCTTGACTGTTTGTAGTTTTTAGATTAGTTAACCATTTTTCTAATATATGTGGATGGTTGTCTTTCTTACTTCCATACTATAAAGAAAAACATTCTCATTTTTTCCAGTTTATATGATATACATTAGTTTGGTTCTATTCAATATTTTCAGTTCCGCTTATTTTTTTTTGTCACCATATATCATATCTGTATTTAAAAACCAAAAAGCAAGTAGAAAGAAGGCTATAATCTTTTTACAAACCATGAAAGACATGTTGTTTCGGACATGTATATAGTAAAAAAACGAAAAGGTTCAATTGATATTAATCGGCAATCGTTTCTTCATTGCTGCTAAAGGTCTATCTTTGTCTCCTCATGAAATTATCCACTTCTCCCATCCATGACGTTTCTTTAGTTTGCAACCCTACACACCATTTTTGCTGATTTTTCTAAACACATTAAAATCATAGATACAACAACCTCACTTAATTTTTTTCAAAAAAAAACAACCTCACTTAATTTGAAATTTAATATATTCATGATATTTCACTATAAAACACTCCACTTTCTATGGCCAGATTTTTTTTATTTTTTTTGGAATGAAAATGTTAAATTAATCCTACCAAAAACCTGTTTTAAAATGAATGTAATAGAGTTTGAAAATTGTAAAGGAAATTTAACTATTCATTAATCCCCAATAAAAGTAATTTCATCTGAAAAAGAACCAGCATCCCAGTCCTTTTTTTATATCTGTTATCTCTTAAATGTTGGATATAAAAATGTATTTTTTTTAACAGAACTGCACAACACATAAAGGCGGATCTAGAGTAATTATTTACTGGGTGCATTATTTATAGAAAATTAAAAAAAAAAGGTTCAAAAAGGGTTCGAACTAAAAAATTATGAGTGCACTTCAATGCTTTTTTCAACTCATCTAGCAGAAATTTAATAGTTTTACACACAAAAATTTAAGTATTCATGAAGAAATGTCAACACCACATTTGTCTTCTCACTAAACACATTATCAAATCAATATCATTAATCATACTTTTGATCTGGTTGCAAAAAAGAATTAAAATTATGGTTTTAAAAAAATCAAAATTAGTTCAAAAAAAAAATATGGATATTACACATCTTATATATAGTTGAACTACAGTTCCGAGTTAAGTTAGACTTTGACAAGAAAAACAAATCCTCTAGAAACGAACAGCTTAAATTTAGATTATACTTCTGACGGAAGGAAAAAAAAATCATAAGCTTTAAAATTATATAACTAATATTACTGTGTTTTTCGGTATAGTGAAAAAGTTTCATAAAGAACATCATAGACTTTCTGACCGAAAAAAAAAAAGAACATCGTAGTCGAAAAGATCTTTGGTGCCAAAATTGTTTTGTCAGCCAAAAACATAACACAACAGGTTTATGAATATTGTAGAACAATAAGACCTGTCAATAAACCTTCAAAGTTCTTAACCTAGTCTGGCTTAAGACTAATCATTAGCTTCGTGAACAAACACGGTTCCAAAGAAATCAACCGTGGTTTCGGCAAACTGTATCATAGAGACACTCCTTTCTTTTCTTTATATTCCTCCAATGTCATTAGTGATTCCTTGTTTTTGGTCCAATCTGCAGGTCTTGGCATGATTATCGCAATATATCCTTCGCGATCGGCCTGAAATCAGGTTTTGTAAATAAAAAGATGCGATCAAAATACGAAACCTCAAAGAGATAATGCTCAATCCGTTTTGAGTTAGGTTGATTCCATAAGCAAAATACTTGACATTGAAGAATAAAACTATAGCTCAAATCGTTACAGAAGATGCTGCAGCAACAGAGATTCATAGCACAAGCATGAAATTAGATAAAGCATGGTAATTCAATTTTTTTTGTTTCTCTCGTATATATTACCGATGAATTAAGAAGGTGTGGTTGCTTGATTAATCTCTCGTTCACCTCCAAGAGAGAGCCTTTAACGCAACACCTAGCAAAAACCAACACAGAACAGAAAAACAAAACAAAAACTTGAATCTTTCACATACATGAGAAACTCAGGACAAAGAAAAGTGAAACTGGAAAAAGCTTTGCACCTCACAATATAAGAATCATTTGCAGTGGAAACTTTGCACAATGCTGTATTCGATTCAGAGCGCATAGCATTCTGCAACAACAACAAGATCACGTGAAAAACACAAGCTACAAGCCTGAATCTGGCCTCATTCAAGACAACGAACACACAAAGTAACATATAGTGGAAGGAAGAGAAATGCGACCTTTTTACGCTTGCCGGAGACTTTCAAGACGCTACGATCAGACTTGCCGACATTGAAATCGATGTTAGTGATCCCACCTTCGTCCTTGAAAGCTATATGCGTAGGAGCCAATCCAATTACACACAGACTAAAGAACATTACAAAAACACACAAGTAAGGAAACCAATTTCATTACGAACAAAGCAATGAAATAGCAAAAGGAACAATCTTTGACATACCCGTTGGGGTGACGGTAGATATATTGATCATGTCCCGATTTCGTAAAATCTGCAACCGAATGATTAAAAAAAAGAAGGATTATTCATTCACAATATCAAAAGGGGTTTTTTCAAAATAAAAGAGAAAAACAGAAGCTGAATCTGCGAACCTGTGATGAAGTAAGAGACGAAATTGACTTGTGTAGCTGAAGGAGGAGAAATCGGAAGATCTCCTATATCTGAAAGCAGCAAATTTCTCAATTCGTCTTCGTCTTCATCTCGGGGCTTCTCGCCTTCTTCGGCTACTTGCAGCTCGTCGCAGTGTTCAACTTCCTCGGATTGATTTTGCTTAGTTAATTCGATTATAGCCTCGACTTCTGGATTCTCCAGTACCTCAGTCTTCTGAATCTCCATTCTCCGTGAGTTTCAAAACACAGAACAAATCGTTTTCTTTCGTACTTTCGAGTTTAACCTCCCGACGGCGAAAAACCATCGGATTTGCTTTGCCGATCGTGAATTAGATAACTAATGGGCCGTATCTTTCTTTTAAATTTGACAAAGCTTAAGGCCCATTTAGATTCTACTAATGATCGTCAATTAGATAAGTTTCGGGCTTGCTTTGCCGATCGTGAATTAGATAACTAATGGGCCGTATCTTTCTTTTAAATTTGACAAAGCTAAAGGCTCAATTAGATTCTACTAATGATCGTGAATTAGATAACTAATGGGCCGTATCTTTCATTTAAATTTGACAAAGCTAAAGGCCCATTAAGACATTACTAAGGATTCTATCAGTATCACTGTATCGCAATGATTTGAGTGAATTATCACCAGAATTAGATGAGCTCTGGAAAAATTCAAATTGCAATGAAGACTTGTAACAAAGTTTTGAGTTTTGCATGTCATAAAGAAAACGAACTAGTGTGCACAATAACAAACAAGAAAAAAAAGTCTGGATATTTCGAAATAACAAAAGTGTTATCAGACGAGAGAGTAGAATTGTATCAAATCTAGAAATCATCATCATCTTCCTCAGCCATGTATTTCGCGAGCTCCTCTTCTTGCTGTTTCTTCTCCCTCCTTTTCTCGTCGCTCTCTTTCTCCCTATGCGTATTTGGCGGGAACCTCAACGCTCTGACCGCTTCGTTGTGCATATTCAAGCAGAAGGCGATCCTCGAGTTAAACGCAGTCTGCGGTTCATTAGTTGAGTAGATGTCTCCTGTCTCCTTGGAGACCATGCAGCCGTTCTTGTGGTCGATGGTCGCGTCGATTGCTCCGTCTCTTATGGCTTTAGCCACAATGCTTTCTGCATCCGCGACAGGGTTTGCTGAGTTCAATCTCAGCTTTTGGGCAACGTCCGTGAGAGAGATCCTCGAGTAGGAGATGCTGATGTTGCGCAGCCCTGTTCTGATCACGTTGTGTCTGAGTCTGACAATGAGATTGTGAGTCCTGTCTTCAGAGAATGTTTTCGCAAACCTCTCCTGAACGTTCCTGAACAGCTCCAAGTCACCAATCCTCACAGCCTGCCAACACTCAAACATATTAGTATGAGATCAACATTTTACCACATAATCTAGCTATTATCCACGGCGACTAGTACTAATAATGGAGAAGGTCTACACTCTACAGCAGCGAAGAGTTACTTAAGTATCATCACAGTTTTACAAAACTTAAAATTTGTCGCAGATTCAAAAATTGCAAAGATCGACTCACATTGGTCAGCTCGAAGTATGGCCTAAAAGCCTTGTCCATTCCCTTCTGAGTGAAGATCGATCGCTCTGGAATTTCACCCAAGAGAAGTCGAACTAATATAGCCCACTTGTTGCACTGGATTCTAAATCCTAGAGCAGCGACGGGTGCTTTTCTAGCAGCCTGGAGGAGACTCTCTTTGGCATCAGTGTACTCGAGTTGGATCGTCCGGATCTTACCGAGATAAAACAAGTACCTACAGAACTGTAAGAACATACTGTGAGATGGGTTCCTTTAGCCAGAGAATACATACACTTTATTACAATTTGTAGATATGGAGGTCTAAGAAAACTGGAGACGACACAGATGAAGCAAAGAAAAGAAATCGAACGTAGAGTTAAGAGCATACGGGCAAGCAAAACACCAAAAAACATGAGCAATGAGGCATATATAAATGCGATTTGGAAGAAACTTGACTGCGAAAAGTCGGCATAAGCAAGCAACCAGAGACAATAAGTCAATAACCAAGTGTATGGAGACAGAATTGAAAGGTACCTGTTGGTTGGAATGTGCCTCAAATCGAGGTGCTTTTGATCTTAACTTCTCTGCTTGGTCATAGAGGTTGTAGTGCAAGTAGTTGCGAAGCAACAGATTCAGAAGTGTCTCCTGCATTCATGAATAGTAGTATAATTTGAATAACCAAACCAAAAGCTTTTCATTACGAATTTTTAAGTGTTTGAATCATTTGTAAACCACGCACCTGACCCAACTCATCATGGCGCAAAGTTGCAGAATGGTGCAAGGCAAGAAGTGTACTGCAAGCAGAAACGAGTCAATCAGATAACTGATACTTGATCTATGAGGAAAGGAAGATATATCACGAAAATGGATTTGTCGGAGAACTACTCACCCGCGTATCTCTGCGAGGTCCCCGGTTAGCTCATAGCTTAACGAGTAGTAAAAATACAACCGGGAAGCTATAACATCAATTGTTCTCCGGTTAAGGCTCTTGAGGCGAGCAATGCTTGCAGAAGAGCAAGCTTTGGCCTGAAACATAGCGAAAGCAAAGCACATCAGGAATTAAGATCACAGCAAGATTAGTTAAACAAAAGTATTTCAAAGAAAAATTTCAAAGGGGCAGAAAATTAACCTCGCTGTACTTTTTCTGATCAATCAGAAAGAGGAGAACAATGAAGTAGCAGTAAATCTCGAGCTCTGCAGGCAAATGCTTGAGAGGGGCTTGGGAAGTCGATGACGCTGTGTCAACTTCCATGTCATGTTCATCGCTCTGAAACATTATTTATAGACTCAAACTTCAGTATATCTCTCTATTCACGGGCATAACTCTAATGTTAACACTACAAACAATTCAGAAACATTTCTTATTCAGGAAAAGTGCAATCACTAATGCATGAATCTAAAATCCGCGAGTTACAGAGCCTAAGAAGCACAATTCTGAGAGAGAGAAAAGCAAAATTATATGGTATACAAAGTGGAGAAGTGAAGCCAGGAACTACCTTGGGGAAAAAAGAAGAAAGACGAGTGTGAGCCTCGGATCCAGGAACCAAAGCGAAATCAAGGAACGAAGAGATCACGGAACTGGTGAGCTTCCGTCGTAGTCCCACGGTGAGACGCACAGCACGAGCAATTCGACGGACTTCTTTGGTGTACGACCCAGTATCGATCAGAGCTGCAATCTCCTTCAAATCTGTGGGGAAAAAAAAAGGCAATCCAATGTGTGAAACGATGAAGCGATAAAATCGGATTTGGAACACACAACAACCCTAGCATTGCGAGATTTAAAGGAAACGAAAGCATAAGATCGGGATTTACGCTGCAGCGTGGAGGTCGTAGCAGAGACGACGGATTGAGTTGGGGTCTGGTTATCTTTCATCTCCACGTCTTGAGTCATCTTTTCCACAAATCTCAGTGTTCTTCAGAAAGACAGATAAAATATTGAGAGTAGCGAGGGGATTGCAGAACGAGAACATAAGTAGTAATTAACTTTCCTTTCTCTTTTTTTTTTTTATTTCTGTTTCTTTTCCATCAAGACAGATTATATTAACTAATCAAATATTTTGGTTTCTTAAAACCAATCAACAAAGTCGTTGTAGTATAGTGGTAAGTATTCCCGCCTGTCACGCGGGTGACCCGGGTTCGATCCCCGGCAACGGCGTTTAACTTTTTCTAAAAATAATCTACTGTATTTATACGACAACGTTTTAATATAATGGGCTTTCTCCTTTTTCTTGGACAAGGTTCTCAAATTAACTCTCTTTATTGGACCCAAATTGTTGAAGAGGAGTAATATCCCCTTTGAAATCACCACAAAGTCGTTGGGAGTATTGTGGATGGCTTCTGCTTCTCTGGTTATAAATGCGTCGATTTAGTGTGTTAATCTGTAACTCGCCACTTTTATTTAAGTTTTAACTCCCAATAACATTCAAAATAAAAGAATTGAGTGCTTAGAAATATAAAAAAGAATCAACTGTTCCATCACATTAAAAACTGATGAGCAAAGACAAAAAAGAGTTAATTTTGTCCAAACTCGGTCTCACTCTCACCTAAACAAAACTACAAAAACAAATAAACAGAAGAGATAACAAAAAGGAAGAAAGGATGCCTCAGTAGTTCTTCTCTAACAAAAACCCAAGACGACAACGACCCACCATAGAATAAATTGAACAGATATTATACCCTAAAAGCGACTCTAAAAGAAAAACAGCCCCAAGCTAAAAAAACTGTGAATCAATGGATAAAAAAAAAGGGAAAGGGATACACTTATGGCAAACATGTCTTCTTGATGGACAGAAGCAAACATAGAGAGAGAGAGAGAGCAAGGAGATAGAAAAAAAACATCCAGCGACTTGGCCTTTTTTCTTTTTATGTTTGTGTAACAGAAACCTCACTCTCAAGCAGCTGCCTGGACCGGTGGTCCATCTGATCTGTTGTTGAATCCACCACCACGACCTCCTCCTCCTCTTCCACGGCCTCCCCTTCCGCGTCCACGACCACGCCCTGTATTAAACCAATTCAAAACTCAAGGTTCTTTCACACGAATACGATTTAAGAACCACAGGTTAAAAGGAGAGTTCTGATTATACTTACCACGTCCCTGAGGAGGACCATCGTAACCACCACGTCCCTGGGGACCATCGTAACCACCACGTCCCTGAGGACCATCGTAACCACCGCGTCCCTGATGAGGGCCATCGTAACCACCGCGTCCCTGATTAGGGCCATCGTAACCACCGCGGCCCTGATGAGGACCGTCGTAACCACCGCGTCCCTGATGAGGGCCATCGTAACCACCACGATCATCATATCCACGGTGTTCGTGAGGGGGAGCATCGTAACCGTAGCCGTAACCACCATCGTGTGGAGCATCATAATCGTTTGGAGGACCATTGTATCCTCCTCTTCCACGGCCACGACTGCTGCGACCCCTCCCACGACCTCTTCCTCTACCATATGACTGGTTGCGTTCCCATTCTCCGTCTTCATACTCAACATTCACATATGAATTTCCTGCAAAATAAAAGATGATAAATAAAGCTTTACAAAATATTCATGAATCACATGTTCAAAATCTCAACCGAAAGCTGAGATTTGGAAAATGTGGCAATCTAAATTGAAAATCCCTAAAGCAGTGTTACCTCTCCCGCCTCTTCCCCTTCCTCTTCCTCTTCCCCTTCCTCGTCCTCTTCCTCTCCCTCTGCCACCAGGAGAACCTTCTGCAAGAATCATAAAAAAGAAAACTTATAAAGCAAGCAGAACAAGGGGGATTTAAAAGTGTCACTGAGAGTGACCAAACATACCTCCTCCTTCATAGTCGATATCACCTAATGGCTTCACCATCTCAATAGGAATCGGGGACTGGTATCTGCAAACATCATTTAGTAAAAAAAAAGATCAGTATTAAGAAGTTACGAAGCTAGGGACCACAGAAAAAAAAAATCAACCAAAAAGTTCAAAACAAGAAACTCACCCAACAGAGGATGTGTTAAGCTCTTCCTTGGATAGGGTAATGGTTATCATAGACACATGCCTTGTGGTCTCGATACTTCAGGAGAAAACAAAAAAGGAAAGAAATAAGCAACATTTTATTAAGGTGACAAAACAAGTAAAAATCAGCTTGGCTGCACAACTGAAACCATCAATAATAAATCCAAAGTGTTTTTGGCCCCTTACGTTTGAAGGCCTTCCTCAGTAGGTTCCCATGTGTCTGTTATGTCGGTGGATCCAATAGATGTGTTTTGATGAAGATCAGGGATCCTTCTCTGCAACACACATATTCCAAAGGGACATTTTCAGAAAACCCATCATCTGAACCACGTTTTGAGAAATCGACGGGACAGATCTCAAAATTACCTTAATCAGCTCTACAATGGTCACAGTCTTGTTGATAGCTCTTCCCATTGCCTTGAATACAACTTCACTTGAACCTTTCTCCTATATCAACATAACAAAAGTCTTAAATAAAACTGTTCAACTGAATCAAAATCTCCAAACAGATAAACCATTAAATCATCTTGAACCACGTAATAAATGACATTACTAATTACTAAAAAAAAAAAATCTGAGTATATCTATCTGCCACATGATAAGAAACCGTGGCTCATATGGATCTTCTCAATCAGAAGGCAAACTCTAAAGGAAGGCCTTCCACTTCCCAGAATAAATAACATAAACAATGCAGAAATGAACCTAACCATTTCCTATTAAGTGTAAAGTATATATGACGCCTAGATTATTAAATCAACTTTATTTAAAACCACAGAAAAAAAGCTGATTCTGGATTCAACACTTCCTAATACCACAAAACCGTTCATAAACCCTATACCGTATCTCCCAACACACTACAACAAGGCTACATGATTAGAAACTGGATTGAAACATTTCAGATTCATCGAGGAAGATGCAGAATCAAATAGAAAACGCAATACCTGAAGAAGAGTCATAGCATAGGTGATGTAGTTACGTGCCCTGCCCATACTAGTGATACGAATCTCGTTCGCATCAATCGGCGTCCCCTCTTTCGGCTTCTCCACTCGCTGATACTTATCCATCTACACGAAGAAACAAAAATCAGAAGAATCAAATAGTAGGCTCCGTAAAAAATCCCCCAAAATGGAAAATCAGCGAGATAACTAGGGGTTATTGACTTTTATGAGCACAGGCAACAGAAGAAAGAGGATTAAATTAAAATCGGGATTTATCTTCAATTCATCATGGCTTTGATGCTTTACCTTACGCAGTTGTTCTGGTTAGATCCTTCGAGAAAGTAGAAGATTCAGATGAAACGGAAATGGTGGTTTTGCCCAGTAAGAGCCCTCTTTGTACGGCTTCGTTTCTCTCCTTATACGCTCTAAGAGCCATATGATGGAAGCGCCTCTCTGATATATATCAGCCGCACCACTTCTCTTCCACACACACGTTGCACTACCCTAATCGGTTTCCGGCTCGCGGGTTTGCTGTCAACCGAACCGAACCGAACCAAGGCTAATCAAGCTTAACCAAGATAATTAACCCTGGCGAATATAGATAACCGTAATTACCATCTAAAATATTTAGCATCCTCTACAGTAAAACTCATCATTTGATCATCCTGATCCAGTAATTAGGATTCCAAAACCGAATATATAACCGGGATAGTTTTGGATTTTCGGTTCGCATGTATTTTTGGTTTAGTTATGCCATATTCTTTTTTTCTTGTAAGAGGAAAATCCAAATTCTTGTAATAAAATCTACAAGATGAGATTATCCAGTTGCACAAAATGCGAAGGAAAAAGTCTTAGTTGCTTTTTTCACAAAAAAATAAACAAATTGTTTGATGGAAACCAAATCTACACGTTATTAATAGAAAGTTTCTGGATTATCGGTAACAACTAATAGAATAATAAAAAGACAAAATTTTAATTTTAATATTTTAAGAACGTGTCTGTGCTATTTTCGCAGTTCGGTGAACTCTGATTTAGGGCGAACTTTTCAATTATTTTTTATGTAAAAGACATCCACTCCATATTATTCAAAAAATAACATTATTGAAAATTGTTTACTTGTCAACACTACAATCAAAATTAGTGCTTTTAGGAGGTGTTATTGGTTCTTGTATTTTAATAGATTTGAGAATCCAAACCAAATTCAGTGTTATTGGTTCTTGTATTTTAAAATTTATATTGAAATACAGTATTATTGGTTCTATGATTTTAAAATCCATAATGAAATACAGTGTTATTGATTCTATCATTTTAGAATCTAAATATTATAAGGATTTGAGTTTTAATTGAATTTGAATGGATTTGGAAGGATTTTTATGACTAAAATACAAAGACTCAAATACAATGTCTAACTTTGGTATTTGAGTGGATTTGATTTTTTTCCATTTTGCTGATTTTGAAATCAATAAATTTATCAAATCAAAAGAAGATTTATAAATCCACCAAAATACAAGAACCAATAACCCCTACTTAATTGATGACATGTAAATGTGACATGTCAAACTTCCTAAAATAAACGAAATGTTTTGATTGGTTGAATTGAAATTATAGAAATTATGGAATTAAAACATAAATAAACTAAATGATATTTATAACACTAAAATTAACAAATTTAAATTAACAGAAAATAAAAGCTATTATAATTTTAATTTTTTACATATATTCATAATTTCATAAAAAATAATTATGAATTTTTTTCAACAATATATATATATATTATAATTTCATATAAAAATAAAAAAATATTAAATTATCCAATAGAATAGTAAAAAATCTATTTATTAATAATACTTTAAGTATGATATATTTTTATTTCGGAAAGTTATTAATTAAATCTAAAAAAGTTTTAAATAAACAAATTATTAAATAATACAATTTTAAATAAAATACAATCATGATAAAAATAATTTAAAGAATAAAATGTTAAAAATAATAAAATAAATAACTTTTATTGATTTAAAAAAAACATAATTTAAAAATAAAATATTTTCAAACTAATATTTACTAAAAGAATAAAGTATATACTAATTATTATTTTATAATCTTAATAGGATCATATATTTTTCTATAACTTTTATCATCTTTTTATTGTTGTTTTCTAAAATGTGCATAACTTATGTTACTATCTCATCTTATATCTTATCATATTTTAAATAAAAATAAAATTTTATATCATATTTATATATATACATAATTTTGTTTTCATTGTATATCAAAATTTTGAGATCGTAAATTAATTGAAAAATAATCGAACGAAAGAATAAATTATAATAAGAAGAAACAATATGAATAAGAGATAAAAATAGAAGTATATAAAAAAAAACCTCTCGCCCTTTGTTTTACAAAGTCACTTAAAAAAATTTTAACACGTAAGAGCTGTCCTAACGGAGAACTTTGGGTGTCTAAAACAAAAGATCTTAATAATAAAAATGAATAAAATAATAGTGAGAGGGTCTTAAAAAATAGACACAGTATCTAAAATATGATACTTTTGTTGAGTTAAAACACTCAGTGTCTAAAATAAATAATAAAATATTTTTAAGACCTTCTTAATAAGTTCTCCATTGGGGTTGGTCGCCATATTTCAATTTTTTTACAAATACGCATACATATATAAATATTAGTTGTACATTAGTTAAAGTCACATGCGAACTTTTTCGTGCATGTATTTTGTTAAGATTGGTTACAGTCTAATTTTTATTTTAATTATTATCCAATTTTATTTTGAAAAAAAAATATTTATTATTCTAAGTGTAGTGAAGTGATTGGTATGCCCGCACATGCGTGCCAACCATCTATCCGCTCTTAGGAATAAGTAAAAATGGTAAAAACTATTTCAGTTTAATTTGCAATAAATCAAGAAAAATATATACTTAAAATATATTATATATGTATTTACAAACTCATATTATGTAAGACGCAAAAAAGCATATTGTAGATTGTGTAAGGAGAAATAAAGCATATTAATATTATAAAATTTTAATTATTATTTAACATAACTTTTATATTTGTGATTATATACTATTACAAGCATTATAAAAATAAAAGTAATAAAATACATTGATTTCAGAAAAAAAAGTTTGTGAAATATTATAACAATATATATATACAAACATACAAATATTTAAACTTTAAATATTACAATTAACTATGTATATCAAAAAAATTATACCCACACATATGTGCGAGCCAACCACCTAGTATTAAATATAATACATTGTCCTTTGACGTTTTTTGTAATGTACGTATTTAAATTTCCCTGATCAAAATTAAAACTGTAAAACCTCAACTGAGATGTTTATTAATTTAGGAGAAAAGAAAAGTAATGTCTCTTTCAAACTTCAACAAGGAAACAAATCTTAGCTAGAAGATAGAGACCAAAAACAAAAACAAAAAATCTTAGCTAAAAGATAAGACTGGATAAATTGTTGTAAGCATTCGGCAAAACAAAAGAAAAGTTGTTGTGACCATCGAAAAAATTACAAAATAAAAATGTTGTTGGAAGTAGGAGTATTGAGTATATTGACCCCCACCAAACGTGAGGAGCATTTAAGTTTTTGTGTCACAAACCAAGATTTAAACCAATATTGTTAGAGTATACAAGACTAGTAGTTGCGAACAAGCTCTTCACAGAGGGAAGAACACACACAAATTCTCAGCCTTTTCTTATATAAGTTTATTTGTTTTTATGTAATAATTATATAAATTATAATTCTTTTTACAGAGAATCTAGTCAATTTTTCATTTATTTGGTAGTACTAAAGATCTGAGAAAAATGTACTTTTGTGTTTGTAGATAGTAGTAGATACGGCTGGAAAATCAGCGGAGATGACGAAGCACCGATAAAGACAAGGTATCTAGTATTTGTTTTAAAACGATCAAGACGCATCGTTTCATTTGATCTTTTAACAAAGACTTGATAGAGGTGGTGGAGCCATGGAGGAGGATATGGTCTGGTTCACTATTTTAATAGAAAAATGGGCCAGCGTTTTCAAGACAACCGGATTGGTTAAATTTTACAAGGATGATCACTTTGCTTTTACTACAATGAACAGACAAATTTTGAACAAGTATTATACATTACAGATAGTCCCATGACACAGCAAAAGCAATTAAGCTGAAGGAAATGAGGTTATCTTGCATCTCTACCAGACCCGGCTCAAATAAAAACTGAGCCATGTGCTAAATTTTTTGAAAAAAAAAAAAAAATTAGTTATGTAATTGCAAAAATAATTTTGAATATTTTGAGGCTTAAAATACAATAACATTCCATAAAAAGTAAAAAAAAAAGTGATAAATCTTGAGTAAAAAAAAAAAGTGATAGATTTTGTGTAAAAGCACTGCTGGCACACCCTTAAAACTGGACTTGATCTCTACCTTGTGTAGTTGAGAGAATCAATAATTTTTCTTCATCCCCCAGAATATAATGGAAAACTAGCATCAACTAATACAAAACCATTAACGTAGAAGATTGGTGTTCCATAAACCCCTCTTGAAGCGCTACACATAACACCAAAAAAAACATAATATGAACCATCGTTTGTTTTCAGCTAGGTAACAACGAGAACAGCCATGGGGTATATACGACACAATGGGTCACAAATTTATACTGGTCGGTAAACGAAACCATTGCGTATTGGACAGTGAAAACGAGGCTGTTGCTTTGGGACATCGTAGAAGGGCCCGTTTGCTAAAAGTGCTGCATCGCGGGCGGCTAGTGCTACAATGTCAGTGCAAGAAACGATTCCAGGCAAAGCCGTTCCAGTTCAGTTTTGGTGTTGTCAATTATGTGGAATCCGCCGACACCAACGTTTCTCGGAGCATTAATCTCACTGTCGTAAGAGGAGATTAAATAGACTGTTTATAACATAGGAGCTGACGAAAAAGAAGATGATGATAAAAAGTCAAATGACTTTAAGAATATACGGTTTAAAGGGTATTTCAAACAAAATTTGCTTCTGATCCACGAAAGGCAGCCATTTTGTTGAGGCTGCAATTTCGAGATTACAACGGAGATTGGACGAAACAATCGTAAAACTGGAGTCTCAGCAAAACAGCTGCTTTTCCTGGATCAAAAGCAAATTCTGCATGGACTATCTTTGGATAGTGAACTCGGTCTTTAGACAGTAATAGTCGATTTGAAGATAAGTCTCCGAAAATAAATTTAACATGAAAAATAATATTATTAGAATTATTATTTCTTTGGCTTAGAATCGATCGATTACTAATTATATAAATAATAATTTAAATAAAATGAAAAAGTAACAAAACAAAAATGAAAAATTACTATTAAAAAGTTAAGAATAAAATGAAAAAATGTAAAAAAATAATTGAAAAAATTATAAGCAAAATTAAAGAAAATTATAAACAAAAATTTGAATAAATAACAAAAAAATATAAAATAAATGATATAATAAAAAGCAGATATTTTTTGTTAAATCATATCTATTTTTTATTTTTTTTTAAGTTATATTATTTTCGGTGTATATTTTTATACATAAAAAAATAATGTTTTTTATAATATCATTGTTCATAATGTAAATCTGTTTATATTTCTTTATAATATAAATTTTCTGTAAAAAAATCCGATTTAACAATAAAATGAGGTAACGAAAACAATAATAAATGGCTATGTTAATTTATTCAATTTCACTGCAGATTCGCCGATAAAATGGTTAATTTGGAAGGACCAAATATTTAAATTAGCATAAATGGAAATATCTGTTGTATGTGTAATATTACCAAATTTAATAATATTACTTAAAAAAAATATAAATTTTGAATAAATTAAAATTTCTTTTTTAGGAAATATTTAAATATATATGATTATATACATAATTTAAAAGTGATAAAACAATAATAATTAAGGACCGAGAAAACATGGTAATATTATACGTGGTTTATCTTTAAAAGAACAAATAGTCAAATAATTCAAATTTGTGGTTATTTCAAAAGCCTGGGCCTCATTTAAATAATTAATATATGGTTTAAAGTTAATTCTTTTTATAGGTTTTATATTAAAAGTTTTTTTTATGCGTTTTCTAGCTTTTTTAGTAATAATAATATGGAAAGTACAAAAATTAATGAAAGAAAAAGATAAAAAAAACTTGATCCTTATAAATCTAAAGAATTGGGAAACATATATTTTGCAATTATGAAAATTAAATATATATGAAAAAATATAAGAAGATTTGATTGTGTATATAAGTCAGCCAAACTAAATAAGAAATACTCTTCAAATGTATTTCCAAAATAAACAACATAATACCTTACAATATATGACTGTTTGTTTTTCAAATATAATATATTAGGTAACAAATTTTTTGACCAATAAAAAACAGCAAGTATGAACTATGGTAGCAGTATATATATACATATGGGGGCACAGATAATCTTTAGATATTCATACAATTTAAACTTTTCCCAAAAAAATATGAAAATCAACACAACAATAACCCATAAGTCTTTCCATAGCTTGACACATCAGCATTTTCAAGTTTTTAGGAGATGACATTTCAGCAAAAAAAAACACCAATAAAAATATTTCATTAATACAAGTCATCAATTTATTTTAACTTTTAAATTTAAATCCATTAAAAACTAAAATATTTTTTATTGTTAATTTTAGTTTTATTTTTTGGTCAAGCCCAAGCCCAAATAATAAATAACAGCAAATAAAAAAAAATTGTTTTATTTTTTTAACAAACCCAAATAATAAATAACAACAAATAATAAAATTAAATCTTTGTTTTATATTTTTGTCAAAGCGAAACTTAAATAATAAATAACAACAAAAAAAAAAATTTCTAACTATATGTTTGCTTGATAGAGATGTATATGATTGAAGAAAATGTAGACTCATCATCAACTATGCTTCCATAACAACAATGCAAAAAGTGTTATGTTATAAGAAGCTCACACATCAGCAAAAATTTGATCCAATAAAAACATAACAATAATACATATTATTAACACATTAATAAAATCAATTTACTATTTTGCTGACCCATTAAAAAGTCCAAAGTTTACAAAAAAAATGAAAGGCGAAAGCAAATGAGGAGAAACTCAGACCACCACAACTTGGAGATTCGCATTTCCACTGGTTACCGAGAACAAATTTTTTTGGGTTTGACGGAAATAGAGAATTTCTTAGTTTTGGTAGAAAAATGTGATTTTCAGTTTTGGTAAGAAAATATAGTTTTCCCGGTTATGGCGGAAAAAAACGAATTCTCGGGATTGGTGGCAAAATGTGAATTTTTAGTTTTAGTGAGAAATAAAAAATTTGATTTTGACAAGAAAATGTGAGGGAAATGCAACTTTTCAATTTTGAATAAAAAATACGATTTCTCGGTTTTGATAGAAAATGAAATTTTCCGGCTTTTGATGGATAATGTAATTTCTTGATTTTTGCGGAAAATTATAATTTGACAATTTTGGCAGAAAATGCAATTTCTCGGGTTGATAGAAAAACAAAATTTCTCGATTTTGGCGAGAATAAACAATTTCTTGGTTTAAATGGGAAATGCAGATTTTCAGTTTTTGACATATAATTTGATTTTTGGTTTTCGAGAGAAAATATAATTTTTTAGTTTTCATGGAAAACGCAATTTCTCGGGAGATAATGTAATTTTTGATTTTTGTGGAAAATTGTAGTTTATCAGTTTTGGTAGGAATGCGTGATTCTTGATTTGACGAGAAAAATATTTTTTTCTTGTTTTGGTGAGAATAGACGATTTTTCGATTTTTGCAAGAAAATAATTTTTGATGGAAAAATATTATTTTTTATTTTTGCAGGAAGATGGAATTTTTTGGTTTTGGTGAAAAAACTTGATTTCTCTGTTTTGACGGAAAACACAGGTTCTCGCGGAAAAATGTGATTTTTTGGTTTTTAAGGGAAAATGCAATTTCTTTGTTTTGGTAGGAAAATGAAATTTCAGGTTTGACGAGAAAATAAATTTTTTTTTTGGTTTTGGTAGGAATAGGCGATTTCTCAGTTTTATGGGAATTTTTTTTTTTTTATTTTGACGGAAAATACAATTTCTCGGTTTTTGTAAAAAGATAAAATTTATATGTGCTAAATTTTCAAGTTATAATATGTTTATAGTAACCAAAATTGAATTATTTAACTTCAATTAAATTGATATTTGAACATTTTAATAATTAATATGTGGTTTAAAACTAGTTCTTGCTACTTGACCCCCAAAAACAAAAACTCGTTCTTTCTTTATAGGTTTTATATTAAAAGCATTTTTTTTTATTTGTATGGGGTTTGTAATAATACAGAAAGTACAAAAAGTAAGGAAAGATAAAAAAGATAAAGAATTTGGTCAATATAAATCTAAAGAAATAGGAAACATATATTTTGCAATTAGGGGAATTAAATATATATGAAAACTTCTTAGAAGATTTGATTGTTTTTATAAGTCATACAAAACTAAACAAAAAATACTCTTTAAATATATTCCAAAATAAATAGCATAATATCTTACGGTATATGATTGTTTGTTTTTAAAATATAATATATTAGGTAACAAATCTTTTGACTCATAACAATCCTTTGACTAAAAAAAAACAGCAAGTATGAACTATGGTATCAGTATATATATATGGGGGCATAGATAAACTTTAGATAGTTATACAATTTAACTTTTCCCAAAAAATATCAAAATATAAATGAGGTGAACCGAAAGAAAATGGTTTCTATCAAGCATTTCTTCCTCCTGTTTATTTGCTTTAGTGCCCTCTTGACCTCAGGTTAAATTCTCTAACTCATTTTCATGATTGTATTATCATTCTTATATTTAAAATTATACGCCAAAAAGTGATTATATAGAAGAAAAAAATTTAAAAAAAGAGACCTGATGTAAGAGAAAATAATTACTAAATTGTTAATAGATTTATATTACCATGGCTAGCATTTATAATTATATTGGTGAATTCACATTGATATGCAGTTATGCATATTAGTTATTTCATTGATTCGAGATTTGAATACGAAAATTAGTTATAAGGATTTTACCGGGTTAAAATCCTGGAGTTCTTTAAATTACATATATATTTATTTTAATTTTACTTAAACTATAATAAGAAAGCTATATATAATTTGTTAACGAAAAATCTGTATTCATTTTGACAGGACTAGCGGGAGCATCTCCATCGGTTGATTGCAATCCCGATTTTACTAACAAAGATTGCGATAGACAATGTAAGAAGAATGGTAGTTCAGGAGGTCATTGTGGACCTGATTTAGCCGAACCACGTTTACAGATGTGTTTCTGCAATGATATTTAATTTAAATGGCTTAATAAAGCATAAAATTGATAATAATGAAAGTTTCGGATATGTATTATTCATCTGCATTTTAATAAATAATTTAATATCATCTTATACTCTTATTAATTATTAGGAAGGAAAAAGTCTTAGTTGCCTTTTTCACAAAAAAAACTATTTGATGTTATTAATAGAACGTGTCTATACTGTTTTCGCAGATCGGTGAGACACTGTGATTTTTGATGAACTTTTTAATTATCTTTTATGTAAAAGACATTAAATACACATTAAACTTTTTAATTGTTCTTTGACGTTAAAATAAAACCTCAACTGAAATGTTTTTTTAATTTAGGAGAAAAGAAAAAGAATGTTTATTTCAAACTTCAATAAGGGAAACATCATCTTTTAGCCTGAGACAAAAAAAAAATTAAGATCTTAGATAAAAGATAAGTATAATTGTTCTAAGCATTCGGCAAAACAAAAGAAAAGTTGATGTGATCATCGAAAAAATTAGTACAAAATAAAAAGGTTGTTGGGAGTATTGAGTATTTGACCCTCCAAACGTGAGGAGCATTAAAGTTTTTGTGTCACAAACCAAGATTTAAACCAATGGCGTAATTAATTAATGACGAAACGATGACAAAACGAGTCATCCTTAAATCGAATACACAAGGAGTCATTCAACGAAGCTACTGCTAAGAGTAGACAGGACTAGTAGTTGCGAACACACACAATAACTCGGCCTTTTCCAAGCTAAGTTTATTCATTTTTATAAAATAATTATAAATTATAATTTCTTTTTATAGAGATTCTAATCAATTTTTGTAGTACTAAAGATCCGAGAAAACGACGAAGCACCGATAAAGACAAGTTATCTAGTATTCCGAGTATTTGTTAATGATCAAAATGCATCGTTTCATTTGATCTTTTAACAAAAATGGTGAAGAGCCATGGAGAATTTGGTGTGGTTCACTATTTTAAAAGAAAAAAGGGCTGATTACATTTTATAAGATTTTAAACAAGTAAATACAGACAAGATTTTGCTTTTATTCCAATGAACAGAAAAGGTTTTGATCAAGTAATACATTACAGATCGTCACATCCCATGACATAGCAAAAGCACTTAATCTCATAAAAGGAAGGGGGTGACGTTATTTTGCATCTCTTACATTGTGTGGTTGAACCAGGGGATCAATGATTTTTCTCCATCCTCCAGAATCTAAGGGAGAACCAGCATCAGCTAATACAAAGCCATTAACGTAGAAGGTTGGTGTTCCATAAACCCCTCTTGAAGCGCTATACTGCAACACATTAAGCAAAAAAAAACATAATATCAACTGTACTTTGTTTTCAGCCAGGTAACATTAAGCAAAAAAGCCATTAACGGCCATTGTCTTCTATTTCTCTTTCGTTACTCATTATTTTGTGTAAGGCACTACATTATGAGATGATGACTATGCAGCCAATGTCCCTTATCATTTGATCTACAAGCCATTTTAGCTGCTGAACTAGTGAAAGGTGTTTGAAAGAGGTAAGTAAGCTGAAGGAATTACCTTAAAGGAAAGCCTGGTTGCACGATCCGTTTTTGCGTCGGTGAAGCCCGATTTGAGGACATGTTGGTATGAGTTTCCCAACGTGGCTGTTCCAAGCTTGACTATTTTGTCCACAATCTCAGGTTTTGACAGTAGTTGTGTTTGCGCGTTGTGGAACAATGCCTGTCGTCAATAAACAGTCTCGGTGAACCATATAAACATTACATATCAACGATCACTGGATAGATGCAGACAAAACAATAACCAGAAGCAGCTACAGGTAGATTCACGCATGTATGCATATATATATATTGGTAAGATTTTAGCTTTTTATTAGCACTGAACAAACCTGATGCTCAAAGAACTCCTCCAATAATCTGAAAGTAGCATTTGAGTGTAAGGTATTCACAATGTGCAAGGCCCGAGAAGCTGCATACGCATTGTCATGGTACCTGCAAAATCCAAAGAGAACCGAAACATATTCATCACAAGATTAAACATTTGACAAATCACAAACCTCTATCATTCATATCTTCATGGAACAATCATAACTCAGGTAAGGAAACATGAAGAAGAAAAAAACACAGGACTTTTCCAAAGCTACTTGGTGATTGATCATGATAGTTAGAATCAATCAATCAATACAGGAGTCAGGGTACTAAAATGGCATGTGGTGGCTTCAGGTTCAGGAGATTTTTTCTGCCGATTTCAATTTGGGCTCAGAAAACGGAAAACTGAAGGCGAAAACAAATTTATACAGGGGGAAGAGAAATTAGAGTACTGACGGTAAAGGAAGGAGGTGAAGAGTAAGGGCAACGCGAGATCCATAGTGTTCAAGAGCTTGCTTCAGTATCGGCCAAGAGTCTCTGCTGTCCGGGCATACCGGGTCAAAAAACGCCTCGATTAGTATAGCATCCGGGTCAGAACGATGACCCGGTCGGTAAACGAAACCATCGGGCCTCGCCGGCGGCAATACCTGCGAGCGTACTTGCGTCCCGAAGACGAGGACGAGGAACAGCAAAATCGTTCGAATCATTTTCTCGCTCACACTCTTTGTCTCTTCCCAGGATCGCTGGGAGTTACTAAGCCAGAGACGGTGAATGTAAGCAACGGCTACGTTTGCTCGGAAAGATAAGCGATGTGCCATTTATCTCCAACCGTTAGATTTAATTTGTGCTGACGTGGCAGAATCTCTGGCAATCGTGGAATCGTAAGGACTTTATTTGGCCTTTAATAGTAAATATCCGTAAGTAAGAGCCTGTCTGAAAACAATTAATAAAATTTGAGGATCGAGAAAACAAATATTAGAAAAGTAAAAATAATTGAGATGTGGTTCAACCACGTTTCACATAGAAGATCCCGCATAAACCATCATGACTCTCTCTCTCTCTCGTCTCTGCGCTCAAAATTCGAATCGAACCGTTTCCAGGTACGAGTCTTGTTGATCAGATCTTCTTTACAATTCGATTGCGTTTCATTCCTCTCTCTCAAGTTCTTTCACTCTCACTGGATTTTCTCCATCGGAGTTTGTACGATTGAATCGAAATTTCCCGTTGGTTTTCGTTTTTTCATGTCGTTCGTTGATTGCTTTCAGGAAGGATTGTCGAGTCGCTTGGGTTTCATTTGGTTTGAATTTTGATCTGTGGAAATGGGAGCGAATGATATGGACATGGAAGAAGGGACTCTAGAGATCGGCATGGGTAAGTCACCAATCATGGATCACACACAGTATTGAGCTTTAGTATTCGATTATATCTCTGAATAAGCCTTGAAGTTAGAACTCCTCGTGAACGTTTGCTCTCTCTGATTTTAGTGATTTTGTTTGTACTTCTTCCTTTGTTTTTCGATGGACTCTGCATTTTTTGTTAAGCATATTGTATCTTTACCAAAGAATCTTTTGAATCGCAGAGTACAGAACTGTTTCTGGTGTTGCTGGACCATTGGTCATTCTTGACAAAGTGAAGGTAGGAACATCATTTGATCAACAAGCCATGCTAAGTTCTCTTTGCGAGGGAGACATAACTGACTTGCACTTGTAATGAATCAGGGTCCAAAGTACCAGGAGATTGTCAATATTCGCTTAGGAGATGGATCAACGAGACGTGGTCAGGTTCTGGAAGTCGACGGCGAGAAAGCAGTTGTGCAGGTCACTTTCTCAATATTGAATTTATGCATATAAGCACCGTAGTATGTAGGTCACTTTCTCAATGACTCACACTCGTCTCTTTAAGTGTTTCTCAGGTTTTTGAAGGAACTTCTGGAATTGACAACAAGTTTACCACCGTGCAGTTCACAGGAGAGGTAACTTGTTGATTTTTCTTGCTTCCTGTTTAGGATTTTTTTTAACCTTCTTTCTGTAACCGGTATGTGTTATGTTTCAGGTTTTGAAAACACCTGTATCAATGGACATGCTTGGTCGCATATTTAACGGTTCAGGAAAGCCTATTGATAATGGCCCTCCTATTTTGCCAGAGGCATACCTTGATATTTCAGGTGAGCATCAAATAGGATGATTGCTCCAGTGAGGGATCATTGACGTGATTTTCTGTCTATGTGCTGTATAATATAATGTTTTGAGTGTATTATAATGATAGGGAGTTCCATTAACCCCAGTGAAAGAACGTATCCCGAAGAGATGATACAAACAGGGATTTCGACCATCGATGTCATGAATTCCATTGCTCGTGGACAGAAGATTCCTCTATTCTCTGCTGCTGGTCTTCCTCATAACGAAATCGCTGCTCAGATCTGTCGTCAGGCTGGTCTTGTCAAGCGTTTGGAAAAGACTGCTGATCTACTTGAGGTACTACTTTGTAATCACTACCACCACAAATATATCTTTTTTATTTCTCTGTAATCAGAAGACCATAAAGCACTTATTTGAGTTGTAACTGTCTCTACATTTGTGTTGGTGAATGTTTGGTTTGGTACATCAAAGGCCTTCTACTTGCGATTCTCTTTTCTCTTAAAAGAAAATTCAGTTGTCAAAAATTGAATGTCCTTGTTTGTATATATTATTACACTTTAGTATTGTCTGTCTAATTATTGAAATTTTCCCGTCTTGTGTTTTTTCCAGGATCATGGAGAGGACAATTTTGCGATTGTGTTTGCAGCTATGGGTGTGAACATGGAGACAGCTCAGTTCTTCAAGCGAGATTTTGAAGAAAACGGATCAATGGAGAGAGTTACCCTTTTCCTCAACCTGGTAAAATTTACTAGCTCATTGCTTTTGTATTGTATATACTTATTATGTACTTTTTTTACCTTAAAATAGATTGACCTTCTATTATTCACAACAGGCCAATGACCCCACCATTGAGAGAATCATCACTCCTCGAATTGCCCTCACAACAGCAGAATATCTGGCTTATGAATGCGGGAAACACGTCCTCGTTATCTTGACGGATATGAGTTCCTATGCTGATGCTCTTCGTGAGGTAAAATGAAACTTCAACATAGTAGTGTTCACTATATTTCATACCCTTTTTTTATGAAAAAAAATTGATTATAGGATTGAGAGAAACTGTAGGTTTCCGCTGCCCGAGAAGAAGTCCCGGGAAGACGTGGATATCCAGGTTATATGTACACTGATCTTGCAACTATCTATGAACGTGCTGGGCGTATCGAAGGAAGAAAAGGTTCCATCACCCAAATCCCAATCCTCACTATGCCCAACGATGGTAAAAAAAAACAATCATATTCCTAAAACAATCCCAAGATGTGTATTTTATCACTTGAGCAGCCTCAATACTTACTCATTGTTGTTTTGTTAAAAAAAAATCAGACATCACGCATCCTACTCCGGATCTTACTGGTTACATTACTGAAGGTCAGATATATATCGATAGGCAACTTCACAACCGACAGGTAATAATAACCCCTCGAAGCCCTGATCTTACTTGGTTTTGCTTATATTATATGATTGGACTCTGTATTAAATTTCTCACTGTTTTCTTCACTAAAAACAGATATATCCACCAATCAACGTTCTTCCATCTCTTTCTCGTTTGATGAAGGTTAGAAACTAACTCCTTTTTGATTTCATACTCATCACATTCTCTCTCTCTTTATCCTACGATTTACTTATCAGTTTACTCGTCCTGTTTAGAGTGCTATTGGCGAGGGCATGACTCGGAAAGACCATTCCGATGTGTCGAACCAGCTCTATGCAAACTATGCAATCGGAAAAGATGTGCAAGCCATGAAAGCTGTTGTTGGAGAAGAAGCACTTTCTTCAGAGGATCTGCTTTACCTAGAGTTCTTGGATAAGTTTGAGAGGAAGTTTGTGATGCAAGGTGCTTATGACACACGCAACATTTTCCAGTCGCTGGACTTGGCTTGGACACTGCTCCGTATCTTCCCGCGCGAGCTTCTTCACCGTATCCCTGCAAAGACACTTGACCAATTCTACAGCCGCGACTCAACAACGAGCTAAGATGAGAGAACTACACTTGATTTGTTTCCTTCTCAGGCAAGGTAATGGAGCTATATCGTAACGGAAACTCTTTTGAGAGGGAAACAAGTGTGAATTTTGTGATGTATTGTTTTTGTGTTTATATAGAGAGGAAACAAAAAAAGGCTATTTATACTATAAGTATCTCCACTCTGGTGAGAGTGATATCTTCTTCTTTTATGTTATGTAATTTGTTGAAACTGAAAATAATAATCGATAAAACAATGTCGTATCTTCCTTTCACTTCCATGTATTTCTACGCAAAATTCCATGCAAATCTTCTGAGATTGGTTAAGAATTAGGCTTACGGTCAATACATGAAGACCATTCGTAGGGAATCATAGTCAACAGTTATGTCAAAGTACTGAAATTGTTCGACTGAGACGAATGACGTTTTTACCCGAATCCATGAATTTAAATGTCAGTAGTTGTGAAAGTGATCATGATGACAAGATAGACCACCAAAATAAAGGAATCAATGAGATAATTGAATCGAATCGAATCGAGTTTTGTCCGTTTTCCAATCAATCGCAATCTCCGTTATCTATTTAATATAAAAAAATATCTAACTATTTGCTACTTTAAGATTACGCGTTGATTATTATTTTTTTTCTTAGCAAGAAGAGAACCTATAGTGACCCTCTTCATGGGGACACATTGAGGACAAATGATACCATAACCTTCCCGAAACGCAAAAGCAAAGCACCCCATAAATCTATTCAAGCCAACATTTTGCGTCTGCTTAATTTCATATATTCCCTTTATTTACAAAAAATCTTTGAAAAAAGGGACAACAAAAAAAGAAAAGAAAAATCACGGAATAAGACCAGAAGACCGCTCTACTTTCAGATGCTAAAAAAACCCAATAAAGCGAACAAAAACCAGAGAAACAAAAACATTCGAACAAAACATTTTTTCAAAAACCACATAATGGGATTCTGCTTCTCCAAATCTCAAACACATGAGATCCCAATCTCTTCTTCTTCCGACTCTAGCCCTCGTCATCGTTACCAACCTCTCCCCAAACAAACCATTCCTCAAGGACAAACCAGTAATTTCCCCATCACTCCCAAACCCAAACCACCACCTCCTCAGCATCCTCACCCGTCTTCCTCCTCCGGTACGCAAATCGGTCCAATCCTTAACCGGCCAATGATCGACCTCTCAGCTCTCTACGACCTCCACAAAGAACTCGGCCGTGGCCAATTCGGAATCACATACCGGTGTACGGACAAATCCAACGGCCGAGAATACGCCTGCAAATCTATCTCCAAACGCAAACTCATCCGTCGAAAAGACATCGAAGACGTGAGGCGCGAGGTCATGATCTTACAGCACCTCACTGGTCAACCAAACATCGTCGAGTTTCGAGGTGCGTACGAGGACAAGGACAATCTCCATTTAGTCATGGAGCTCTGTTCTGGAGGCGAGCTCTTCGATCGTATCATCAAGAAAGGGAGTTACTCCGAGAAAGAAGCTGCTAATATCTTCAGACAGATCGTTAATGTCGTTCATGTTTGTCATTTCATGGGTGTTGTTCATAGAGACTTGAAGCCTGAGAATTTCTTGCTTGTTAGTACGGAGGAAGATTCCGCCATTAAAGCCACTGATTTTGGACTCTCTGTTTACATCGAAGAAGGTAAATATTTCAAAATTTTCTTTGATGTTCAAGATTTGTATTTGTTAAACGTGTTCAGGACATAAACTAATGTGTTTGAACTAGTGCTAAAATCAAGAAAAGACAGCGACATTGTATCGCCGTGTGGGGTCAATATAGTGTGACACCAAGTCAACTTCGAAAACGACTTGGGTCAACCAGCGTCAAGTGATGCTTGCCCCACAAGATTTAAAAATGGAATAAACATTAATCCCAAAAAGTTAAAACAAACAGAAAGCAATTTTAATGGGACAATTCTGTCTTTTTCAAGATATTGATTTAGCACCATAAATCAAAAAACACTTGTAACTTGATAGCTGTAGTATGATAGTTTTTGTTTACAAATCCATATATATATGATTGTTTTTTTTTATTTGTGTAGGTAAAGTGTATAGAGATATAGTCGGTAGTGCATACTACGTTGCACCTGAAGTATTACATCGAAACTACGGGAAAGAGATCGATGTTTGGAGCGCTGGTGTCATGCTTTACATTCTTCTAAGCGGTGTTCCTCCGTTTTGGGGCGGTATGTCAAAAACATTTTGAATCCAAAGTCTATGATCACATACTCATCTTTAAAGATCGTTTCAAGCATGAGATAGTTGATGAAAAAAACGGTACTGTATAATGTTGTTTTAGAGACGGAGAAGACTATATTTGAGGCGATCTTAGAAGGAAAACTGGATCTTGAAAGTTCTCCGTGGCCTACTATATCGGAAAGTGCAAAAGATTTGATAAGAAGGATGTTGGCAAGAGATCCTAAAAAACGGATTACCGCAGCTGAAGCACTTGGTACGTTTTTGCAATGTGTCTACATTTGTTAACATGCTTATACTGACTAACTAACTAAACCGTTCTTTGGTTGCGGCAAAAAAAACAGAGCATCCATGGTTGACAGACAGCAAAATTTCAGATAAACCAATCGATAGTGCTGTTCTTATCAGGATGAAGCAGTTCCGAGCAATGAACAAGCTCAAGAAACTTGCCTTGAAGGTAAAGTAAATGATTTTGCATCATCAAAGATGATTTCAAGATTGATCAAAACAAAACGCATCTTATAACTTTTTTTTTGGGGGGGTTAAAGGTGATAGCTGAAAATCTATCAGAAGAAGAGATTAAGGGATTAAAGCAAATGTTTAAGAACATGGATACAGATGGAAGTGGCACCATCACTTTTGATGAGCTTAGAAACGGGTTACATCGTCTTGGATCTAAGCTTACGGAATCTGAAATCAAACAACTCATGGAAGCTGTAAGAAAAAAGAAATATTGGCTGATTAAAACCAAGAAAATCTGTAAAAACCTAAGTTTTTGGTCGTGCATAAATAGGCTGATGTGGACAAAAGCGGGACGATTGATTACATCGAGTTTATAACTGCTACAATGCATCGCCATAGATTGGAGAAAGAAGAGCATTTGATAGAAGCATTCAAATTTTTCGACAAAGACAGAAGCGGGTTTGATACTATATTTTTCCTATATTGTCACAACTATATAACAAAGATCAATTTGTCATATATCGTATTCTTTTTTATGTTATTTATCAGGTTTATCACAAGGGACGAGCTTAAACATTCCATGACTCAGTATGGCATGGGTGATGATGAGACCATAGATGAAGTTATCAATGATGTCGATACCGACAATGTAAGAAAAAACATTTACGTTTTGTCTGCGAAGAATACGTTTATAGTGATGATTAATTAATTAACAATTAATAATGATGATGATGGTGATTACTAGGATGGGAGAATAAACTACGAAGAATTTGTGGCGATGATGACGAAGGGAACTACAGATTCAGATGCGAAGCTGATCAGATGATTCATTGGAATACAATTACGGATGCTTTGCTTCTACTATTAATAAAGTAAACCTAATAAACACGAATGTAATGAGCATCAATGCTTCCTTGTATTTTTTTCTTTCATTTTTAGATGTTTAAATGATTTGTTTGCTTTGTACCTGCGTGAGAGTGAGAAAGGAAATCCCATAAAAATCTCCAACTATTTCTATTTTCCCTAGAATAAATCTCCAGTACCTGCAAATCTTAAACAGAAGTTAGTTAGTCTCAGTTACTTTTGTTAACGATATCCCAAACTCCGGTAAAAATCTTCCGTTACGTTTTAACGGAACGTTTAAGCTCCGTTTAAACTCTTCTGTTACTTTTTAACGGACCGTGTAAACTCCGTTAAACGTCTGGATCGTTAATTGTTTTCTTTTTCCGATATGAGCGAGAAAAACTGAAATCCAGAAGATAAAAAGGGGAAAAGTCAAAAGCGGAAAATCAAGTTATAGTTTATCGATCGAAGGAAAGTAAAGCAAAGTTTTGAAGGGATTCCTTATTAAAAAAAAACTTTGGAGTTTCGAAAAGAGAGGAATAAGCGTAGATTGACGAATGTGAGATGACGTTGATTTGAGATTACATAACGAATGTGTGTTGAATACGAATTTTGACCTAAATCGAGTCTTTTCAATTTCAGCAACATTATTCCCTTGTTGTGTTTCAAAAGTTGTGAATGATTCGATTTGCACAAGTCGAGTATGCTCTTCGAGATTTCAGGGGTTTGAATCTGGTTTTAGATCTCGATTTCATTTGCCGCGACGTTAGTGTTCTTCATTTTGCTTCAATTCTGAATTTTAGAAATTCAGTTCTGTTTTAATTCTCGTTCCGATTTTGGTGTTTGAAAACTCATCACTGTGAATCCAAACTTCGTAGCATAGCTCGATAAAAAATCTTTTAACGAAGTAAACGGAGGGTTATGTTTTAAACACGTGATCAAAATTCATCGTCGGTCATAACAGACTTAAATCGTCGGTCATAAGGGAGGTAAAACGTCCATCTAAACGGAGTTAATTGTCCGTCTAAACGGAGTTAATTGTCCGTCTAAACGGCTCGTTTATGGAAGTAACGTCGTGCAAAGATACGGGTACTGACAATTAGTTAAAAAGCCTTTTACGGCGCAATATGAAATCCATCGACCATTATTAGCTGCGTTATTAAAGTTTCAACGGCCTTAAATGAAAAGTCAAAACCCTCTATTCTATATGGAGGCTTTCGTTCTGGATTTGAGCGAAGCCTAAAAGGCTAAAAAAAACCAGAGCAAAACGGAATTTTGAAGAAGACGATGCTCTCCATTTCTCAGGTGCCGAGTTTCTCGTTAACCTCCGTGAAATCTCTTCGCTCTCCTTCTTATTCGTCTTCTTCTGTTTCCGTCTTCTTTTCCTTCTTCCCCAGAGTTTCGAGATTCGTCAGAGCAAGTTCTGGATTCCCCAATTTGGCCGAGTGTCGTACACCGGAGAGCATCCCGAGAGTCAACAACGCCGGCCTCAAACTCGAGGAGACAGTCGACGGCTTGAAAGGGAAGATTCGGCTTGATTCGTGGATCTCTTCTCGTGTCCATGGCGTAAGCCGAGCTCGCGTACAGTCCAGTATTCGTCTGGGGCTCGTTAGCGTCAATGGTCGCGTCGTTGATAAGGTTAGTCTTCGGATTCATCTCTTCGAAATTTATAGTTTCGTCTCTTCTCAAACAAGTTTCTCTCTCTTTCTCTACAGGTTTCGCACAATGTAAAAGCTGGCGATGAGGTCAATTGTACGATATCAGAGCTTCAACCATTAAAAGCTGAAGCTGAAGACATACCATTGGATATAGTTTATGAAGATAAGCACCTTCTCGTCGTTAACAAACCGCCGCATATGGTAATCGCATTTTTTATCAATACGAAGATAATCATTTGGAATCACCACTAGGATTAGAAATTGCCAGTAGTAAGAATCTTCTCTCTCTGATGTTTAGGTTGTTCATCCTGCGCCTGGAAACCCTACTGGTACACTAGTTAATGGCATACTTCACCATTGCAGCCTTCCCTGTGTTGCTTATTCAAACCCAGAGGATGATTCCGATGAAGAGACTTTTTCAGATGGTGAAGAGATGACCTCTTCTAGTTCATTAGCCGCTGCGTCTGTTCGTCCAGGTATTGTTCATAGGCTGGATAAAGGGACAAGTGGATTGCTCGTTGTAGCCAAGGTTTGCGTTTTTTCTCATCTTCTTTTGGTGGCTGCTTTAAGAACTGCTTCTAGCTTCTTCTGAATATTAACGAAAAGTGTAATGGCAGGACGAACATTCCCATGCTCATTTAGCAGAACAGTTCAAGCTACACACAATTGAGAGAGTGTACATAAGTCTTACATCTGGAGTTCCTTCTCCATCTCAGGGGCGTATTGATATACCAATTGGTCGTGATCCGAATAATCGGATCCGTATGGCTGCTATACCTGGATCATTAAGCCGTGGAAAGGCCCGCCATGCTGCTAGTAGGTGATTGAGCAGTCTTTTACAAGTGCACCAAGCACTCTTAACACTGCATCTGTTCTTCAAAATTCTCATGAGAAAAGTCTATCAAGAATTGTAAACTGTTACTGAAAATTCCTCATCCATTTATCTTCTCTGCTGTCTTAGGTATAAGGTAATTGAAACACTCGCTGGAGGCGGCTCTGCATTGGTTGAGTGGAGACTAGAAACAGGACGTACCCATCAGGTACTCTCTCCGAACGAAGGAAAAACTGTTTCTTTATTGTTTCACAACGTCTATATTGCTGATAGTACTGCCTGAGTTTCATCAATATGAACCAGCTGCTTCGAACTTGAGATGTCTAAATGAATAGCCCTATCTGTTCATCTTGATTTGGAGTAGATACGTGCTCATGCAAAGTATATGGGAGTTCCTCTATTGGGTGACGAAGTGTATGGTGGAACGAAAAGCGTGGCCCTTTCGCTTCTGCAGAAAAAAGTGTCCCGCAGTGATCAAGAACAGATCCTCGAGCTGGTTTCCAGAATGGATAGGCCTTGCCTTCATGCTATAGTTCTAGGGTGAGAGAAGTCGAATCTCAAATCTTATATATATTCTCGATTCAGAAATTAGGAGAAGAAGCGGCTACTAAATGCTAATAATTCAACTCTGTTATTGTACATAGCTTTGAACATCCGTGCACCGGGGAGGTTGTGAAGTTTTCATGTCCACCGCCTTCGGATCTTGCAGAGATAGTAGGCTTGCTTCGTAGAAGCGGGAGAGAAAAAGTAACACAACTCTCTGCTTTCTTACTAACCTCATGCCTTTGGGAATTCTGTTTTCGTTACTAAGATTTTAGTTATGCTGAAACCTCTTTTTAGTCTTCGTCATACTTTTTGCAGGTGGAATAGTCTCTCGGACATTGGTGGTTTACTTCCTTCCGCACGGCCACTGATTGTACGGAGCAGAGGATTTCAATTACATCACTCAAATGGCATCGATCCCAAAAAAAAAAAAAAATACAAAACGTGTTTTAAAGTGATCCTCAAATTTAAGCAATGATATATAGAACCAGTTAACGATGATTTCTAGATTCAGGAATTGTAAATGATTCACTCTCTCGTTTACTTTTGAATTGTTCAGCCATACCTGATTTTATGTAGTCTCTAGAATTTGCGTTCTGACATTACTCTGAAGTTCCTTTTACAAAGATATAAGAACAAACCAAGTCCCCAATCAATTAGTTGAACCTGGTCAGATCATTTACTTGTTTATACTCATCAAAGACAAACTAACATGTCTAACACACAGTTAAATCTGATTAAGCGAGAAAGAAAACAACAAAATAAGAACAAGAATTCGGCATTCAGCTTAAAAGTTTAAACATTCGTGTCACTGTTGATCGCCTCGACGTTTTAACTCGATCATCTCCTTTTGCTTCTCCGCGAGCTTATCTAATGCAGACGAAACGGCGTCGCTTCCACCGATCAGCAGCCGCGTGATAACCTCCGGATCCGTCTCAAATCGCGCCGCCTCGAACTCCTTCCTGGCGTTCTCTCTCAGCACGTCCCTCCACAGGATCCCCCTCCTATCAGTCCACATGAAGAACCGAGTCGCGCGTAATATGTCTCGGTACAAACTCAGAGCCTCCCTGCGCGTGCTCGTCAGACGCCGCCTGTTGAGAAACTCGGCCTCGTCGTCGTTGATTAGTGGTTTCTCTTTCTTCGCCAGATGTCTATCGAGGAGCTCCTCCATCGTGTCCGGACCTTCGTGCAGGAGCCGAATCGACGGTACGGCGTCGCTCCGAGATATCCGATCTAGACGACCTGACAGATTCCGCCATTTCTGAAGCTTCGCAGCCATCATCTCTCCCACATTGAGAAATTTCGTCGTCTTCGAGTTACAACATCATTCCCCGATAGCTACCTGGGCTCCAAAGGCTAAAACTTAATTTAAATGGGTGGGCTTAGTTTTATGGCTATATGGGCCCATTTATAGCCCATACACACATGAATTAATTGCCTACGCTAACAGAGGATGATTTACTCTTTTTTTTCTGATTTCTGCTGGTTCTATCAAGCTCCTCCACTTCTCCCTCTTTTTTTACAGTTATGACATAAAGTTTTCATGTCCCGACAGAACCTAACGATACAACAACTCTCGCATGTTCATTTGCATTCTTCTCATCAAAAGGACACACACACAGAACAAAGATCAATGTCAAACAGACTGTTTTAAAGATAATATTATGCATAAGAAGACCTTCGCACGTTCATGTGCATTCTTCTCATCAAGAGGACACACACAAAGACCAAACAACAATGTCAAACAGACTATTTTTAAGATAAGTGTGTGTATAAGAAGACTCATTTTGAGAGATGATAAGCCTTATGGATGGGTGTAAAGAAAAGATGACAACTCTTAAAAAGTGTGTCACAAACTCAGCGAGGAAAAGACAGGAAAGCTCTTTGAAAATATGTCTCAATCAAGAACTCGAGCCTAAAGCACAAATGATGACCAAAGTTCCTATCTGCAGAGTCATAGCATCGCATAGTGTGAAGCTACTTGCACGAATGGTAGCGAAATCTTACACACCAATTCTTAATGGCCTTGCATGTCCAACATCTCATCGAGTCCCTTAACCCTCTCTAAAGCTTCACTGATCAGATACCGAATCTTTTGTTTGTCGTCGCAGTCTCTGTTCTTTTCCATCTCTTGCCTAATCGTCTGTTTCAACTCCCCTACAAGAAAAAAAAAATAAACACACCACAAAACCAATCAAAGCTCCATCATGAAGTTTTGATCTTCAACTACAAAAACTAATGAAAAACTATGTGTGGACTCCCCCAAAGTCCCTCCACTACATATGAATTTCTAAAAATTCCCTTTCCAGAATGTTAAGCAAGAACCTACCCAAAAACGCTAGATTTCAAAAGGGGATCTTCTCGAAATTTCAATATTTTTTCGAATCGATTGGATCCATGGTGAACGCTACTGGTAATAAAAAATCGTTTTAAGTAATAGGAAATGAAGTTGCTAACCTCTAACATGAATAGGAGCTCTCTGAGCTATCTTCAACGCTTGTCGGTATACTGTAAGCACTCGAGCACGAAGAATAAAGCTCTGCAAATCTAAGGAATGAACCATAACAAAAGCCACACCTATTGAAGTGTGAATTTACGCTTGGAGAAGGATCGAGCAGAGAGAGTAATCGATAAGCAATCTCGGTGTGTCGGAAACTCGGAATAAAGAAAGGAATGGAGTTCAGGGAATTAAAATAACAATTAACGACGTAAAACGTCAAAGTAAACGGAGTTTTAATGTCCGTTTTAACGGAGTTTTACCGTCCGTTTAAACGGTTGTTTCATTAAAGTAAACGTCGTGCAAAGACGCTGTTATTTTGAAGGGGTGGTATTTGATGATTTAATTTGATAGAATGTATAAGAATTCAAAAATAATTAATTTTTAAGTAATTTAAAGTATTTTGTAGGAATTTAAACTAATTCTATCAAAATCCTAGTATAAATGGTAGGAATTGGTTCTTAACAATTTTTAGGTAAGATTCTATTAAATTCCTTCCAAATGATAATACAATCAAAACTATTACAAAATTGAATAATACAGATATTTAATAGAATTAAAAAATTAGTATATTGAATAACAATGATATTTAAAAGATTTTGAAAGAATTAATGAAAACACTTAATCTAATAACACAAGTATTTAAAGGAATTGATAAAATATATCATTGAATAACACTGATATTTAATGGAAACTTCAATTCAATTCTTTTCAATTCAATCCAAATTTTAAATCCAATACCCCCACTTTAATATTTTTATTGATTGTTTATAAATTTTTAGGTGCATAATGTTTTTTATTCAATTGTAGGGATATATAATTTTTGTAAATTAACAAATTAACAAATTTTCATACATTTTCTATTCATTTTTAAGGTGTTCAGATTTATTAGTTTTTCATTAATATATTTATTATGTAATTTTTGATAATGTCAAAAATATATTTAAAAATATAATATTTTCATCTTTGTATTAGTCTACTTCTTCTATTCATAATAGTTTTTCTTAGAAAACATTTTTGCAATTATCATATAATCTTTCTCTAGTGGTTTTTACATTTTAGATAAGAAATGTAGTGAACATACAATATGTCTTATACACATAAATCTAATTGTATTTTCACACTCCGTGGAAGAATGGCAAAACCTTAAATATGGCATCTTCTTGTTATATTTGTTTATGTGACAGTTTCTTTGGCACGATGGTTGAGATCGAGTCCCTAGCTGCAGTACAAACTCCAGTTGTGTTTGTGTTTTTTATGCTTTTTGTAAAGAGACATATAATTAAGTAAAACATTGCCTAGCCCAAGCCGTTCTTCGTGACTGTTGTTTTACTTTGTTGAACAAATAGAAACGGTTAATTAATTTCAGTGAGTAATAGAGGATAAGTCTGCTTACATTTGGCGGTCGCTGAGTTTGAAGATGAAGTAATTAGTAAATTATAATAACACTGATTTTTCACGTAAATAATGAAAAATTATAGTACTTACAAACACATGTAACCGACCGAGAATGCGTATGAAAAATTATACTTACAAACAGTAGAAACAAAACCTTGCTTTGGAATTAAAACATAGTAACAAACCACACTATAATTGTAATTACCACACGCGCATACAAAGGCATCACATTTCACAAACCGGATCCGACCCAATCCAGTTCGAATTTATTCATCAAGTTCTTGAAACGATCCGGGCTTTTAGAGAATTCTTCATCACGACCATAAACGCGTAAGTCTCAGTTGGGTCGGGTGGAGAGTCCGGAACCGGGATCCATTTAAACGAATGGATCATCCTAGCAAGCATCAAGTTGATGTGTAGAATCCCCAAAGACCAAGCCGGGCAGATCCGACGGCCCGCACCAAAAGGTATCATTGTAACGCCACGTGTTCCCGTCCAGTCAGCATTAACACCGTCCCCACCGGCTAAAAACCTCTCGGGTCGAAACTTACCCGGATCCGACCAAATATCGGGGTTCTGAGTAACCCAAGCAGTGTAAAATTCTACATATGCCCCTGCCGGAATAGCATACCCTCCAAGCTCCGTATCTTTCACGGCAGCGTGAGAGAGTAGAAAATGCGTCGGTGGATTTCGCCGGAGAGTCTCTTTCACAATAGCCTCCAAGTAAGGCATTTTCGCCACGTCATCCTCTTCAACGACGCCGTTTTTGCCGACAACTCCAACAACTTCCTCGTACAGCTTCTCTTGAATATTTAGGTCGGTCACTAGATGAAGTAACGCCCATTCAAGCGTAGTTGCGCTCGAGTCCGTACCGGCCGAGACAATCTCCGAGCATAAAGTCACAAGCTCTTCATCTCCGAGCTCGCCGCCTCTCTCGACCGGCTTCAAACCAAACAAAGAATCCACATAAGCCGTACCAATCGGACTCACCATCTCTTCGTTAGGACTCTCCTTTGCGTCAACAAACGCACGACGGTTTCTAATCAACGGTACAAGACACCTGAGCTGCGTCTTCCTTAGCTTTCTCGCTTCTCTAACTTTACGCCGAAACAACGGAGTTAAAACCGGTAAGAAGTCCGGTAAAGTCGGAGAAGTTATAAGCGTAATTTCCTTAAGGACATTATCTATCTTCTTAATCTTTTCCTCGCTGATCTTGGCACCGAAACAAAGACATATCAAGATGCTACAAATCGTTAGCCTGCATTGACTCATAACCTCGACGTAACCTTTCTCAATACTCTCCGTTTTAATTCTCTTCGTATGATTTGCCATAGCCCAAGTCCTTATCCACGAACACTGCTTCACTCTAGTCGGGGTCACGACCTCTGTCACAAAGTTCCGCCTCAGAGTCCGCCACAAAGAGCCGTACTCCGCCGAGTTTATAGTGCATTTTCCGACACTAAACATGAGCCGGATGGGCCAGTCCCGAGGCCGGGAAGCGAAAGTGGAGCCGCGTTGGACTAGAGCCTCGTGGATGAGTTTTTCGTCTGAGATGATAATCATCGTACGTTGTCCCATTTGCATGGTGAATATCGGACCGTACTTTTTACGTAGCTCACGCATCAGGAAGACGAAATGCTGACGTTCGGAAATGACTTGGAGTAGGTTTCCAACTAGAGGCCACCCTTTCGGTCCCGGCGGAATGTTCATACGACATTGGCTGCTTCTCGCGGAGGAGTAACGGCGCCACCATAGGTTGATGAAATAAAGAGCGAACAAGGTTATAATCACATTAGTAAGATCCATATTTGTTTGCTATTTGAGGGAGATGGGAGAGATTTAGGGTTCTTATATAGAGAAAGTGCGTATATTGAATCTGGCCACATGAATTAAGAAGACTGGTAGATGGAGTTTATGGTGAGGAGAGATTTAGGGTTCTTAGAACATTTCCAACTGAGATATCCCATTATGTATCTCATCGTTGAAAATATTAATAAATGAAAAATGTGGAAAAAAAACTAGATATAATTTTCCCTCGATCGAGTGACCATGGGAGACGTCTCTTACTATTTAAGAGACTCATTTATATATGTGACATTATGTTATTAGTATTAAATTATATTAATCTAAAATCTATAAGATACGTTATGTAGGATATCTCTTGTTGGAGATGATTATATAGAGAAAATGCATATTGAAGTTAACCTAACGAGTAATTGGTCTTACCAACCATCTATATGCAATCACTTCTCACAATATATAGAATTGGTATATGGTTGAGTTTATGATTAGATTTTAATTAACATAATTAATTAATTGTTAGTCATCATTTAGCATGTGTGAAAGCTTCTAAAAAAAATTAAAAAATGATTTTTGTTACTAGAATAATTTTTAAAAACTAACCTCATATTTATAAATACTTGCAGTGATGTTATATTATTGATATATCATCATCATAGAGCTTATCAAAAAACTTTTATAAACAAAATTAAGTTCTTACATTTGTCGGATTATGTTCTACTTTATTTTTTGTTTATTTTACATTTAGTAAAGATAGGTTATAGAAGATCAACTGCATGTTATGTGTATGTGCAGTTAATATAAGCGTTTCACTCCAAATTTAAATTTTAATCGTACAGATATTTTCTAGCATAAATTGTTTACATTCTGATTTATGATTAGAACGCATGTTGAGCGTAAGAACCAATAGATTAGCAAGACACGCACAAATATGAAATTGATACCACAGAAGCAAATAAGTCGATTGATTATTAAATGGTCCCAACTACGGGAATCCCTCCTAACACCATCGCAGTATTAACTCAGAAAACAAATAACAAAATTAATTAGGTAGCTATTTAAAACAAACAACAACAACAACAAAAATTAGTTAGCTTAGCATCGTGTTTGAATAATATACATTTTTAATCCTGACCAAACGGACAGCTGTGCGATTTTCGCCATGGTTTTGGTCTATTTCGTTTTTTTGTCACATTTGTAGCTTAATTAAAAATCGCTTATTAGTTGTTCGTGCCTTGATGGACTAATATTATTCTTCGTCTTTTTTAAAAAAAAAGAAATATATTTTTGTTGGACCAAAGACTATATTCATCGATTAAATCGCACGAAAAAGTAAACCATAAGATATAACTAATTCCGACCTGGGGGTTTAAATAACTTCATACAGACACACAACTATTGGAATGTGTCAATGTCCAATTTCATCTATGATAATGAAATCAATGCAAAAATAAATTATATAAATATTATTGATTGGAATACGTTATTTTTTTCTCTTTTAGTTGTTAAAATTACAGGACATCAAAGGGCCAAATTAACAACAGCAACAACAATAATAATAACTATGAAAACTTTAATTATGTGGGGGCATTTGTAAAAACTAGCTCCAACTACTTTAAACAGTTCACTGCATTGTTGATGAGTTATACTATAGCTTGAAGCTTCTACGGTTCTACCTTCATATGCGTGGTTTTGTTTTTGCATGTAGGTCCCCAAATAATCACCACCGTTTCAAAGTAAATACTAATTTGACATTTTGGATTATTAAGGCCCACATTAAAGAGCAATTAAAATAATCGGCGTCGCATATAGGAAAAAATATATTTTACCCTTTAGTTAGTAACAAAAAGAGGAAACTTTGCAACATGCCTTAAACATTTGATATTTTGAAAGTCGGCCGTATAAACACAAAGGTCTTCTACGCTTTTTAGCTCACATTTGACCAAAACTCCTCCAATCCAGGCATTATCGTTGACTTTTTCAAACTTGTTTCCTCTCTTTTTCCTTCCTTCGACATCATATACACATTTTAGACCCAAAAAAAAAAAAAAAAAAAAAAAACCAGAATTCCTCTGTTCTCATCTTCGATTTTGCTCGGAATCAATGGACAATAAACACCATACAACTTCAACTTCGAAACCTAAGAGCAAGAACAAGCTACTGAAGATGCTTCCCAAAGCGATGTCTTTCGGACAACGAGTTCCGCCGTTTAGTCCCGGAAGAGATCTCCACCACCACCACCACAATACGACGTCGTCGTCCTCCAACAAAGCGTTTTTCTCCGGTCCTATGGTCCCTTTGGTTCCGAACGCGGCTCGGGTCAGGAGAGCCAAAAACGACGCCGTTTGGGACGAACCCACTTCCCCTAAAGTCTCCTGCATCGGCCAGATCAAGCGCGTTAAATCAAAACGCTGCTCCCCTAAGAAAACCAGAGCCACTCCTTCGCTGATTCCCAAAATCCCCAAAACGTCGTCGTCGTCTTTAACCAAAGAAGATGAAAAAGGTCGCCTTTCGAAGATCAAGCGTCTCTTCTCGTTCTCGTCGGCGGCCGGAGGACACACTTCTAGAAAATCCCATTCGTCGGCCGGCGGCGCCGCCGTGACAGAGCATCCGGTTACGGTGGTTTCCGCCGCGGCAGTGCCTTCGTTAGGTCAGATGAAGAAATTCGCAAGCAGCCGAGATGCTCTAGGGGGATTTGATTGGATGGTTGAGATGAAAGAGGAAGAAGATTCTCCGGCTGATCATCGCCGTGGTTACTATTCCGATGATGAGACGAGAGGAAATTACTTGAGGGACGATGACGATGACGAAGAAGACGACATAATTATCCCGTTCTCAGCTCCGTTGAGTCTGAAGCCCAAGCAAGAAGTTAACTTGTGGAAGAGAAGAACCATGGATCCACCAAAACCACTTCATCTTCAACCTTCTTGATTTCAGTTCCCTTCAACATTTTCACTTTTTCTTTCATTATATATATGTAAGTTATACTGCAATTCAACTTTCATAGTGATCATCATACATAGTGAATCTGGATTTTGTTATTATGTGTAAATGTTGAATGGTGCTGATGATGATGGAGCATTTCTCTTCATTAGTTAGTCTTTGTGAATATCTATTTCGGTTCAGTTTTGCTACATGCCAAATAAATTCTCTCTCGTTACAAATTAATTTTGCTTTTTTCTTGAGTGACTATGTGTATGACAACAACCAATGTCTTCCCACCACCACCGAATTGTCCATATATTAAATGTAAATCACAATCAACCCATTAATATCATATATGCATTCGTATCACATACAAAATGATACTATTTCATACAAGATCTTCATTGGGTAGGTACAAATCAATTGGTACATCTCATTCACTTACCGTGCCTTCAAAGTTAAAACACAAAGCAAGATCAAATCAAGAATCACACATTTTTTTGCGTTTTTCATATTAATCGGTCTCGGATGGTACAAACAAACCCAAAAAAAGATTCAATTTTCATTTAATAAATCGAGCTTTGATACAGATTAATAAGTGACGCGAACGCCTGAGTACCGGAGAATCTCTCCGATGAGTTCTCCTTTACCGGAACCAACATACCGGCCACAAATGTCGCCGTCTCTAATGAACAAAAAAGTTGGGACTTCAATAACATTCATGTCCTTGAGAAACTCCATACAGCTATCGTTCTCGTCCCCGTTCATTCTAGCGAAGACGACGGTTTCCGACATCGACCGGGACAACTTCAGCACCGTTGGATAAACCTTAACGCAGGGCCCACAGTGTTTCAGTCCCACGTCGAGCACGATAAGCTTGCCTCCGGTGCGGTTCTCGTCGATCAGTTTCTCCACGTCAGCACGGCCGTGCAGCTGCACCACCGCCGAGTGGTTATCGCCGTAGTATAGCACGTCTCCCATTAGCTGGTCCGGTCCAATACCTGCCAAATGGTCAGAGTTTTCAATTTATTTTACGTCTTTGCCAATGTATACTATACTAACTTTGTTTTATATTAGCCTAACAATCTGTCTAATATATGTGTAGAATTTGAGACTTTGTGTACTTTTCTTCCGTAATTTGAGAAATTATGTACTTTTTTCCTTAATTCAAGAGATTTGTCCAACGAATCATAGGCAGGTCTATATATACTTCCTATCGAGTATTTTTTTTATGACAAAAGAAGTTGGGGAGAAATCGAAATCACCTTCTTCCTCGTGTATTTTCTCCATGCTCTTATAGAAGCTAAAGTGAGGAACTTTCTCGATCTTCTCTCTCCGACAGAGCTCTCTGGTCTTTTCGGACTCATCACCCATGACGAGCAAGAAAACGACATCGTTACAGGTCCTGCTCAGCTCCACCATAAACGGATATATCTTATTACTCTGATCACTCTTGCTCGTGGCAAACTCCACAACCACAAGCTTGCTCTTCGCCTTCTGCAACGCCTCGTCGAATTCCTCTCCGCTGTGAATCTTCTGCACTTTCTCGTCCTTCGCCGCCGGTGAACCCACCTTCCCCGGAGACGCCGCACCGGCTTTCACCTTCACGGCGGAGAATCTTCTTCTTATCGGGTTTCTATTTCTCAAGCTCTGTTTTAGTGCCAGAGAGTTGGGTTTGGCGTCGAAGAATACGAAGGAGGAGGTGGATGCAACGGCGGAGGACGGCCGTGGAACCACGGTGGAGATTGGTTTGGCTGAGAAGTTAGTGACGGTGGCCATTGTGGGGAGTGTGCGTGCGTGGATTGGTTAGAGATCGGTGAATGGTCTAATGTGGATAGATGTTTTAAAAGGGTCCCAATTATTTGTGTCCACTTATTTTAATTGTGTGGCTCTCGTACTCGCTTTCGATTAGATTTTTCTTTTTGAGAATAAACGAATATGTGATTTTGTAGAGATTGCTGATTCTAAAAGCTATTGAAGTTATTTCGTTTAAGTCGTTGCATAATGACAAATATTTTTGTAAATTCCCATCGGCAGCCAAGTAAGACTGGAGTTTATTGTTTTACCAAAGAAATCCAGTTTTGTATTTTCGATCTGGTAAACCAAATAATCGCATCAACAGTCAGAGTTTGGACATGTTTGTTCTCAGCTTCAACCCAAAGGTCCATACCGTCCATTGACTTGAAAACATGTATACGTGTATTACTGTTGATCGGTCGCACGAATATCAATATTTATTTACCCAAACTCTTCAAAGTTATGGGCTTTTAAGCTTGTCTTTCCACCAAGCCCATTATAGTTCAACCCAAGCTCGTGTTTACTATTTATAACCCATTTATAGCCTATACACAAAATCAAGAGAATTTTTTTTAGTCAATGCACAAAATGAGTTTTATCACTCAAAACAGTAGTTTGATTGTTGGAAATAATAAATAAATATCGTTTTTAAAAGGTTAGCCAGAGTGCGTGCGAGCACGCTGCACCCACTACAACCTAAAAATCAAAAATGGGTTTTTGAAAACGAGATATAATATAAAGTTAATATATATCAGACGGCAGACAATAAAATATACATATCGGACGGCCCACAAATCCCACGACCACTCACTAGTCACTATCACTACTATCTAACCCAGTGTCGACACCTAAGCACAACCTAAATTTACCAAATTACCCCTTGAAAGTAACACAACATGTGCTAATCCTCGTGTTTACTCGCTGGCTCTCAGCAAAACTAAACTGAGACTTTGTACGCCGATAGATTGTCCCGGCGAATACAAGGATGAAATGTCACAGAAGGGATTATATCATTCATAAATTAAAACAAATCGAATTGAACAAAAAATAGGAGTAGACTGAACATCAAACTGGTATTTAAATACGAAAAGACAAAAAGATTCTTAAAAAGGGTAAAACAGGAAACTGAAAAGAAAAACCGGAAGAAGGAGATTCTCTCATCATTCAGAAGCTTTCTCTGGTTTTCTACAGAGAATCATATGCATCGGCGAGAAGATTCCAGTCTCGCCTCCTCTAGTCAAATAATCAGCAGTCTTAAACAACATCTCATGAACATCAACGGTTCCTTTAGGAGCAACCCCAATCGCAGAGAGTATCACAACCACGACATGGTTTCTCCAATAAGCAAGACGACCCATCTTAAGCCGACTCCACCACGGTTTAGCCGGCGGTTTAGCCAAATCTTTCTCTTGCACAATCTCGAACCCGACTTTCTTCGCCGTCGCAGCGATGTCGGAATACCTTCTGAGACCAGGAAGAGCATCTCCTCTCTCGATCCCTTGAATAACCTCCACGTGTTCTTCGTCCTCGTCTCTGTATTTATCTGTGGTGACCCACTCGTAGGAAACGTACATCGATCCCGGTTTCATCACTCTGAAGATCTCTGCGTAGACTTCTTCTAACTTGGGAGCGTGACACGTGGCTTCGATCGAGTAAGCACCGTCGAACGTGTTTTCATCGAACGGCATCTGTAAGAAGTTACCGCAGACGACGTCGCATAGAGAGTCTAAACCTGCTTTCTTGTTGTGGAGTTTCGCTCGTTTCACTTGGTAGTCGTTGATGGTGATCCCGACGACATGGGCCTTCGAGTGGGCCGCGATGGCTCTCATTGGCCCACCGACTCCACATCCTGCATCGAGGATCTTCTGTCCCGGTTTGACTTTGATGAGATCGACGGCCATTTCTTCGTGGATCCGAGTTTCGTCCTTGTGGGATTTTCCGGGGAGAGAAGGAGAGAAGTGGAAAGATTGTCCCCATCCCCACTCGTAGATGTCGGTGACGAGGTTGTAGAACGTGTCGACGAAGTCGGGAACTTTCTCGGCGGTTTCGATCTCTTTGGGTTTGCGGAAGAAGGACCAGTATTCGTTGTAGTTGTCTTTGACGTTCTCGGCGGAGATTGATCCGCCGGAGAGATCTACGGCTCGCTTACCCTTGCGCTCTGCTGGACCTAAGACGCAGACGAACCAGTATATGCCTCCGGCGAGCAGAGCGGCGGTGCAGAATAGCGCCACCGAGTCCATCTTTTATTAAGAGCGAGGGGGAGAGAGAGAGAGAGACGTTGAGTTGAGTTTACGACCGGGGTTAGTGCTTTTATTCGCAAAGATGTTTATACAAGGAATGTCCATTCAGTGTCCAGTTTATAGAATCTTTGGAATAAATAATCCATTTTAGGAAGTAAGATAACAGAAAATATGTGGTCCACCGTAGTCCAAACCATCTAACCATGTGAGTGAAGAAGAAAATAGATTAAAATGGAATAAAAAGTTTAACATAAAAATAAAGAATGGCCTAGAAAGTAAAAAGCTAAATGCATAATCAAAGTTAATACCTGTTTATACTGAGTATAATCATTTACCTGTGAATATATGGGTCGATAACGAAAAAAATAGATATGGCAGAGACTCTTTAAAATTTCCTAGTATCAACAAAAAGATTAGTATGCAACAAAAATTCATAACTCTCCATCATTAATAACATTTCAATCACGCAATTCTGATTTCTCAATAACTGTGTACATGGTAGAGTCACATGCCATACAGTTACATTATTTTATGCTTTTCCTATCAACATTTATAGTCACGTAACTGATATATAGAACATAATCTTTATTGAAAACGTATTGAGAGCTTTATGTTGTCTTTTTTTTGTCGTCTAGAACCAATGCATAAATACTACTCCACTTATATATAACACAGTATAATATCAATACAAATCATTATTTTATAAACCATAGTTATTTGTATATCTATATGCTTATGTTAATAAATGCCATGTGATCATTAATATTTGTCTAAAATGTCTAATTCGGTGGGGATATATAATCATGAGATGACCTTGACTACAATGTATATCTTCTTAAGCTTAGGAGCATTTTACTGCACGTTGTAAGGTCAGGCCAGCTCCTTATTACTTTCCTATGGAAAAAGTCTTGTAACTTTTTCTCATTTTATATATTTCTCCGGCTCTCCGTACAACCCGATGCATTTTGTTATGAACTACAATGATAAATCTCCATCGTTATACCTGGTCCAGTATCCGTGAGCTCGGATACAGTTAAATAACTATTAGCTGGTCCTTGAACTATCCAATTATTGTTTTAATTAAATTATGATTTTTGGTAGATCGGGTCATATCACATGACTCATATGATCATATCACATGACGATATGTTATGCAAATCTGTCTGTATATCAAGACGAATCTTTGATCGCTCCACATATACAGCTTGCTTTTACATCTCTCACGTGCTCCCTTTGCGCTCACGACATATTTAATGTATTAACGAGGACAAGTTCGTTATAGGTTGGTCCAATTTAATTATATACTATGAATTCGATATTAATGTATTTATTTCGTTCCAACTGTAGGCCACAATTCACATATGACATCGATCTACAGGCTGTTATATTCGTCCGGAAAAATATTATTCAAGCTCGTCGAAATCATGATCTTATACATTTTAAAATTATATAAACATGATACACAGATAGGATAGATGATTACTTCAAATACATTTTTCGCTAAAACACAAAATGTGACAACTATCCAGAGGTTTCTTCCCACTACTAATTCATTTGCAAGATCTTCGAATTTTGAATTTGCAAATTCTGGATGTAGACGTAGAACCTTCTCGTTGGGAAAGAGAGTCGTTAAGCCCAATCATAAATATAGATAGTGATGGGCCTCTAAAACTCTTATGATCAGACGTAGAACAAAACATTAACTTAACGGAAAATTCTTCTCAAGAACCAAAAAAGAAGATGATATGACTTTTAAAATGTACATATAAGATGTAAGAACAAATGTAGCCACCATCAAACGTGTAAGTTTACGACAGTAACATTATATAATCCCCGTTTTAGTTCAAATTACAAATTCTGTATATGGATTGTGAATAAGCTTCTACATGAATCAGAGTCTCAGGCGACGATTTAATTGACGGTGACTTTGCCGACCATACCAGCACCCTGGTGCGGCACACAATAGAACCCGTAAGAGCCAGGCTCTGTCAAAGTAACCTCGTACGTCTCTCCTGGACCATTGAGAAGCGCTTGCTCGTCCATCGAGATCTTGCTCGCGTCCACACCACTCGGGATCTCGTCTTCGTCGAACACAACGTTGTGTGGGTAACCTGCGTTGTTCTTGAACACGATTTTCTCTCCTTTAGCCACTGTAAATTCCTTTGGTACGAAAACCAAACCACCGTCGTCGGATCCTAGGAGAATATCAATGGCCATCGCATTTCCCGCCAAAGCGATGGAAGCTGCCGTTGCCACGGCGATGACACCGAAATCTTTAAGGGAGGACTTCACGGCGAGGTTAGGTGTCTTCACGGTCGCGGAGGATCTGATGGCGGCGGACACCGTCGTGGGTTTGGAGCTGATTGCGAGCTTGAGTCCGGTGAAAGAAGGGATCGCGACGGTGGCTGATGTAATTGAGGACATTTTGATTTTTGGTGTGTTTGGTCGTTTTTGTGATTACTATAAAAGATATAAAAATATGCGAACTTGATAAGATATATAGAGAAGCTTTGGATTTTCTTTCACAAAAGGGTTTTTGTGAGGTTTATGTGGTGAGAGAATGAGAGAGTTATCTGCGTGGAATTGCTGTGATTGGCTATCTTAGATGTTTTGTGAGGTGACGTGGCATTGCTGGATACAATTTATATAAGATAAGCTTCGAAGACTTTGAAATTTCTTCGAGGACTAAATTAATTTGAAACTGTCCTGTGGTGGTGGAGTATAGAGTGTTATACTAATCAATGAATCGAATTGAAGCTAGAAAATATAGAAAATATCCAAAGAGTTTCTACATGAACCGTCCGATAAACCAAACGGACGGCTAACCATTGTCAAGTCGATTTACCTTACAAATTTGCCTCACAGTGCCGAGTTTGTCAAAAGGACAACTACAATAACGGGAAGTTAGAAAAAAAACTACGAAGCGTCCGATTCTATAAGAGAGAAACGACGACCAACAGAAACCACCTAAAAAGCCCTGCCGTTTGTCTCTTCAGCAGCCATGAGCCTTAACCTTTCTCTGTACTCGTTCAACTCCCTCTGATACCTCTCCTTGTCCTTTAATCCAATTTTCTGATAAACCTGCAAAACAATAACCGAAAATTGTTTAAATTATCGGTCTAGTACACATAACATTTCATACCAAACAACTTTAACCGGTCCCGGTTATTCATATAATTTGTTACCATTCGTTCCTCGGTTGAGAGATTGCTCCAAGACTCGCCGATGATTTTCGTGAATTCTCGTTCCTTGTTTGGATAAAGAGACTTGAGCTTGCAATGTTTCTCCGCAAAGAAGAAATTGTAACCGCTCCGGTTTGGTTTCGGGTAATTTGGGTCTTCTCTGCGTCTGCTTCTACGTCTTTTCCCAGAACGGCGTCGTCTCCTCCCACTTTCCACATAGGGTACAACGGAACCGTTTAGATCAGCGATTGGTAATGGTGGGCCGGGCTGAGGCTGGGCCGAATGGTAAAGCACGCCATTAAGAATCTCCGAGCCCAATTTCACTTTGACGAGATAACCACAATCGAATTTGCCTTCAATTGTACCTATGGCTGTAAAACTCGACGAACCTGTGCCATGCATTATATATTCACATGTATTCATTAATCAAATTAAAATACATTATCTTATACAATTCTTATATGTGAACAAAATCTTATAGCTTCCGGTTTGGTCCACGTCTTCGGTTTATTATCCAGCAAAATCCAAATAAATTTGCATCAAACATAATGACGGTGGGACCATTATATTTAGTCTAAGACTATAATTGAAAAGTATTGAGATAAACACAACGATTTTACGATAAGTACATAAAGCTAACTAGACAATCTCACTCGAGTGCCCCTAAATAGAAGTTACACATATAATAATAAGTATTAATTAATTTTCTCTCATGATTTTGTTTCATAATAAAATAATGATATAAAATATAGAAAAAGAAGAGTAGATAATAATGTAACATACCTTGACCAGGCGGATGAGAATGATTATATCCTATATTTGGAGGAGTATATTCCACGAGAGCCATTTCCTTACTAGTTGAAGGATCCTTGACATGAAATGTAGCTGCGATAAAAAAAAAAAATGATGTATAACAGTATAAGACAACAGAATCATTTGTTGTTTCATTTAAAATGTAACATTTATAATCGTCGCCAAATAATGTATAGTTCCAAGGTAAATTAAAATAACCATTAGAGATAAAAATGTGAAATCAAATTCGGGTGAAACTAATCGTGGACTCCCACGTATGTCGTAAGAATGAGCCCCACGATTGAGCCAATGACAAAAAAAAAAACATTTAGAAGTTTGATTTTATCAGTTTATTTTGATTTCAAGCTTTTCAGATAACCGTCAATGGTAAACAAAATATTGAACTATCAGGTCTCAAGACATTAAAGACAACATGTTATTATTCGAGCATTTATCAAACGGTTGAATTAAAGAAGTCTCAAGAGAAGTAATGATACAAAACAATGATTACAAACCTGCGGGATGAAGAAGAGGACCACGAGCATTGAAGAGATGAACTTGTTCGTAATGGAAAAGAAGATTGAGGTAATGTTTCCTTAAGACAAAAGAAGCACTTGTTGTGGTCGGAGAGAATCTAAACACTCCTCCAACTTCCCTCCATTTCTTCTCCATAACTACCTTTTAATTCACATGCATTTTTCAAAACAATATTTAAGATTGAGAGAATAAACCATTAGAAAAAAATTTGTATTGAAAAAGAAACAACAGAGAAGTAAAGTGTTGACCTTTTCGTAACCTCCCCTCCTCGTGACTTCCACATACAAAACATGCAAATCCAGTTCTTTTCCTCCAATCACAGGAATCCTTGAATAAATAGTTTTAAAACGACACATATATAAAATTAATGATAGAAAGAAATACATAAAGTAAGAAGAAGAGGAAGAATAATGGTTACATGAATTTGGTTGCCAAAATGGAGTGAAACCGCCTGAGAGTATCCCAGAAGAGAGAAAGATCTCTAACGACATCTTCATGTGAAGCCAATGGTTCTGGGTACTCTTTCATCTTCGCCGGTGACGTCCCCGTCGTTTCTACCGTTGCCTGAGATGGCGTCGATTCGTTTCCCGAAGACATAGTTTCAGAGAGGAGAGACAATTTTTTTTTTTTTTTGGGAGAGTTGGTTTTTTTTTTGTCTGGTCTCTCTTATTCGGTTTTGGTTTAAGGAAAGAAGAGAAAGATAACAATTCAAGATAAGATTTGTTGTTAAATCAGAAAGAAATATAAATATAAATTAGATTTTGCTAAGGATTAAAAAGTAACGGACGTGAGGATTTGTCATTTTCTTTCTTTTTGTGTTTTTAATATATACCACAAAAGAATGAAAGATAAAAGGAAAACAAAAAATTTAAACTTTGCTACAATGTGTATATGATTTGCTTTTAAATTTACTATTGTTTTTATTTTCGAGGCGTTTTGAATGGTGTTACTTAGTAATTTGTCTGATACAACTATTAATTACTTTTCACAGGTTATTAATTCTGATATTATTGCACCCCACCTACTTTAGATGTTAAGCTTACGAACAGTCGAGATTTAGTCACATCTTTTTCTTTCGAAAGCAAAATCATAATTGACAATTTTTTCTTGATGGCATGAAAATATCAATAATAATTTAACCATACACCATACGCTCCTTTTTTTTTTTTTTGTTATTACGGTTTTTAAGGAGATTATTAGACTTTTAATTTTGTTATAAAATTGTGCGTATTAAAAAAAATTATTTGAAATCGAACATATTAATGCGAGAGACTTGGTATAAGAATTTGGAAGAATTTATTTCTACAATGTTTAGGTGAAGAATTTGAAGCTCGTGCGATATTAAATATCTAAGTCTTTTTTTTTGGCATTTAAAACCTCTGAAAATTGGAAATTTGTCACTGTTGAGTATTGACATGCATTGGTAAGCTAAAGTTATAAAGTAGTAGTACTTATTAGTGCAGACGACGATAGGAGTAACACCCTAAAACTCATCGGGTCAATCGAAGTCTGACATTTTATTTACCCTAAATAACAATTTTAAAATCACTAAAAGATGAATGATAGTAATAAAGAAAAGGAAAAAGAAATAAATAAAAAAGTTATGGGCCTTATGGTTCGGAGAGGCTGACGTGCGATTAGGGATTTTATTGTTCTGCTCATATGTAACGTCACGTCTCTGCCTGTAGATTCGGTTCCACGTTTCTTCCCCTTAATCTTTTGTGCTATTTTTTTATTCTCTAAAGTTTAAACATTGTTCAAACAAGATTCTCCATAAAGTATGTAATCTTTTATATCATACGTAATGACGTAGAGGGTCTCTGGTCTTGAATAGAACTTGATAATAAAAACAATTCATTAGTATTCCGTACAAGAATTTTTGAAAAACATTTTATATGAAATGTTACAGAAAAAATACTTAAGCCAGAGTCCTCGTCTCTATGGAAGTCGTGACTTGAGCGTTTTCATCATTTTGCTTAGAGACTTGCTCTGGTTCTGTAATGCCTTGGGTTTCATCAACCTTCTTATAGACAAGAACTTGCTCTGTGTTATGCCCATTTCTGCCATAATTTAGATCAGGATAGTTTCTGTAGTTCAAGGAATGCAACCAAAGAGCCACAGATCCATATTTGCGCTCAGCAGAGCCGATATGAGAATAGATGTGCTTCAGTTTAAATGCTTCAGCTTCTTCCCTGTATGCTTCCATGGACACTTGATCATGACTGTCTTCAAAATTTGTGTTATAAGAGGTGAAGAAGCATTCATCGAGGTAGAGTCCAACTTCTGGCGCCATTGGTACAGTTATATTCACATCCCTAGTTACATGATTTCCACATTCAAAAACCAAAACAAAGACATTGCAATAATGAAACCGCTAAAAAAGGAAAGAAAAAAAGCTTACTTGCTGAAAGCAGTCTGGATTAGTGATTCAGGAGCACAGTTCCTCATGATTGCCACAGCAAGACCCATCATCTTCCGAATCTGATGAAGCATGAAGCTTCGGCCAATGACTTCACACTTGATAAAGTCAACCCCATCAAGATTAATGACAGTATTCGCAGTGAAGGAGATGATGTTACGATTCGCAGCTGGATCATCTGCTTTCATCCTTGTAGTGAAGTTGTGGAAATTATAAGACCCAACATAGTAACTCAATATCCTACTGAATCTCTCCTTCTCCTTCTCGCCGTAACAAAACGTACTCTTTGTCTCAGCCATTTCGTTTCCTTCTCCATTCATCTTCTCCGCAGATTCTTGTTTACAACCATCTTCCTGTATCCTCCTAGCTACTTCAACATCTACTGAGCTTAAGCTATTTTCTCCATTAGGTAACTTAGAACTCAAAGCTTCACTCTTGATCTCAGTTCTAGTATCAAAGTTATTGACTTTGCAATTGCCCAGAACACCAGGGATCTTATTCTTACGACCTCTCTCTGAACACTCGAAACATTTGACATATTCCTCTCCTGAACCTAAACTAGCCATTACTGCTTCTCTATCACGATGCGTGATTGGATCAAGAGCAAACACTGGAATCAGATACACATACCTCCTCCGATCGCAGAACTTCTTCGAGCTAAACGACCGCGTTACGTGCTTGTAACCAAAAACCTTAATCTGATCAGGGAGATTGGCGTTGAGCCGATCGACGAATCCAGGCGGGTCAACGTAGAAGCGACCGGAGACCACTTGTCCCACAGCGCTCACTCCTTTATCGGTCCGTGCAGATCGTGCGAAGTCGTATAGTTTCGGCTTGCCTCGTTCAGTCTCTGGCACAGCTCCGGCATGGAACAGGGCTTCTTCGAGCTCGCCTTCGATGGTTTTCGCGCCGGGATTCCTTTGCATCCCTTGGTATCCTACACCGCAGAACGCGAAGATTATGGCAACTTTTCTGCGTTTGCGTTTTGGTATTCGAGTCTCCGTGCCGTCTCCGCCGCAGGACAAGTCTGCTTCGTCGTCGGTGCTGGTGGTTGACATTTTGAGCTTCTCCTGGTCTTGGTTCTCGATCAGGAACCTCGTAAGTGAACAATATCTAGGATTCAGGCTCCCAAGTCTACATTTTTAATTTGTATTGATAAGAAATCATCGAAAGCCCCCATTTTCCAGACTTTCTCTGCTACTACGGTAATGGCTACTTCCAGTTCAACACAAAAGTCAAAACCCTAGACGACGACCGAGTTTAACCTCCCAACGACGCCGTTTAGTCTCAAGCCCCTTTAACTGGGCCTTTGATTTTTTCTTAGATATGGATCTCAAACCTTAAATTTGATTTAGTGATTATTTTTAAAAATTGAAAACGACAGCGTTTGGCTTTATGACTCTTTCTTTCTTGGTCACGTCGAGAACGAGCAATCTCTTCTTCTTCTTCCGATAAGTTCTGCATTTTCTTCTTCCTCGATTCGTCTCTGTTTCTCCTCACTTGGAGGAGCTTGAACGGCGTTCTTCTCCGATGATGTAGCCACACCGTTTCTTCTACGTAACCACTTGTTCACCAAGTTGCAATCTTTGAGGATCTTACACGCAAGCCCGTATCTTCTTCTGGTAATTTTTTCCTCAATATAGTCTTGCTCTCATTACAATTTTGATTATTGAGAATTCGGGATCATTCGAAATTTCAAATTCCTTTGTGTTTTAATGCTTGATCATGCTTAGTTCCAGCAGTTTCGCCGATATCTCGGAAATTAATCAATTTGACTTGATTCACTATTTCCAGACTCTATAATTTCAACTTATATTTAATTGATTAATGTGAACAGTGTCGAAAAGCAATAACATTATTTAGGATATTTATAAAACATTAAAAATCTAATTCAAAACGCTTGATATAAATATCTTTAAAGGAGCTCAGCGTCGGCAACACCCAAAGTATCTGCAGCAAAGTCCTTCTCTTGCCGGTCAGCGATTCCTTTTAAGATGAGCAGCAGCGACGGAGGATCCCGTCGCATCCGGTGGCTGCTAGGGTTTGGTTTCTTCGTTCAAGGATTTAGGGGTTTCCCTTGGCTGGGAGCCAATTTCTTCCTCACAGATGAGCTCCGTGTCAATCCTTCAGTGCTGCAGCTTCTCCAGAACTCGGCGAATCTTCCGATGGTCGCTAAACCAATCTACGGTGTCCTCTCCGACGCTGTCTACTTCTTTGGCCAGCATCGAATCCCTTATATCGCCTTTGGAGGTATATGCATGCAAACCCAATCTGGATTTTGAATTCAAGTGTTGGATTCTGTAATTTGAGTAAAAATGGCTTCCTTTAGATTCTTTGACATGCTTTGATTTAGAATTGTGGATTTAGAAGAAGATCAGTACCTTGACATATCGAGTTGATTGAGTAAAATGGTTTCTCTGAGATTTATGTATTTCTCTCTGATTTGGAATTGTGAATTAGACTTGATTGTGTTTCTCTGAGATTAATGTATTCTTCTCCCAGTGATTTTGTAGTCTTTTCTTCCTGTTTCGTAGTGAAATTTACTTACTTTTCTCTTTGATTATGTTTCTATTGCAGCCTTGCTACAAGCAATCTCATGGCTTGCTATAGCCTTCTTGTCAAGATCAAATGTGTCAATCTTAGCTTTGTCGCTCTACCTTCTCCTTAGTAATCTCGGTGCTTCGTTAGTAGAAGTAGCAAATGATGCTATTGTAGCCGAGGCCGGAAAGCAAAAGAGCCATTCATCATCATCATCACCACCACAACTGTCGTCTTCTTCTTCTTCTTCTTCTTCTTCTTCTTCCGGTGAGTTACCTTCGTTTGTTTGGATGGCTTCTTCTCTTGGTGGAATCCTTGGAAACCTTTTAGGTGGTATTGCTATCAAAACGTTTTCCTCTCAGTCAACATTCCTCGTGTTTGGCCTTCTCGCTCTCCTTCAGTTCCTTGTAACCATAAACATTAAAGAAAAGTCTCTTAACCTCCCGGCAAACCCATCACCCGCCGGTATCAGAAATCATCTCTCCGACCTTTCACGTGTGTTGAGGAAGCCAGAGATCTCTTACTCCATAGCCTGGATCGCGTTATCAACCGCTGTAGTACCTGTTCTCACGGGGACAATGTTCTTTTACCAAACAAAGCTTCTGAAGATCGACGCATCACTCGTAGGGATCTCCAAGGTGTTTGGTCAGATCGCAATGCTCTTATGGGGTGCTGCGTACAACCGTTGGCTCAAAGCCATCCCGCCGAGGAAACTGATCACAGCCATTCAGGTAACGATGGGTGTCTTTGTGGTATCCGATCTCTTGTTCGTGAAAGGCGTTTACCGGAATCTGGGTGTGCCGGACTCTGTATACGTGCTCTTCTTCTCTGGAATCTTGGAGACTCTGTTTTATTTCAAGAACCTGCCTTTCACCGTGCTGATGACGAGGCTCTGTCCTCCTGGATGTGAAGGTTCTCTCATGGCGTTTGTAATGTCTGCCATTGCACTCGCCTTCATAGTTAGCGGATATCTCGGAATCGTTCTCGCATCGTTTGTCGGCGTAACGGCGGGTGATTTCTCGGGTTTTACTAGTGGACTCGCTATAGAAGCGACCTGCGTTGCGATTCCGCTGGTCTTAACCTCGTGGATATACGATGAAACGGAAACAAAGGACAGAAGTAAAAAGAAAGAATGAGTTTTTTTGGGGTATTACTGTGTGACATTCTTTCTTGTGGTTTGAGGTTTCTCATCGTCTATATGGTCGAACAGTCGAATACTCGAATGTAAAGCCTTCTCTTTGATTTGGCTTCACACATATCAAAATCTTGTCGATGGTAGTGGAAGTCAAGGTTTGTATATTTGTGACAATTTGCAGTGATTAGTGATTATTACTGGTTTATACTCATTTCATTGATTTTCTTAATTGTTGAACGATCATGACATTTCATTTCTATTAGAGACAATCATATAAAGTTGAGATTTTGGGAGAAAGTCTCAAATATAATAATATAGGAAATGTTTCACCGATATGTAAAATGTATAATCATACGATGCTAAAACATTTTAAGAAATATGAGTGAAAGGATAAGCATTGATCACGCACACAAGTTTGCAAATTTGTCAATTGGGAAGAAAACAGAGAAAGAAAGAGCCGTTGCTCACAGATATCTCTATCTCGTTGTATGATTTGAAGTTTGGAAATTTCATAATCTTCTTCAGGTATAGCCTTTGCTCGTGTTACATCCGCGTCATATGATGACACAGTCTTGTCTCATTTGTATCTCTGACACGACAAGTTATCTACTTATTTAATCTCAGAGTTAACGCGTCTAAAGATTTTTCTATTCAGAGAACGAAAGAGAGAAAACTCAAAAGTCGACAATTATGGGGCTTCATTTCTCGATCGAGTTCAAAAGCCCTAAGAGATTTAAAGAGAGGGGAAGTTATCTCTTTCTCTGTGAGATTCTCCACTCAAATTGGGATTCAACTTTTTGAAGAAGGTATTGTATTCTATAATTGGCTGATCTGTTAATCCGCGGAATCGAATCGTCACTTGCTTTACGCTACGCTTCGTTTCTTTCTTCCTCTTCATTTTCACCTTTCAAAAAGCTCCTTGTTTGTGTGTGGCCAAAAATGGTTTGACATTTGATTCTGATTCGTTGGGATCATAAACTGTTCAATCAGTTCACGTTCTCTTCTTGGGCTCTATAAATGCAGGATTGTGTTTGTTAAGGGACTTGGTCGAACATCGCACCAAGAAGACAGCAGCAGTAGCTTCTTCTTCTCTTCCTTGGTACTTGGTTTTCTTTACTTCTTCTCACTGTTTTGTCTATATGATCTCTCGATCTACACAATTTTTCTTTATTTTTGAAAATTAAGGCTCTTGGTTATTAGTGACTTCCTCCAAAAATCTCTCTGAAAATGCAGATAACTGTTAAATTCACCTCTTTTTGGTCGATCAGTGTTTGAGGCCTTCGGTTTTGCTGAGACCCTTTGTTCCAAGATGGGTTACTATAACAACGTAAGTGCCTTTTAGGCTTGTTTTTTTTTTTTTGCTCTGATTTCTATTTTGGAGATTGTGATTCCATCTTTCTTTGTTCTAAAGCACGTTATGATTGCAGGTCTTTGATGGATGCAATGACCAAACTGATATCGGTATGAGTCATAACCGTTAAGACAGGCTTAAAAGCCTTTGTTCTCTTTTCAGTTTCTTATTTCTAGTTTTTGCTAACTATTAAGTCTGTTTCTCCTCTATCTTAGGTGGGGTTGTACGAGATGGAAGGGAAGTCATTCTCCAGGTAAGGATTTGATTTTATAATCTAAAAACACTTATAATTGCTCAATCTTGGTTAGACCTTAGGAAAGTTTTGGATTCTCTTTCAGGCCTATAATTGGGAATCTCATAAACATGATTGGTGGAGAAACTTGGACGGAAAAGTTCCTGATATCGCCAAATCTGGCTTTACGTCTGCGTGGTTGCCACCACCATCTCAGTCTCTTGCACCAGAAGGTTAAGAGGAAACTGATTCCAAGACAAAAATGAGCTCTTTTGTGTTATTCTTGAAAGAAAAAAAACATTGGTTATTATTGTAATTGCAGGTTACCTTCCACAGGACCTTTATTCACTAAACTCAGCGTATGGCTCAGAGCACCAGTTGAAATCCTTGCTTCGTAAGATGAAACAGTACAAAGTTAGAGCTATGGCTGATATAGTCATCAATCATCGTGTTGGGACGACGAGAGGTCATGGTGGAATGTACAACCGCTACGATGGAAGTTCGTTGCCGTGGGATGAACACGCTGTTACTTCTTGTACCGGAGGACTTGTGAGTTGATTAGTTAATTACAATTCTTTTGACATGTTTCTTCTAATGTTTCTGATAGCTAAAGAGAAGTTTCCCCACTAACACAGGGAAGCCGAAGCACAGGGGAGAACTTCAATGGAGTTCCAAATGTTGATCACACTCAACATTTTGTTAGGAAAGATATAATCGGATGGCTTCGTTGGCTGCGAAACACCGTCGGGTTTCAGGACTTCCGTTTTGACTTTGCTAGAGGGTAAACGTTTTCGATTTAGCTGATTTGTTTGTTTGTTTGTTTGCTTGCTTGTTTGTGGAGTTCTTAATCTGTGAGATTCTGAATGAAACTGGGTGTAGCTATTCAGCACAGTATGTGAAGGAGTACATAGGAGCAGCGAAACCTCTATTCTCAGTTGGAGAATGTTGGGATTCTTGCAAGTACAATGGCCATGGTCTTGACTATAATCAAGGTTTTGCAGATCTTCTTTTTGACAAGTGATTTCAGTCATATGATTTTGCTATTGGATGAGGTTGATATTGTAACACTCTGTTTCTTCTTTTTCTTTTTGTAGATAGCCATAGACAACGTATAATCAATTGGATCGATGCCACAGGACAGCTTTCAGCTGCATTTGACTTCACAACCAAAGGAATTCTGCAGGTATATACAAAGTTTTTTGCTAACACATTTCTGGCCATCGTATCGATTATCAAATGCTAAAATCATTTTCTTCTGATGGTACTAAAGGAAGCTGTGAAGGGTCAGTTTTGGCGTTTATGTGATCCACAAGGAAAGCCTCCAGGCGTAATGGGATGGTGGCCTTCAAGAGCTGTCACCTTCCTTGATAACCATGACACTGGCTCTACTCAGGTTTACCTATTTCACACTATATTTTCTTCCAAAAAAAGTTTTCAAAAAAAAAAACAGAGTCTACATGTTTTCTTACTTTCTTATGACCGTTTTTGTTGTTGTTGTTGCTCTCATAAGGCTCACTGGCCGTTCCCTTCACACCACATTATGGAGGTAAAAGAGCTCTCAAATCAAATTACAATCCGTTTCTTTACGTTTTAGGTTTGCCCTGATCAAAGAAAGATGTGGTTTTGTGTCTTTGTAGGGCTATGCATATATACTTACGCATCCAGGAATCCCCTGTGTTTTCTACGATCACTTCTACGATTGGGGAAGCTCTATTCATGACCAGATTGTTAAACTGGTACTTTGTTCACTTGAAACTCTCCGGCTATCATTGGATCCATGGTCCGACTTTTTTAATCTCTTCTTAATTCTATCTTCTGTTTTTTTGTTTATTGTTCATTGACAGATTGATATTAGGAGGCGACAAGATATCCACAGTAGGTCAACGATCCGCGTTTTGGAAGCACAGTCTAATTTGTACGCAGCCATTGTTGGTGAGAAGCTGTGCATGAAGGTCGGGGACGCTTCTTGGTGCCCTTCTGGTAGAGACTGGACTTTAGCAACGAGTGGTCATCGCTATGCCGTTTGGCACAAGTAATCTTCCTCAGGATTGGACTTGGTTTCAAAGGTTGATGATATTTTCACTTTCTATACCGGTATTACTTTAATGTGTAGCACTTACGTCTTCATGACGTAATATTTTACAAGTTAATCAAATGCATGTATTATTTATATAATGTAAGCATTTTCGTTTGTTGTTTTATTTGTTGGCAATCTATAGTAAAAAAAATTGGATGACTAGTGAGAAAGTAAATGAAACTATTGGGAGGGAAAAGGGGCTTTGTGCTTTTCTATGAGAAGTAAGTTGACTTGTGCTGTGTTTCAAAAGTTAAGTATCCACACATTGCAAGATGAAAACCATATAGGAGTTTTAAATAATTTTTACAAAGCACATGATGATGATGATGATGATGATGATGATGATGATGGAAATTAGTAAGGGTTTGTTGGTAGGATAAATACATACCATGCATGGTCTATAAAAAATGGTCAAAACTCAAAACCACAGGATTGTGTATATTTGTCTAAAAGGGTATAAGAGGAAACTAAAATAATACGTAAGTTATTGCTGGCCACTAGACTAGGACTAGAGCAGATGATGTGTATATTATATAGTCATAGGACTTCATGATTCTTGTTTTGAAATTTTAACAACGAAAGCCCAACACCCTTTTTTAGTTACAGCTTCATATATTATCGCTTGAGGTTCTTATTGGTTTTTTAATATGTTGTTTTAAATCCCTCGTAGTAGTATAAGTTTTTGGGGAAATGCATAAAGAATAAAATCGAATCAATCATGAACACCTTCTGGCTTCACGTGACATGCTGTGTTAAAAGATCTTCTGTTCATAGAAGCTCTCCTAGATCTTCCCAGTTTATTAATTATATACTATTGTTTTCTTCTTATTTTTTTGTTTAATGGTCATTTTGACTGAACTGCTACAAGACGCATTACTACTTTGATATCAGTATACAGATTTTCATCATTTTTTGCATTCAAAACAAACCCACGGATAAAATATCCATATACATAGAGAAATGCAGATATATGAAACGGTGGGTAAAACATAATTTTTTATTGACAATTCTTTTATTTCCTGAGAAATTATGCAGTTAACTCGGAGAAAATGATGGTGATGATGAGCATGACAGAGAGTGAGAATGTCCCGCATGCATAAGAACAAAAAAGTGAAGAGGCGATGTATCAACTCATTAACGTTAGCTAAACCTATGTTTAATTATTACTTTAGCCACGTTGTCAAAGAAAGAAAATGTTACTTGAGCACTAATCCAATTTACCATACTGTTGTTTGACTTGTTTCAAAACACCTACATTTAAGATTCATACAGCACTTGTAGACTTGATCCCACAGAAAAAAACTACACGTCTAATAACTTTTTAAAAGTTTTTAAGATCTAGTGATTACCTAGAAACATAATTGTTCACTTATTTAAATTTCAACAATATAAGGACCTAACGTTTAACAAACATCTTACAATCTTACAACCCTTTAAAAAATAAAGTTTGTAGTATTTTTGATAATTTTAACAAATTCAACTTTGGTTCAAAAATAAACAAATCACTGTGCCAATCGAAATTTACTACTGAATAACTTTAAATAATCGTTTTTACACAAAAGAAATCTAATACAAAAAACTTTAACTTTATAAGCAGAGCCGTGCCAATATTATTAACTGCCCTTAGCGATGAAACATAAAAAAATCATAAATTTATGTAGTCTATTATATATTTTTTTTGGTTATGTGATGAACTGTATTAAAAATCTGTTTGTTAATATATCCAATTTTTTTTAACTATTAACTATTGTTCCATAATTTTATGTGATTTCTCAAAAAAAAATTATGTTTCATCATGGGTTATAAAGCTATTTAAGAAATTATTTCTAAAAATTATTATTTATAATTTACTACTTGAAACTAATAATAAAATGATGCCTTTAATGTTTTAAATTTTTTTGATGCCCTAAGCAAATGTTTCATTTTTTCGACACAGCACTTTTATAAGACAAACCAAATGATACCTTCTAACTGCGTCAACTAATCCGATTTCACACAATTTCTATTAATGCAAGTCAAGTTCGAGCTTCGTAGGGCGTTTAAGTCTTCTTTTATGGCCTATATGTGTGAAACTTTGAATCTAGTGGTAACTATCCATTACTAGTAGAAACGCATTGACCAAATAAAATTCTACTAATTATCAAATATAAATAAAAATAGAAAATGAAGGTTATATGTTCTTCGTTATATTACGTAATACGATTCTAACAAAGTCGTGTGTATATGTATCGACGCTTGCTCCTCTTTCTCTTTAAAGGCATACTACTCGCAATAATTGTTTTGCCAACTATCTCTGCATCTTTTATTTTTTACTTTTGATGTCTTTTTAGTAATCTATGCATAATTTAACTAGAGAATATAAAACTAAAAAAACATCAATCTTTGTTAATAATGAAAAATGGTTTTTACAGCATATAAACAAAAAAACGAGATCAGTTCAGGCAATCATGCGGGTGGGGTAAAAAGCATCTGTCCATGCATCGAGCTCTGCGTTAAAACGAATGATATGATATAACATGCTCTATTGCTGTTTTATCAACAAATCAAAACTCTACACACGCACATTATATAATATAATCTATGTATGATATATATATATATATATGTCTCCTATTAGAGATATTATAACAAATCCATCTCTAGATAAGAATCGAACACGATATGAATATGTATAATGCAGATAATATTGTCGTCCACGATTTAGTATTATGTTCTTTTTTGTTTTCAATATTTTTAGAAGATTAAGTTAGTCAACTATACATAACGAAAGTAACTAGTCTAGAACAAAATAAAGAAAAACATGTAAAAAAGAAAAATAAAATTAATAAAGAGAATGTCTCGAAGATGGAGTGCAAAATAAAAAGCCTTTCTAAAAGCGAACCAAAAGTGTTGACCTTTTTTATAGTCGAGTTCTCATTTTCATGCCTTAAATCTGAAAATGGCATTTTATTGAATATTCGATTTACTTAATACTTCGTGTACGACAATATTATCTGCATTGGTATTAAGAAATTTTTTGAAAAAATGTTGCCATTTTGAAAAAACACTGTATCATGGCAATTACGTCCATAGACTCATTACAAAATGGCGTGTTTGACATTATGTCGCAAAAGAAAATTTGAAACCTATTCATTAAATTTGTGTATATATGTCGTCTTTGTCTCATAAATTTCAAAAAACATGTGTAAAAGCATGGCGATGTTCTGGAAAGTAAAATGTGAAGCCATTTCTTAAATAATTCAATCATACCACTGACATTTTTACAATCCGACAAACCCGACGTTTGCTTTTCTTTTCTTTTTTAATAGTGAAAACAGTAAATTCGATTTACACGAAAGACTTGGTAGATGAGAAAAAATCCCAGTAAATTCTTTTTAATCGATAAATACAAAATTAAACAAAAAAAAAACAATAAATAAGAACCCTATTTTGTCCAATTCATATCTTCTTCAACAAATCTGCATCGTACATTTATACTCCGTTTGTTTTTTTTTAACTTTTCAGAACCAGCTTTTTTATTTATTTTATAATCACCGTTTAGAATTTTTAAAGTGATTTTGAACAAAAAGTACATCATTTACAGATTGATAAAACCGAATGTATATCATTACAGTTTGATTGATACTACTAATATAAGTATGAGATTTACTTGCATTATAGAAAAACTTAACGTTGTTCAACTAGTTCAGTTTTATATGTATCGATAGTTTTGATTAAGAAATGGTATTGAAAGTTAAAATTGTTTTTTTTTTTTAAATGTGAGAATTTAATGGAGAGAAAGTTGGATGGGAGTGGTAGATTTTGAGGCAATAAATAGTGCGGAGAATTATGAGTTGTTGCAATTAATGCACGCAAGGCATGCATTTGTTTTCTCATCCACACTACTAATAATTAAGTCCCCATTTTTTTTTTATTGAAGTTTGTTCCGTCTATAAAAGAAAAATACTACTACCACTGAATAAAATAACAAAAACAAATACACTATATCTCAAAACAAATTGTCACAAAGAATAAATGAGAGTTTGCAGGGTGTGGGAGTGATGAGTGCGACACATCAGTCGACAGAAGGGAAAATATGATTTCATTATATATATTATAAAATGATGTTATTTTAATTATATTTTTCGTCATTTAAAGTAAGAAAACAAATAGAGGGATTGTTGACCTTCTTGTTGAATATTTGGTGGATTTTTAAGCGTATCATGGTCTAATTACTAGGTCAATAGGTTGAAATTATCTTTACTACTATAAAAATTTGTGTTATATTTACATGAGCCTAGGATTCTGCAATCCACTCCATGGTGGAGTAGTAAATGGACCCATCAGTTGGAAGTTGCCTCACACACGAACAGAAGTCAGAATTGTTAATTTTACATGATTCGCAACAATATAATACTACTACTTTTAAAACAAATACTAATTTCTCTTTTTGTATTTCTTGATATCTATATATAAATGTTTTAAAATAAAACAATCTGTAATAAAATTTCAAAATGTTTTGAAAATCACAAGCAAACAAACTCTCTTTATCTCTCTCCATTTATTTCTACTAGCTTCCAATTAATTTGGTATGTGTCGTAATATATCCAAGACATCATAATGTTTGGAGTTGGGAACAAGGATACCAAGCTTGTAACGTCGAACCATTTATCGAATCAAACAACTTCTATCATCGAATGTGTGATCAAAATATAATCAATGGGTTAAGAGTTATTAATCGTGGATTCTCTCATTGTCAAATATGTGTCGTTCTGCAAACAAAATATATACCCATAACAGTTTTACAAAATCGTGACTTTAGAATTTCGACTGTGACATTTGAAAATGTTTACGAGAAATTAGAAAACGTTTATGTGAGCAACTGATTTTCAAGATTTCCATTGTGCGCAGTGTTCCAACAAAATTCAGTTTTATAACACTTTCATTTTATTTATTCAGTTCAATAGCATAATAAATGAATAAGTCTTAACCATAGTCAATTAGAAATGGTGCCGTTTAACATGTGGTCCGGAAAAAAAGTATGGATGAAAAGGGAAACCGAACGGTAGGTCGTAGACGTAAAAGAGAACCCGTTGAATGTCTTTTGGACATTTTGCTAAAGAAAAGTAAAGAAAATACACCTCAAAATAAAACCCCTAGAAATTTATTGGGTTTCGCTTATATCATCACTTTGGAAAATAAGAATCTAATCGAAAAATTTCCGGTAATGAGATTTTAATTCCCCGGAGTTGTTATTAACTTATTTTCCCGAGGAAGCCCTTGAGTTTCTATTTTTCATTATATCTTCGTCGTTTTTTCAATCTTTTTTCCTTCACTGTTTTTTTCTTCTGTTCACAGTTGTTAGATCTTATGTCTTTTCAAATCCGAATCTTTTAATTGATCTCCTCTCTTTGATTAAACCCATCCACAAAGATTCCAGCTTTCGAGACGATAGTTCGTTCATAGTTGTTCGATCTTCTCCGTAGCTTTGTGACAACAGAATCTAGGGTTTCGGTTTTTTTTTTCTTTATATTTTTTCTAAATAAATAATTCTTGGTTCATAAATTTCCTGCTACAACAACAACTGTACATCACCATCATTATGAGTAACCCATCTGCCTCTACCTCAAATCTCATAAATATTCTCACCCTTTCTTTTCCTCGCTTCTCTCTCATATAGTGTTCTCTCTCTGTAGCTTTGCTTTTTTTTGTTTTTCTCTCTTCTTTTATGTGAAAACCCTTTTTGCTCCTTAGTTTGTACCTCTCGTTATTACATTCGACGGAAAAGAAAGAGTGAAAAAGTTTGGATCTTTAACCCTTTCCGCTCTCTTTGATCATGAGGGTTTGACAAAAGAGTTTCTTACAGAGATCTTTGGCATTCTGTCCACCTCCTCTCTCTATATATATGTGTCTAAGTGTATGTATCTGCGTTGTGTTCTGTGAGGGGAGGTGGGCATACTGCCAGTAGAGATCTGTTAGGGTTTCTTTGTAAAACCTCTCATGATTTTGATGGATTCAAGATTAGGCATTGCCTTATGGTGATGAAGTTAGTTCACTTGACGAACGCTAAGATCTACGTTTGAAGAAAAGTGGGTATTATCTCTCGAATCTACTCAAGCTTTTTTATAAGTGATCATTACTTGTTCCTAGTTAAGTCGATTTCAATTGACATTTTCTATCTCTTTTTATTTGATTGCTCTCTCAGAAGTTTTTTGCTCACCTTGGTTGGACTCTAAACCGATGGTGGGTTTGAGCACATTCATCACATTTGATTGTAGAAACTCACATCTTTCAATGGCGTTGACTAGTGTG